TCCAGCTCATTTCTGTTTTCAGCACTCAGGTATCATTCCTCAGATATACAGCCCATTACAATTCATGAAGTGATTGTTTGCTTTTTTTGTTTTAAGAAACATTAGCTTTGACTGGACACCTCGTTGTTTTTTACAGGAAAAAACTAAGTGAGCTGGACAACATCCAGAGATACTTCAGCCGTAAGATGTCAACACCCACATTCCCGTCCATGAGTGAGCAGGACTGTCACGCCAAGCATGAGGAACAGAGGGACACGGAGACGGACACATGTCAGCTTCTTCTCAAGTCCAACCACTTAGTTGGACAAGTCAACAATATCACTAGTGGTGAGCTCTTTTACATGATAAAGGGCGTCCACTTAATGGGTCTGAAATTACCAGCAATGTTTTCCTTCAGTAGTAGTCGGTAGATCTCAAGTGAGATCATTTTAGCATTTAAAACTGTTACAAATGATGGTACCTTTTTTCTTAAATGTCCAATATGTTGTCATTTTACCATTTAAAGATCATTCTTGGCAGGCCATTTAGCAATCTGGGCATTGGCAGATCATTCTGTACCCGATCAAGGTTGGGTAAACTAGGACAGTTGACCCAGAGTTCATTGTGGACACAGTCTACTGTTAAGCTTAAACACTTTAACCATGAATGGAGGCATCACTGTACCTTCTGACCTTCTGACTAGTGGAATAAAGTTGACACTGCATTTCTGTGACTCTAAAAGTACCCATGCCATTACAGTTGTTATACTGTACTTTAGTGCTGCAACTAATGATTGTTTTCATCATTAATCTGCACATTATTTTCTCGATTAATCAATTTATTATTTGATCTGTATACTTTCCAACGGGGATGAATTCAAATTGCTTGTTTTATCTGACCAAACAGTCCAAAACTTAAAGATAACACTTGAAGAAAAGCATCAAATTCTAAAATTAGATTTTTGGCAAAGTCCAGTTGAGTCATGGTGTAAAGCTGACATGACCGGATCCGCAAACCACTTTCCAAACTGAACAGGTGCCAGTCGCTGCGCAACGGACGCAAAGAGTTAAACAGCCTGCTGAGCCATGAACACGTCACAAACACGTCCGTGGTGACTTTTAGAGATTACTGACAAAGAACAGGAAAAATATTTCCTTAAAACTATGACCGTGAATGCACTTAATGATAACTGGAAAAACAAAGAGAGTATGAAATGATAATAAATCTGCCTGATCTTCTCAAGACAGTGTTGCTCAAATCATTACTGTCCTCTTCATCCAGGTCTACGAGGAAACCACCTCGAAACGATTCCCTCAGATCCCCAGAGCAGCTCAACAACTTCCCCTGTTGGAGACGACAACGCTCAGACTCTCCCTGAGAGTATCTCCAGTCCACGCAGAGCTTCAAATTCTATCCAAGAAGATGTGTCTCCTCTGCACTTGCCAAAGATGTCTGAAGACCACACCGACTCTGAGCCTGAGGAAGAAAAGGACAGTCGCAACTACAAGGTTACTGTGTCCGAGGAGGAAAACGAAGAAGGGACAGACGAAGACGGGATGGGTAACACACAGGATGAGGAAGCTGATGATGATGATGATGATGATGATGAGGAAGATGAAGATTACGAGGAGGTTGTGGTGGAGCCGAGGCCTCTCAATGAGGTGACCTCTTTAACAGACAAAACCAGTCCTTGGACCAGCATCCTGTCAGACCCCGACCTGGTTTCTCTGGAGGTGCCAGAGGAGCCATTTCTGAGCGAAGATGAGGACGAGAGAAGGCAGATGGTAACTCATGACTGTGGCGGTAAACACAAATGTGCCCGACGACAAGAAAGTGAAGAAAGTGACAGTTTTAATGGATCAGCAGGAGACGGTTCAGACACAGAGAGAGATGGTGAAAGGACATCACAAGCTTTTGATGAAAGACGAGCACAAGAGTCCAACAGCCCCAACGAGGAGTCAAGTGACAGAGCTTCATCACCCACCATAGATACCCATGATGCTTCATGCTCCGTGGACATTCCACTCCAACCGTATCCTTGATCTATATTTGTTGTTGTCTGTCTGGATATCAGATTAGTTGTTGCTGTAATCATTTGTTTTAGAGGATCATTTTAGATTGTAACACTCATAGTCTGCTCCACCTTTGACATGCAGGTGTAATGTCATGAACAGATGCAGCCACCCGCTGTCACTGGTTCTTTGTGTGACTTAGTTTGTAACTGTTTGTTCAGACTTTGCGTGTGAAGTTAGTGGGAAGATGCAAATTAGCTTGGAGAGAAAGACGTCTCCCCACAAGATAAAAATGTTTCAACAAGTTGTGCGCATTTTGGCTTTTTTTTAAACAAACTTTAAAGACCACACTCACAGACACACTCCTAAAATGTAACATACAGTCTGTTTGCAGCTAACGGCAGTACAGTTGGTACACTGGATGTTGAGGCGAATAAACACCAGCTGACTAAAGAGAGACACTGCAGAGGTCTGATAAAACCAAAGTCTTTCTCATTGATCTTAATTGGGAGGCCATCATACTATTTAATTGTTTTTTTAACATTCACCATCCAGCTTGGTCCCTGTGGAGGTCCCTAATTTCTTCCTTCCCTCTCACCAACTGGAGGCATCTATGAGAGTCATACGTTTAGCGCCTTCTTTCTCCCAGGCGGCCAGTGGCCCGGTGAGTATTTGTCACCAGCTCTACTCACTCGTTCCCTTTCACCTTTTACTTTTCACTCCCCTCTCACTGAGTCCCGGAATATCTCTGTTTCAGTTATTACTTCTGAGTATTCAGGATTTTTCTTACATTTCGAACAGTCCTCCAGGAAATATGTTTGACCTGACATCAGGGCCAAACTGCCAAGCAAAAACTGTGTTATTAATAGATCACTTTACACATGACGCATACTGAACACAGACCTGTCAAGAATACTGACCCTGGATCAGCTAAAGTTTAGTATAATTGAACTTCCACCATTAACAGCTTGGGGCCCACCCACTATCTGACTTGTACAAATATTTAAACAAGATGCTGTACATACTGTGTCATAAGATCGTGAGTACATATATTGTTTTGTGTCATGTGTCATCTATCGGCCCTCATTCAGTCTCTATTGAAGTCTTAATGGTTTTTTTCCCGGTCACATTTTCTTTTAACACGTTGTGTCTGTAGCCTTAAGCTTTGGGAAAAGAGTTGACAAAGTAGTGTGAACGGTCTTCAGATCAACAAAATAATGTGTCATTATCCCGTGAGTCACTTCCAGTTCACTCTATTCAAGAACACTGCTCTGATGTAACCACAGGTATGCGGTGGCTGTTTCATTAGAGAATAAAACACTCCCTTCTGCCCTGAGTATTAATCCATCATCAACCGTCAGGGCTCAGGCATTTGCGCACTGCGCTGAACAAAAATTGCAACACAACAAAACCAGTCCGGTAAAAGGTGGTTTGGTTTGTCAAATGGCACATCGTGAGTTAAAGGACTCAACACAGAATTCAGAGCAACACGACACCCAACATGGAGACGGCCGAGCCGGCGGCTAATAGCAGTGTCAATTGACTCTCCACTCATTAAAAACAGCCTTATGGTGTCATTGTAAAAAAGGTATTCATTGTTGATGTTATGTACAACTGAGGAAGCGCACTAATATTATGCACACGTTTCCCCAGAGTACTTCCCAGTGTCTAATAGGTCTGCTGGGTTACTCCCACTCAGCAGAGATGGAAATGTACTTCTGCATCACACCATTGTAAATGAATCCAGCTTCAAGGAGGGTGTGGAGATATCAGATATGTGTTGGTGCCGGAGTCTGAGGTGGGAGGTGTGCCCGTCTTTGAGGGAAGGACCTTTTTAAAGAGCCGGTTCAAACTGGTCACTTATTGTACTTCAAGTAATACAGAGGGACGCGTGACGAGCCTGCTGAGCCAGAAAAAGGCTTGCTCTGTTTGAGCAGTCGCTCTTATGTGACCACACACATAATAAATGATCCTGTGACTAAGCAGTACGCCTTGTTTGTTTTTTTAATACACTAGAAAATCATATTCTTAGGCTCATTATTTGCTGCAGCACTCACACTGCAGGTATGTTTCTGTGTTGATCTTCCCAGGGGCCGAGCATCCCGCCTCACAGAGGTCCTCGACAGCGCCCCAACATGTCGCCGTCATCCATGAAGAAGGAGACTGAAAGAATATCAAAAATATTTGCGGCTCACTTTGATGACAGTCACTAGTACGTGGTGTTTTTTAACTGTTGTATAGCTCAGTGGTTTCAGATCATGTAAATTAAATGTAACATTTTTTATTTTTATGAATAAATTAAGTTAAATAAATTTAACTGTTCTTTTGTCATACCAGAACCTGCTTCTTGGAACAGGCCTCAGGCTACATTAAGATTCATGTCCTGACTGTTTGAACCCGTGCTTCATTTCTGTTTGGTAAGAGGTGAAATAGCTCAAAAATACATGAGATGTTCACCCGAAGACTTATCAACAGTACATGTGGAAAGATGTCAAGGGTTTCCTCTGTACCAGTAGTATAACTGGATATATTGGTAGTTTTAAAATGCTGTCTTCATCAAAATAAGTATGTATGGTTTTCCAGGCGCATTGTAGAACAGTATGTAACTCAATTTATGCGCGTTCAGCATATAATGTACATACTATTATGTACATTAATAATGCCTGGTAGTGTGTGATGGCTTGTGGTTTTAAAAGCAGCGCAACCGGCCTTTGCCAAAAGCTGTTGGCAATTTGTTTGCGTGTGGCGTGTTTCTTGTTCTCGTGCGGGGTGGTGCCATGCAGGAAGGGGCTGGACCCCTCTGCGGAGGCTTGGCTTTTACAAGACAAACTTTTTCCAATACCTGAAACTTGACGTCGGCTGCAGTAGCTAGCCCGACTGGCTCTGGCATGGAGGGGCAGATGATGAATGTTCAAGTGTCTAAATTGTGGGATTAACTAGGATATCATTCTTAAATGCAAACACGGGACAGATGCTGCTTTAGTCTGCAGTTTATTTAGTTCACAAGACTGTTGATCCTCTGAGCTCATTCATCATGGTCGGTGGAGGAGCTGCTGATCTGTCCTCAACAGTCGCTGTCAAGATCTTTTCAGCCGGAACAGCTGGCTGCGTGGCTGAACTGGTCACTTTCCCCCTGGACATTGCCAAAGTGAGACTGCAGGTGAGGACTGTCACCTGTAGCTTACATACAGTCAGTGATAACCATTCTCTGTTTGAAATACTGAGGTCATTAAACCCTCAACCAGTCCCGTCAGATATTTGTGAGTATAGCCTCCTTAAACATCTGTATATTTGTTCTGCAAATGTCATGTCATCACATGGTGGTCTGTGGTTATTTTGTAGATTTAGATCATCAATAAATAAATATAATCTACTTACAAATGTTCTTGTTTTGTTATGAATAGATACCCAGTATATAAACTTACATACATCAATAATTATGATCCAGTAATGTGATATACATTATTCTGAATTAGGTCATTCTGCAAGAAGAGTTCTTTTACTTTTGGTACTTTAAGTAAAGTTTGACGCGAACACTTTTGTACCTATAAGAAAGATTTTGAATTCCTCCCCCCCTAAGGTCCTTACATCACCAACATTACTTGGAACAAGGCATGCACTCAATGTACAGCCATGCTTGTTGCATTGCTTTTCAGCAGGCTGAACAGGAGAACAATCTTAACACAAATGCATGTTGCAACATGTCAACAATTTGAAAGGAAAGTGATAATAGGCATGTAAATATGACATTATTGCAACTGAAGGCACGTCTTTGTTTCCCCTATAGCCACAGTTTCCACATATCATTAGTGACCTGTGAGGGAATGTTTTGAACATTTTGTTGTGCATTTATGTGACTTTAGATTCAAGGTGAATCCAAGCCCTCACCGGAAGGCCAAATGATCAAATACAGAGGTGTGTTCGGCACCATCTTCACCATAGCGAAGACCGAGGGCCCCAGGAGTCTTTACAATGGACTGGTGGCAGGGCTGCATCGGCAGGCGTGCTTCGCCTCCGTCCGCATCGGCCTGTATGACACCATGAAGCAAGTCTACGCCAACGGGTCAGAGAGTAGGTGTCCAAATGGTTCAGTCGAGCAGTGGAGATAATTCTCTCTCCCTGATTAGCAGAAAGTTGAATCATAATTTGCCATTTTGTCCATTACAGCACAAGCGTAAACATGGGATATTGTGCAAGTCAGTGAACTGGTACACTCGGATCATAACTTGGGTTGAAACTAACAATCATTTTCACTTAATCTTTTAAATTTGCCCATTATTATGGTCTATAAAGCATCTTTATCTATGCTATATCCCAAATATATTCAAGTTAAGTCAATTTTACACAAGTTGGAACCATCAAATATTTGACATTTTTGCTTGAAAAAAAGAATAAATTATCCAGGTTTCGGATTCATTTTCAGTTGATTGATTATGAAATGAACAGCTGCAGCTCTAATCATTACTTTTTCTGACCTGCAGTGACAAACACAATGATTGGGATTTCAGGTATTTTGACATTTCCACTGTGTGAGAGTCAATTATACAGCGCTAACTGAATGAGAGCATTGATACGTCTCCTTCACTGCCCCCAAATGTCAGGAAACACAACCTGCACTGTAGGATGAATAAAAGAATCCTGATAATATAACTGCAAAACAGACTCATGCAATTAATAGAAAGCCGGACGCTCGTGCTCAAAATACTGGTTTTACAGAAAACTAGCTCCAGGATGTCGGGGGAAGGGCAGATTCCTCTCTCAGGTATGAGATTTATGTTGATGCTGGAGGCCTTACCTGTTCCACATCCAGTGCTTCACCTCAGTGTCTTTCTGCACAGAACCAGCTAAACCAGTTTGACAGTTAACGAGCATCTTTGTCGCTGTGTAATATGCTCCTCTCTTGCAGCAGTCCTGGGTGTTTCATAATGCAAATGCTTATAATGAAGCTTCATAATTGGGGGAAATCTATGGAGCATGTTGTTGTTTCTTGTTGATCGTTTGCAGATAAACTGTTTTGTTTAAAGTCATATTATAATTATCAAAACGTCACCCCTGTTCAGTCTCTATTCACTGTGTAAACTTGCTTGTGGCATCGTAGAGGAAAACAAGTGTCTTTGCTTGTATCACAGATGCAGGAATTGGGACTCGGCTGCTGGCAGGCTGCTCCACGGGGGCGATGGCGGTGGCCTTCGCGCAGCCCACTGATGTGGTGAAAATCAGGCTCCAGGCTCAGGTCCGCCTGTCTGCGAGCGGCACTGCGAAGAGATACAGCAGCACGTTTGATGCCTACAAGACCATCGGCAGGGATGAGGGCGTCAGAGGGCTCTGGAAAGGTAGACTGGAGAACTTAGCTTTCTCGGGCCAATATAGCAGACACTTAAGAATTTATGGCTTGAACTGTCTTTTCAGGTTGTCTGACAAACATAACTCGCAATGCCATCGTAAACTGCTGTGAGCTGGTGACATACGACATAATTAAGGAGCTCATCCTTAATTACAACCTGATGACAGGTAAGTGCAAACTCATCAAATCAAGTCCCCCCCCCCCCGCATTTCAGGCTCCGTAATATTTTGTTTCCAACAGACAACATGCCGTGCCACTTCACAGCAGGCTTCGCAGCAGGTTTATGCACCACCATTGTGGTGTCTCCGGTGGATGTGGTGAAAACACGCATCATGAATTCACCGCCTGGGAGGTACAGCGGTGCTATTAACTGTGCCTTAATCATGCTGATGAAAGAGGGACCCACAGCTTTCTATAAGGGGTAGGTCATCTGTTTATGTCATCTGTTTACAGTTCGCCACGGGGGCGACCAGACAACCCTCTTAAGCCAGTGAGCCACGGTTGCCCCCGTGGCTCACTGGCTTAAGAGGGTTGTCTGGTAACCGCAGGGGTCAATGGTTTGATCCTCGACTGGGACGTGCCACGTGTTGTGTGTCCCTGAGCAAGACACTGAACCCCCGGCTCCCCGGGCGCCTGTCATTGGCAGCCCACTGCTCCCTATATACAGGGATGGGTCAAATGCACAGGTCAAATTTCGTGTATATGTATATGACAATAAAAAGGGTTTCTATTCTATTGACTTTTGTATTTGCTTATGAAGCTTATTGAGATGGGATTCCTTCCATCTCACCTGCACAACTTGCTTCTTTTCTTCTGTCGTTGTGTTTCTGCTGTTTTTGTTTTATTTTGCAAATAAATAAAATAAAAATATCAAATTAGTGTTGTTATCAAAAGCGAGCATGTCAGAAAGTAAAATGTTTTCTTGATTCATCTCATTGTTTGTATAGATTCATTCCCGCGTTTCTCCGTTTGGGTTCCTGGAACATCGTGATGTTTATGAGCTACGAGCAGATTAAGAGAGCTTTCATAAGATACCAATAGTCCCGGGATTCAGCGGTCTGACGGCCGGTTTGTTGTTACTGATGGGCCATAACCACGACTGTCTGTATCAAGCAGCATGCGCTTAAGATAGACAATGTGGTTGTGACTGCTGCTGATCCAGACCTGCCTCTCTCTCTCTCAAGGAATAAACTGCACTTATTAAAGAAACTGCACTCAAAAGAAAAACTGAAGGGATGAAAAACGTTGAATTGTTACTGACAATGTGCATATTAATAGAATAGATCAAGCAATGTTGCTGCTAATGTTATTAACTGACCTTTTTGGCATGTCACAGTAAGAAAAGCACAGGTGTAAATAATGAAATGAATGACAGCTGAATTCCGTTTCAGGGTCTTGTGCATGCTGGCGCACTGTCACACTATCGTGGTTTACTTGAATTGAACAGGGTCATTATTAATGTTATTACTAACTCCTGTACTTTTCTTACTTCAATGACAAGTCAAAGTATATATACTGAGAAAATAAACTATTTACAGGGTGAAGTCTGGTGTGGATGGGGATGCAGGGTTTCCTCCTGTCAGAGTTACACGTCTGTGTTAAAGCACAGTAACGTATTGTTTATTGATTGTTTTGTATTGCATATCTAGTGTCATGTGAAACGTTTTTATGCAGTCTTTTATATGAATGTTTAGGAATTAGGGTTGCAATTAACTGTTTTATTACACTATGGATAAATCTGCCAATAGTTTTTTACAATGAATCAGTTCATTTTTTGGTCTTGTTTTGTCTGGCTAACACTCCAAAACCCAAAGATATTCAGATTTGCTGTCACATAAGAGCAACAAATCCTCACAGTTGATTTTCTGTCAATCGACCAGTTGATTCAATCAATTTAGGAATGAGCCACAGTTCCGTAGTCCATACTGCCAGAGTAAACTAAGTTTGCAATGGAATTGACCACTTAAATAAAAAAACATACCTCAAATGTATTTAATACTCTACATATTATATAGATGTTGGAAAGTCTATATTATATGTAATAATGTGTACATCTGTGAATCTTGTAAAAGTAAAACAGGACAATGGGAGCACACCCACTACACACAATCCACAAGTTAAACTGAATGAGTGGACTAAACAGAAATATCTGATTAAAGGGCATTTTCAAACTGTCAACCAACATTGACCAACACTTCGTACACAACAAAGCTCACCAAGTGTCACTCCGTTCCTGCACTATCTACTACAGGCTGCTGTCATAGATACTCTACTCTGAATAATCCCCTTTAAATGCAACCATTCAATGCGTAGATAAAATACCCCCCAACTGTGTGACACGTGTCAATGCTGACAGCCAATGGAACACTTTTCAGACATGACTCAAGCTTTTTATAACATTAAGAATATGCTTTTAATGTTTGTTGCCATATTTATAGAGTATGGCCCAATGTTGCTTGTTGCGTACAGAAACGTTACGGTACATCGGATACTGTATGCTTTTCAGCGAGGGTGTCTTTATAATTGTAATCATTTGCTTCGAGCTTCCGGCATTTCTGTGCAGAAATAACTGGGTGTTCCATCAAACAATGCAGAGACACGAAGGTTCCTTTGCCTCTGAACTGCCTAAATGATGGTCTTTCTTAACGGACATGTTTGTCTGCTTATGTCTCCTGACAACCAGCTGTTTCTCCCACAGGTCTGACATTTCTGTTGCCAATGCTGCTTTGTTCTCCAGGCCTTTTCAGTAATAGGGGTGGTGCTGTGTTACAGCCTTACCAGTGGATGTAAGACTATAGGCCTCTAGTATATATCATCAGAATCAGGCATATTACAATAAAAAAGTATTTTAAATAATTTGTCAACCACCATCTCATTATTTACTGTGCATTGAAACACACTATTAACATTTTCATTGAATATAAACTGTGTTTTTACACTTGTATGAAAGAAAATACATACAGACGGATATACCTTTGCCAATCAAACTGAACACTTCCCTCACACTCCTGCTCTGCATGATTTATCTTCTGCGGGAGACTCCACTGAGCATCATGAACACTGTATTTTTCTGCTGCAAAACAAAATAAGCATACAGCATTTGACATTAATGCAGCCAGATTAAAACATATGAGAAATAGATAATATATTTACAAACTCACTCATTTGTTGTGGTTTGGCCTGGATGATGCTTCTCAGGTTTTCCAGCTGCTTGTACTTCATTGCGAGTAGCAATTTAGCGTCTCTAAATTTAGGTTTTTGAGAAAGACCGAATTTATTTGAAACTTGGATCTTCTCTGCAGCCCCTGTAACTGGGAATGGCGGCGAATAGTTCAAGACACATGGAGGGAGATTTGTGTTTCCTAGTAGAGTAAGAGGTAATTGTACTCTTGTGCCCACGTGAAATCCGACTTTTTGTTGTTGTTAATGTCTCTCTGTCGGATACTCACCTTCTCACTGCACATGATGGTGCGCCATGTGAGCTGGTAATGCTGCATTCAAGGGTTGTGGACTATCGGAAAGCTACAGCCCACACTGTAGGACACGAATGGCTTTAAAAGTGACTTTATGAAAAAATGACGAGGACAATAGTCTGCAGTGGTGTTGATATTTTACTTCACTTTCACAAGTTTCTGTTTCTTTTACAAAATGAGTAATATCAACTAATTGTTTGATCAATCAATGGCATTGCTGCAGTGTCATTGTCTGTACTCACAAGCTGTAACTAATCATTTTAAATAATTTCTCCTTACACAGTTTTGTCACATGCATTTGTCTGTTAGGATGCTACGGACTTTCATATGTAGCTGTACGTTTTCAGAATTCCAAGGTAAATTAAAATACTCATTTAATATTGGGATGGATGGATGATGTATATCCATGTACAGTATATCCATCCATCCATCCATTCATACATACATACACGTGTGTTGACCTGTCATTACCTCTGTGGGGTTAAACACACGGCCGCCTCAGAATCACTTTGCCTTAGCTATATGTAGCCTCAGTTAATCCTTTTAAGACTAGCGCTGCTGCTTATCAGTGAAAGTCCTGCGCTGACACACAGAGGAGTTTCCCCTCCTGAGAACAACGTGCAGATTGACCTCAACAGCCATCAACACAGGACACCTCTACTGTGTGAGTAAAGAAAATAATTCACCTCATATTTGATCTCTCACAATATTTTAATAGTGCCCTTATTAGTGTTAGAGGGGATTCAGATGAGTTTCAGGCTTTCGCTGCCTGCCAGTAGCTCCTGCTCATCATTTTAATTTAAATGTTTTATAGCTTTACATGTTGCAAAGGCATATTTCTTTAACAAATATGTACATACTATAACAGTCTTGTGGACGGGTTATGTATAGCAGGAATTTCTTGCCTGTTAAAGCTTTCTACCTTGTTACATAAGAAGCTTTTCAGTTCTCTGTATTGTATTCTAGGCAACACTGAGTCGCACTCATAAGGAGTTGACTCTTATCTGCTGCTACTGTCAGAGGGTGAGATTTCTCCTTTCTTGTGTTTTTATTTCCGATGTTACCTTTAAGTCTTATCTGAAGCTTGTGTCATCTGTTGACGAAACAAATCTGTGGACAAGAGAACAGACAGTTCTTAAGCTCAGAGCTGCAGTGTGGGAGCCAAAAGACTCAAAGGAATATAAAATAGTTGTATTATGATGAATATTAATGATGGTCATACGAGTGGCTTTCAACAATCAAGTCAGTGATATTCATCTAGCCAAAAGTCAGACATTTTACAGCAGAAATTGCACTAAAAACACAAGAGTTGCTTATTACATAAGTGTTGACAGTACTGTAAAGCAGTTCCAGGGTCTTGGTTTTGTTCATTCTGGCTCACTGAGCCACCATTAACGTTATTAGTTACACCTGTGCTTTTCCTGTAATGACAAGTCAAGATATGTGCTGTGAAAAAGGTCCACTGAGACTTATGCACAAGTCAATTACTCATTCAATATAATGTGTTCAATGTTGTTTAGAATATAAGGTGTTTGTAACGGGATCTCACAGGGTGAAAGGTCAAAGACCCTACACAGGTGTCTTCAAATTTTCCTGATTAGACCTGTTTTTAGAAAATGTGTGTCTGTGTGTACACACTGTTCTTTACTTGACGTTGCAGCCTAACAAGAGGTCTTATAAGACAGAGTAGCATCACACTTTCCAACCACTTTCTTAAAGGAGTACTCCCCCCGTTTAGCATTGCACTCCTTTAGCATTCATCAGAATCACAATGGGCGGTTTTAAAAATTGATGCTGCGGAACCACAAACATTGTCTTTTTTTGTAGCCTTGACTAGCTACCCTCAAGCAGAGATGAGGAGCGGTTACAAAGGTCTGGTAAGCTCACTTCTTTCTGCCCCAAACGATGCTGACTAAAGGGACATCCCTTGAGTACGATATGGTATGCAGCTGTGCAGAGTTTAAACTTGCTTGAGAGAGATACTGCATCTCTAGAGGTATGAGTCGGCTGCTAAACATGCATCTGCAAGCTGTGATGTCAGAAAATCCATACCAGACGATTTTTGGAAATTGGAATTTGGTTGCTTGTATAAAAAAGTTAGCTGTTTAGTGACTTGGCTTGAGATTTTGGAGTCTGCCAGAAGCACTTTAGTACAACTACAAAGAGAGTTTCTACATAACAAATTTAAGTCAACCAAGTTTTAAAACCTCTGCAAACCCACCTGTATGACGCTTTACTCAGCAGTGTTTGTCTGCCTCCACTCCTCACAGTGCGGTGATGCATCCTATGGTGATTTCACCACGCCAGCTGTGCAGCTGTGAGTGAACGAGGACTAACCACCATGAGCGCCGACACAGTCTGCAGGACAGAGCTGGACTCGGAGAACCACGGCGAGCTGGCCGACTTGGTGGCAGCCATGAACGTGGCCGCCAACCACACGACCCCACCTAATGGCAACAGGTCTGGTGCTCCGAGCGCCGCCAGGTTCTCAGGCAGGAAGATGTCCCTGCAAGAGAGAGGAAGCCGCATCGCCCGACAGCCCACCATCGAGACCAAACGTGTGTCCATCACAGATGCTGATGTGAGGAGACTTGAACTACAGAAATAATAATGCTCCGAATCTTTTACTTTATTTTACCTTTTTGTTTAAGATATATTTTACTGTTTGAATTTTCTTGTTCATTTCTGCAGGATTGTGTTCAGCTCAACCAGTATAAATTGAAGAAAGAGATTGGAAAGGTGATTGAACAGTGTTGCACATATAGTCACCCAATAAGCAAGGTGAAGCAGAAGTGATGACAAAGGATTTATAAAGCTGTTTACCTTTCTTATTCCTACACCCTAGGGTTCATACGGAGTGGTAAAATTAGCTTATAATGAAGACTCTGAGCAGTACTACGTGAGTTGAAGCTTATGAATTGTGCATTTGGTATTATAAGTGTTTACTCGCCAGTTAATCATTACCATAATTTGCTTTAACTCATTTCTTTAAGGCGATGAAAGTGGTTTCAAAGAAAAGGCTGATGAAGCAGTGTGGATTTTTGCGTGAGTGAAAACCTGCATCTCTAACAACAGTTAAACGTCTAATGAGTTTTCCTAATTCCTTCATGTTGCTGGTGATATGTTATGGATTGTAATTTCAGGCCGCCTGCCTCCTCAAGGATCAAACGCTGCGTTTCCTCTGGAGAAAGTGTACCAGGAGATCGCCATCCTGAAGAAGCTGGACCATCATAATGTTGTTAAACTGGTGGAGGTCAGTCAGAAGACTCACATGCCCTGTATTCTTACGCCATATTTAACTTGATATTTGGAAGAAAACCCCATGAAAGAACTTTGGGATTGAAATCTTCTTCTACAGTTAAACCTGAAGCACATACAGGTGTTTCTAATTACTGCCGCCAATTAGGCCTCTGCTCAGGTTGAAGGTGGTGGCGAAGAGCTCTAATCAGACAAAATAATTGGGATTGTGTGTGTGTGTGTGTGTGTGTGTCATCGGTGATGTAGGACTTTTAAAACCAACACAGTGTAAAATGATTAAGTAGACTACAAATATTTGTGTAAAACAGTGCAACAGTGCGGAATATGAGGCCGCTGAATTTCACTTGTCTTGCAGGTGCTTGATGACCCTGATGAAGATGGACTTCATATGGGTAGGGACTCATTTATCTGTTCTACAGTTATTTACTTATATGCCAATATAAAATGGGGGAGTCATTCAATTCTGACTATTTGTCTTCAAGCCTTCGATTTGATGACAAAGGGGTATGTTTTTGTGCATTTCTGTGTGGGCATTTAAATTGTCCCATAAGATAAAATATACATATTTACATTGTCCGTCTTTTCTCCACCTCTCGTGTTGGTCAGCCCGGTGATGGACGTGCCTACAGACGACCCTTTCACAGAGGAGCAGGCTCGTTTCTACCTCAGAGACATCGTCCTGGGAATAGAATACTGTAAATTCACAGATTAATTAATTAGAATCAGAACATCGTGCAACCTTTGCTTTTTAAAAACTTATTTTACACATGTAGTTGCTTTTTATGTGTTAAAGTCATCTGAAAATGTACAACTTTGGTGCCTTGAACAAGCTGAAAGTACTGTTTCCTCTACACAGAGATTAATAAAGTTACATGTGCTACCATAAATTGCTTAATTTAAAATCTGAATTTACAATTAATTTAAAAATTAATGTAACAGTAGATGACGTTTTGACTGCTTTAGGTAGCTACTATTCAAGACATATTGCACATACTGTAACCTATACTGTTCAAGACAAAGTAATATAAGTTCAATATATATCGCTGGTATTTTGTATAACTGCTTGTCATTTACCTTGTAATGATATACAGTGACATTTTCACCAAAATGCACCATGGTTTCTTGCATTGTCCAGTGCACTACCACAAGATCATCCACAGGGACATCAAACCCTCCAACCTGCTGCTTGGGGACGATGGTCACGTCAAGATTGCAGACTTTGGTGTGAGCAACGAGTTTGAGGGGACGGACGCCCTCCTGTCCAGCACGGCGGGGACGCCGGCCTTCATGGCCCCCGAGATGATGACCGAACACGAGCAGAGGTTCAGCGGGAAGGTAATAAACAACTTCTCTTGCCGGCCAACTGGAAAACAGACGAATGGCAACCACTGAATCACATTTGTTTTAGATGTGTCTTTTCATGTCTGACTGTTTGATTTTGTGAGCAATGATGAAGAAATGATGTCCAACCACCTGCTGAGAGGTTTTCGGTAATTGTTGATAATTACTGTTTGTTCACCAGGCATTAGACGTATGGGCGATGGGAGTCACACTCTACTGTTTTGTCTTTGGAAAGGTAAGAAAGCTCCCAGCATATAGAATAAAAAGCCAGTGCAACATTTGGTTTTCACATTTAAAAATCATGTCACTTTGTTTTGCCTGTCCCAGTGCCCTTTTTATGACGAATACATCATCTCTCTGCACAACAAGATCAAGAATGACACTGTGGAGTTTCCAGAGACGTAAGCATACATTCAACACATTTAGATAGCAGAATAGCTAACTAGCTTGTTAACCCCTAAGCTGGAGTTGTATCAGGATCCACTGTCAAAAACATATTTATCTGTAAAATAATGTATTTCTTTTTTTCCACAGACCATTAATAAGTAAGGAATTGAAAGAGCTTATTGAGAGGATGCTGGATAAAAACCCTGAAACAAGAATCACCATTCCTGAGATTAAGGTGACCGGAAAAAGAAAAATGACCACATCTGACTAATATATATATATAAGAGACCATTATGTTCACGATCAATTTGTGTTGCTCTTTCATAATAATGATGCTGTTGTGTTGTTACAGCTCCATGCGTGGGTGACAGAGAGCGGCTCCGACCCTCTTCCTCTGGAGGAAGAGCACTGCACGGCGGTGGAGGTCACTGAGGAGGAGGTGCAGAACAGCGTCAAACTCATCTCTAGTCTTTCCGCTGTGGTGAGTCGCACGTCGCTCTCTCTCTGGACATTATTTAACTTTATATATATATATATATATATATATATATATATATATATATTGAATGTTATTTCCTCTTTAGTCATAATGACTTATATACATGCCTAAAGTTGGTCTTCACCACCATCTTCAAAACTATTTACATCTACAAAACTCTTGCACTCATATCTCAAGATTTAGACATAACAGACATGAAGGACACAAAAAAAACATTTAGTTGATCATGTTACCTTTTTAAAGGTGTGAAACTGCAATATAGCAGTATAGGTGGAGGGGAAATGATCCAACGATAAGTGATGGTATAAAAGACTGAAGCGTAATCATTCCAGACAAGGACATTAATAGGATTACAAATACAAAAAATACAAATTTGTGTTTTTTTAACTCGTGAAATGAAGATGTTTTGTGTTTTTACTGCTGCTCTCTCTGATGTCCACTGCAGATTCTCGTGAAGTCCATGCTGAGGAAGCGGTCTTTCAGTAATCCCTTTGAGTGTCTGGGCAGACGGGCGGAGAGGTCCATGTCTGCCCCTGGAGGTCTTCTTACGTAAGTGGCCTACTCTGCAAATCCTGCCTGCTCCGCTCTGCCAAACTGCCAGCTCTGTGATTGCTGGGATTAGGCCTCTAACAAAACAAAGCAGCGAGCAGATGCTTGGATAAAAATAGATCAGTCAGTTACATCCTTTATATAGGAACCGTGTCTCTAACATGTAGAAATAAATATATTAAATCAACCGTCATATCTAGAATTTTATTCTTTGAATGCTGACTAGCTCTTACACTGTATTTGTTTTGCTTTGGTCCTGAAATTAGCAGCACACTGAGGCAGATATAAGCATTAGTACTCTCCTGACAAGCTAAATGGAAGCCCCTGCAGCAGCAGTAATAGCTGTGCTGCTTACTTTCCAATAACAAGCCAGTCCCGGCTGCGGGGGGGGGGGGGGCTGCTGGCACAGCTAATTACACCTCCATGTGAGGAGATGTGGAGCTGCAACTGCATCCTCCTCCACAGTTACCCAGGCACCACCCCCACCACTAACAGTACTCCGGCACTGCCCCACACATGTGAAATCTGTGGAGAGCATGTGAATGTGAGTAAATAGTGAAATGTCAGACAACAGCAGCAGGTGTGATGGACACAACTTGAAACTATATTTGAGCACCTGAATAATATAAGGGACGCTATAACCAATCATCAATATTTGAACCGCGTAGTCTGGTGCTGCAGTTGGCTTAATGAAGAAGATCAAAGTGTTTTAATTTGATCTTCTTGGAGGAATGATGTATAGTAATATTATGCTTCTTTGCCTTTTGTCTATTTATTCCCATAATGATTTATTCTATAATATTGCATTAATGTATAATGTGTAGTATTGCTACAGTCCTGCTAAAATCTGTGTTTATCATTAACTGTGTCTTCTTCTGGCCTCTTACATTACGTCTCCTTCTTGCAGTGGCTCTTGGGGCTTATTGGGGTCTTCGGCTCAGCTTCATCCTTCCTTGAGGTAAATTCTATTAAAGGTTGAGCGTCATACACGGCACAGCCCATCAGTTGTTTGTTCAATCCTCAAGAGGATTTAAAGCAGACAAGCTCAACAATGAGCTATACCTGAAATAAATGGACACACAAGTGATGAGCTGAGCTGTGGAGGACAAGTACTCTGTGACATTTTCAGTCTCGTGTTATCCCCCCCTTACTTTTCCTCATCATCATCTGAAATCTCCCTTAGCACCTTCAACGACATGATTGAGCATTTGTCGCCCCACAGGAAAATCAGCAAAGAGGGGAGCAGAGATGAGTTGGAGGACTTGTATGAAGATGATACATTTACAGAGTTAACAGATTAAAAAAAAGAGTTAAGAAAATGACTTGTTTTCTATCTATTTGTCCTGAACTCACCTCATTTTTGCTTTTGCTTCATGTTTGCTGTGCTTGTATGCTTAAATTAGTCTCTCACTTTAGGACATACAATTTATAATTGTGGTATATTTTAAATAAGGATATAGATGCATTAAAGCTAGGGATGGTAAAGAGAGTGGCTTTGGGACGGGCTGTGTGGCAGACTTGCCGACTTTCTTGCTAGATTCAGTGATTTTGGAGCTAGTGCTCCTAGCTACTTTGACTGGAAAACAGTTGGCAACGCAGGGTTGGATTTTTGGTTGGGTGATTCAAAAATCTAGCATACTCTTGCCAGTTTCTCAACATTATCGACCCTACCTTTATAGGTGTTAAATGGGAGATTTGGAGCATTGCTATTGTCTCCCTATGGCTCTCAGCATGGCGATGGCTGAGCTGCCGGCTAACAGCTCTAACAGGGCAAACTACAGTGTTGACAGAGCTAACAGTATTTACCTGAGGTGGAAGCGGAAGGGTAGGCACTATGCTTTTGCAATGACGCTGTCCGCTATAACTGCTGTATGAGTGCAGTGCATTGTGGCGGGTGTGAGCTAGTGGGGCACACTCACGTGCACTTAAAGCATGCGTGGCCGGCCCGGCTATGTCAACAAAGTAAGAAGAAGCTTACACGTAAATAGACATTATGTCACTATATCTTGACAGAGCAAACAGTTGTTTGATGCTATTTAATTCTCCGAATCCGACCCCGAGCCAGATTAGATTTTGTTACGTTCAGTCTGTTTGTTTACCGATGGCATGGTTGATGTTGTTCATGGATGTGATATTATGCATTTGCTTTGGACTGTTGTTAAAAATGTTAATATGCTCCACAAAGAAGATATTTTTACATTTTCCTGCAGCTGTTGAAGATAATAATTGTATTGTTGAAAATAATAAAAGTTATTTTAAACTGACTTTGAATGATTGCAGAAAAAGCCATTATTGTGCTTGTGTCAACAATTTTTTGTTTTGTCTCTGGTTTGCCTGCGTTAGTTCCACATTCAGCAAAGTCTTTCTGCATTTTATGTCTATGAGGCCTTTTACAATTTCAGCCAGAATCATATTTAGAAAATTCTTAAAACTGGTATCTTTATTCATGCATAAATGCATAAATAAGGTTATCTGCAGCAACACAGAGAATGTCACATCTCTAAAACACATTCTCATGCCAGCAAACCGGAGCCTGGTTTTATTTTGAAGGCCCCTTTCTGAAGCCTTTTTCAGTTTCCAATGCATGTCATTCTTCAGACCAGTAGAGGGCAGCATTGTGTAACAATTAAAAAGAACCACAACAAACTAGGTGGCCTGAGTTTGAGCCCCTGTTAATAGCAAATTGCTAAAGTGCCCTTGAGCAAGACACTGGGCCACATCCAGCTCCAAGAACGCTGCTCTGACAAACTTTAATTACAAGATGTTCAAAAATTGCATCCAAAAATAACGTACCATTTATAATCTGAAGCTAACAAGCTAAAAAAAAATAGAATATAAAATGCCAATAAAATCTAAAAATCCTAAAAATATGTATGACACTGCCACTTGGATATTTCATCAAAATGCAAACTGTATGCAAAAATAGATGTTTTCTTCTGAGGATTAGTTAGAGGTATGATGCTGCAAAATGTAAAATCCCTGAGTGCCTCTGACAATCACAGCATTACTGTCCAAGACGTGACCCGATCAGCACAAATATCAGTTTTGTCACATTGAGGTTTGGGAGAGACAAATTTTAATGAGGAAAACTCTCTGTGCTGTATAGTAGAGGGGGCCTGAAGGTTTCTCTGGAGGTGTGTGAAGTAGGAGGAACATTATCTGTGATGGTCTGAGACATAACATAGTTGATGGAAAATATGTTGTTGAACACAAGAGGAGTTAAACTGAGTCCAACAGATGTATGTGATAATGATACGATGACAACTTTAAAAGGAACAGCCCCACATTTTGGGAAGAATTCTTAATAATATAGAGTTACATGAGACGACCAATACCACTTTCAAACACAGTGGTATAATGTATTAGATCGTCTCACTCTCGGCATAAAGAGATTTATCGTGTTTCCCCACAAAATAGGATAGCGACTTATAATTTTCTTTCAAATATATTTTCATCAAAGGAGTAGGAATAATGTCATAGCCTTATAGAGAGGAAAGCTCTGTGTTTGCTGGTCCGACAATAAATTATCACTCTGATTATCACTCTGCTTTTATCTGATGCGTTGAAGACATGTAGTAGCCTGGCACATATTCTATCACAGATAAACGTCCCACATCCTTAAGTGACCTCTATGTAACACAGTTTACAATATGAAATTGAATAAACTAAATAAACTCTCTTGTTACAATTTTCTGTGTTGGCTGCTTTGGATACGTGTTAAAAGATGTAAAACCCTTCAGCCTCTGGAAGCTGAAATGGTTCATGAGACCATTTGTATTCCTGCAGTCAGCCCATTTTTCTGCCGCTGCAGTTATGTGAAGACCAAAGAGTGTTTCTGAGCAAAGATTTCTGTGGAAACTGTTGCCATGCAACAGCACAATACTGCGCTCATACAGAGTAGTAACATCCCTGTATGACTGCTCTCTTTTCCTGAGCTCACTGCCCGAGTAGTAAAGCAACGGTATGTTCTGTTCTACTGTATTTTCAAATGCATTACAATCTTTATGTTTTGGGCTGTAAGTGCTGTGTCATTGTTTCGTGGATGGTCAGGGGGAACCTTGCTTCAGCGTCTGGTTCCACACTCAGTTTCCACATCCAGATCCAGCTGTAGTTCAGCCTCAGATATTTAGCTTAACACTAACCCTCGGTTCTCACTGTTAACTCTGTATTCCTGTCACCTCACCACTATTCACCCCCTACAGCTCCACATCACCACCCACCCTCCTCTCTCCCTTTCTCTGTCGCTCACTGCCTGTTACTCACCACAACCGACCCCACTGGCCCGCTGTCATGAGCTGCACATCCCCTCAAGGCTGCAGAGTGGAGGAAGGCTTTTTTTTTTCTTCTTCTTGCCTGCACTGTTGGGAATCCCCTGTGCTCACATACATAATGAGTCACCAGCTCAGACATCAGGCAGACCCACAAACACCGGAAGGTATAATTTGTCAACCAGTTGGCAGCTTATGGGAGCTGATTGTAAAACAAAGCATGACACAGAAAGGCAAGAAATATTCAATAGATGATTGATAATGAAATGCAAAAAAAGCATCAGACTGCATTTTTTTGCATCAACAGATGACTCCACAAAAGTCTTGATAATATATTTAAATTATGAACAGTTAATTCTAACATTGTGAGCCCGTTTTTGGCCTCTGAAGTTAAGACTTCCAAAATAGACGTCATATTACATACGATGCATCGATTCGCACCACAGACTGCTAGACAAGTGATGACATTTCATTCTCACTCTCATGACTGAGCAAAAAAAGATCACTTTCTTAAACAGATGCAGCTAAATTTAGCACAACGTTAGGCGTTAACTGTTTCGCTGTGTGTGGCCGCCCTCATCACTGAAGACGCCTCCCCTGGTCAGCAATCTGTCAGAGGAGGTCACACAGACAGGTCACCTCCTCTGATGGTGAGTGGACTGTAGAGGACACAGTATCCTGGTTTCTATCAGAGTACTCCAGGGGGCATATCCAGGCTCCTCAAAACCCGGGATAAGGGCTTATACAGCGTAAGCTGTTTACATGTACAAAACATAAAAACACAAACAATATGACATATGACGATATGATAATATACATATACATGTTATCTTTCACAGATGAAATTAAGTTCTTGCTTCTCAGTTAGCAGATGATCTTTATTGTAAAGAAGTATTGTGGGAGAAAAAGAACCCTCTGAAATTGTATTTAAGAGTAAATCAATTAAATGTTTTGAGCTTTAGGTTTATATTTATAAATGACATCATCTTAATGAATTCCAGGATGTGTAGCACATCAAATAAGATTTTAAATAATTGATTTTGAGCATATACCTGTGTTATTTCGTCTCAAGGAACGTGGTGTGACTGTGATCATTTTGCAAAGTGAGGCCTTAAAAGAACATGCAGGATGACATAACTGTCGGGGTGGGGGAGGGGGGACTTAATTTTAGACTCACCTTTTACAAACTTCTGTTCATCACACAAGCCTCTGTAGTTATGAATAATCACCACCAGTATTATTAGCTGATTTGATCATCTAAAATGACAGCAGTGCTGTATGTTGCAGCCAGATGGAGAGGGTTTATTTGGGGGGGGGGGGGGGGGGGGGGGGGGGTGGGGGGGAGGGGGGGGGGGGTGAAGCTCTCCCAATAATCCTGTGATAACACTTTTCCACCGCCTATTGTATCCTGCAATGATTTGGGACAAGTGCTCCCTTAAAATAGTCTCTTAAAACCTTCATCTGAACATTTTGATAAATAATACAAAGTCTAAATGTTAGCTTGAATAATTAATTTTGCAGCAGTCATGCATAGCGGCTGTCTTTGTGCCTGGAAGAGTCAGCAGCAGTGCTCTTTGTCCTCTCATTACTTATTCCTTAAATAATACTAATAGCAGGGTGTAATGAACTTTAAGAAAACAGAAGCTGTATTTTGGTGTTATCTGTGTGATTTCATGTCATGTCGTGTGTTTGCTCAGCTGGAGGTAAATCTGATGAATCAGCCTCTCTTAACCGAAGATATGAACTCTCACCAACCGTACAGAGGCAGATCGTCTCTATAGTGGAGTGGCTGTCACATTGATGTCTCTGGTCTACTCACTGTCTACTCACAGGCTGCAGGGAGGCCTATTTATAGATCTGTTCTCTGCTTCTACATCGGTCCCCTCTTTCTCCACCATCTCTCTTCCCTCCCCTCTAATGGGTGGATATTTCTGGATATTTCTGTACAGCTATTATCTTCTTTGCATCTTGGAGGTACAGATCACATTGAGTCAGATAGTTACCTTTTCAAACTCTGACGTGTCAGTAGCTGATGCTCAGAGATATATTCTTGTGTTTGGTATCAGTGCTGAATTCATTTTCAATCCAAGGCATTATTTCTAATCACTTGATTGGTCACAAGCTGCAATGTTTCACCTCCAGGCCTGTAGGTTTTAATTACTGAGTGAAACTTCAGGCTGTCTGTTGTGCGCGTCCATATACACAGAGCTGACACTTTTGCCCCAGAGCCACAAAACAAGTCATGACAGCCGTGTGTTTTGGTTGATGGTTAATGGCTCAACAACGGCTGTGAGAAGCACCGAGCCACGGGAGGTTAAACGCCTTTCAGTGCAGGAATTTGTAGACAGCAAGAAATGCTGCATTCAGTGTGGAGTTAACAAAGGAAATCAATAGAGTGCAACAATAAAGATCAGACCTTGTGATGACCTTTTCGTAAAAATCACTGACCTCATGTTTTCTGAATAGACAACAGCAAACAAGGACTTGGGAAAACAGGTAATCTGATGTCAAAAAGGGGTGGCAGGGCATTAAGGCCATTAGTTGACTAAAAATAAGACTAAGTGTCTACATCCATGCTAGCAACTCTGTGAGGCTGTAGTTTGCAAAGTGGTGCTTTGAGCTAAATGCTAACGTTGCATGCTACATGCTCGCTGTGACAATGCTGACATCGATAGCAAGTGATGCTGTTGTTCAAAAAACGTAAAAAAATATCCAAGAAGAAAAGAAGGCGGTTCCTACCGACACAAAATTGAGTGTCGGAAAATTATCTGCACACTGGATTTAAGCAAAAAAGTCCTTATAGGACTGAAAGTTTTGACTCATCAGGTCAAATCATTGCCATTTTCTCAGTCTCACAAAGTTTTGAGAGCTTAAAGGAATAGTTTGACATTCTGGGAAATACTCTCCTTTTCGCTCTTGCTGAGTTAGACGAGAGGATGGATATCAATCATGTCTGTATGATTACGCATTAGCATAAAGATTTGACAATAAAGATTTGAAATAAATGAAGTTTCAACATTACTTAGATATTGGTCAGGGGCTGTCCTTCATCTGACCGAAAAATGAGGACGTGTCGGACTATTACACAACTATCTCTCTTCAAACTTGAACGAGCTAATGAAATTCAGGGAGGACAAAAATAACCTACCTGTTTCATCTTCAAATACACCTGGCTTCCTCAGTTTATTTTTAGACATTAAAGATACAGATTCTTCTACATCGTCTGGACCTTTTCAACATGACGTTGCATAAAGTGGCATCAGCGTCCACTGATGCTACAGGCATTTGCCTTTCTGGGACATAACTAAGACTCAATGATCTGTTGTGCGTTGTTGTTCCGGCGTCCCCTCAGGGACACAATGCTCCGTGTGATGAAAGTGATCAGACAGAGCGGTTATTGTGGAACTGAAGCATGCCTGAACAATTTTCTGTTTTGTATGTATCCTGTAGATGTCACCTGTAAAGCATGATCTTCTCCAGGGATGTAATTGCATCAATTAAATAAACTGCATTAAATATATACTGTCTGTTTGTTTAATTCAAACAGCATGAATTACACATTACTCTATGAGGGTGTGTTTAGTTTTACTTTAATTGTTCAAGATTTGTTTTTTTAAACATCCTAAATTTAATCTGGAGCTGCTGGAGATTCAATCACATGTCTATCAGTAGGCCCCGGTGTGTTTTGGGATGTAAAATATGACCAACATTTACCAATAATGAGGACACCAATGTCGCTGAAAGTGTAGCATTGCATTAAGACAGGCCGGTTGGTGCTGAATCCTATAATGCCTCCTGTGTGCTTTGAGCTTTCATTTTTTTTATTACAGGATGCAATAGGTGTCTGTGCAGTGCAGCAAGGAGCCGGGCTAATAGTGGGATACTTATTATAGCCCTAGCAACAGTCAGCGGATTGGTGGCTGCGGAGAGTGAGCCTGTCAGCGATTGGCTGGCGAGGAGGACCTTTCAAAGCTGAGAATTTCATCTCATGAAAGGTTCAGTGCAGCAAGCTGCAGCAAGGGGCTGCAGTCAGAGGGTGGGCGATCCAGCAGCTTTGGCACTTCAGCTTATCAATCAGTGTGACTTCCAGTTTATATACTGCGATAGACTCGACATTTAGGTGTAACAATACGACTCGTGTGTACCTAGAAGCACAGAGAAGCAGATTCTCCTTCCATTGTTCATCATGAGATACAGGGTTTTATTTTATTGCAGCGCTCCTCTGCTGCGATCATTAAACCTGCTGTCTCTTTCATCTGTGCCCTAATTTAATTAATGATTAGCAAGGTGGTGTTAAAATAACCTCATTTAAGACATACTGTAGTTGTTAAGTGAGCTGGCAGTGTCTCTGCACTGCAGCTAATGCAGACTCCATCTCATACGTTCACCCACAGACACTCCACACATAATGGTGCAGGCATATACACTGTATACACATACTTATCCAGATATGGATGCACACACAGACACACACACACACACACACACCTGTTGTGTGAGGCACAAGGGGGTTACATGAGGTCTTATTGACTTCCTGTATCATTGTTCAGGCTGTAAAACTCAACAGAAATGTATGAAATCTGTTGAATGAAAAGAACAAGCTGTGGTGTTTGTGGTATGACTGTAAATGTTACAGAGAGAAATAATAATATAGAATAGTACCGATAAACAAATAACTTTAATGGGCAACAGATGGCAACCAAAAATTCCTCAGAGCATACAGTTTATATCCCCCCCCCCCCCCCCTGCTAATATCCAGCAGGTCAGCTCCTCTTTGATCTAATTCACGATCTTCTCTTTTCACCTCACTTCCTGTATTTGTATGTTTTCATGTCACAGCAGAAACAAGGATCAACATCCAACATATTGAAAACTTAAAAATAAAAACACAAACCACGGGGGAAAAAAACAGCTAATTGATTAAAAAGCAACACAATGCATGTATTCTTGGCAATGAGTGAAATTCTCCTGACATGATTTCCACTCTTTTTTTTTTAACTCACAAAACATAAAACTTTAAATAATGGTTTCGACTCCATTCTAATATTCATAAGCTGTGTGAGCAGTTGTGCAGATTGGCATCAGGATTTCATGCTATTTGTCTGGCGAGCCTTCAAGATCAGCGACTATGTTAAAAAATAAATCAAAGCAGCTGTGACATACAGTGTGAGCTCATGGAGGCTGACTCATGAGGGTGACATAATTGGCATACGTGAACAAGGTTGTGTGACTGACCTTAAGGCTTTTGGTTTCTCTCTTAAGCCATCATATCTGTGATAAGTCCCAAAAAACTGTCATCTATTGGGAAAAATAAATACCGGAAAACTGCCATCTGTATGAATATATTAATGTAATAATCTATAGTAGTAGCAGCATTATGACGATGAATCCATTCAGCAGCTTTCTGTGCCCTTGAGCAGCTCCCTAGTGTCTAAAGTTTGTTCTGAAGACGTAAATTATCACATTTGCTAATCTAAAATAAAACAATTCTACTGAATTGCCTATGCTTTCCCAGTGATTCTATTTGTGCATTGGTGTTGAATATTCATATCTATGTGCTGTACAGAGAGCAGTACCATCCCACACATGTCAACGTGAGGAACATATTACATCTTGCACACATGCATGCAGGAACTTAAAACGGGCATATAAATCCTTTTTTTGTAAAGGTTAACTTGCAAATGAGGCATATTAACTAATACAGGCACAAAAAGAAAGCACATGCTGTATTCAGGGCACAAAACAAAGTGTTTTCTCCCCTTTAAAACAACATTTTCTTATGGGTGACGATACAACAATACACTAGACCACCACGGAAATGGTGCATGTATAATTTAGTCATATTCTCTTTTTATTATCATAGCTATTTATTTCGGTTCTTGTGCAACTGCTACATAATGACTCACATTCAAGATATTTTGTCACTCAGGAACAGCTAAAAGGTATAAAAACAAACAAAAAATGTATATTGTCAGAAATAAAACATGGTCCACATTTGTGAATTCATAACAGAAACATTGAGCCTGAAAACTTCACTGTTATTAAAAGTGGGTAGCATGACAGAAAAAAAATACTTCAATACTGTTCAAGGAACAAAATATATCATAATCATACTTCAATGGGACAAACACCAGCTGGTAAGATTAAGTGATCACTGGTGAGTTTTTATCCTCCTTTTTTTTTTCTTCTCATTAACAAATTAAATACACATATTGCACGTCACTATAGCAACGCCCATTACAGGTCAACTTTTACGATCACCATTTTGGTTTAGCAAATCAAAAAACCAGAACAAAACGAAATAAATCAGAGATTAGAAATCAACAAACAGACAAAGCTTGTTTTTCTCAATCATATGAATGAATACTTAACACCCATAGTATAAGTTAATAAAGTCAAGCTACTGTATATAAATACATCACCAGCATGCACAATATTGAACAATCGATATTATTGTTGTCATCATCTTACACTGAAGAAACAGTATAGTAGGCAAGTGCATTTAATAAAACAAACACAGAAGTAAACCACAAACTCTGAAGCTGCTTTTATTTGTTTTGGTTTTTTTTGTACTTTTTTTTGTTTTAATTGTTAAGTCTCTGCCTTTCGTAATCTTCACCTCTATGACTCAATGGTTCAAGTGAAATAACAGACCAATCTAAACTTTAAGGAGGGGAATCAAGTTTTACTATCAAGTCCTCAATTTCACACCTGTCTAATTTGTCCTTTTAAATGTTGGGGGAATTAATCCAATTAAAACTTTCTCTTTTCTCGTTGTTTGTGTCAGTTTAACGTCAGGCTGAGGGCTCTCGGGGCCCTTTCTCATATACAGACTTACTACTGGAACCAATGCAAACTAGTTTTGTGAGGCATTCCCATTCAAGCATTTTCTCTCTCAAGTGACTCAAATGCATCTCTATCACGCAAAAACCTAACTAAGCAGCTTATCTTGACAGAACAAGATCAGTTCCTATGCCAGTGTGAGGCTGCCATTTCAATCCAACAACAACCACTTCAGGCTGATTGACTGACATATCAGTGGTTTTGGCAAATGTCAAAGAGAAAATCAAGAAGACGGAGGCCCCTTTCAACTGTATATATATATTTCTATATATATTTAAACTAAGATTTAACCTCCACTCTCACCTCTCTTTTGATTCTTTTCTTTTAACACATGGAAAAATAAAGAACTGCTGCTGCGGTAGTATCGTCGGCAAAAGTGGCTGCCAAAGTCCACCCGCCCTTCATATATATTTTTTTTTTCGAAGTGTGGTTTCTCTTTAATTGTTGCCCTCCCCTCCCTCGTCATCCTGCTGGTCACTTGTCCACAGTGTCAAGTTGTCTCGGAGCAGCTGCATGATGAGAGTGGAGTCTTTGTAGGAGTCCTCGTTGAGGGTGTCGAGCTCGGCGATGGCGTCGTCGAAGGCGGTCTTGGCCAGATGACAGGCCTGGTCTGGGGCATTCTGGATCTCGTAGTAAAACACAGAGTAGTTGAGAGCTAAGCCCAGGCGGATGGGGTGGGTGGGCTGCATATGCTCCTTGCTGATCTCGTGGGCCTCGTTGTAGGCCTTCTCCGAGGACTCCACCACGGTGGCCTTCTTCTCGCCCGTGCCCACCTCGGCCAGGTACCGGTAGTAGTCGCCCTTCATCTTCAGATAGAACACCTTGCTCTCGTGCTGCGTCTCGCTGCAGTTCTTGATCAGGAAGTTGTCCAGAAGGTTGAGCACATCCTGGCACACGGCCTCCAGCTCCTTCTCAATCTTCTCCCTGTAGGCCCTCACCATCTCAATCTTCTTCTCGTTGCCGTCGGCCGAGGTCTTCTGCTCAATGCTGGAGATCACCCTCCAAGAGGAGCGACGGGCCCCGACCACATTCTTGTAGGCCACAGACAAGAGGTTCCTCTCCTCGTTGGACAGGGCCTCATTCAGCTCTGTTACCTGGAAGAGGGAGACAATGGACCATTTAATCACCAGAGCAGAAGTCTTGATTAATAGCACCAGACTGCATATACAAAGAAAAGAATATGATGACATATAATCCAAAAGAATCAAGCGTTATTACTAGAGTCTGCAATCATTTTATGGTTCCAGCTTCTCGAAAGTGAGGATTGTCTGCTTTTCTTCTTTTTATATATTGTAAATCTAATATCCTTTGGTTTGGGAATATTGGTCGGAAGAAAGAGGCAATTTTAAGATGTCACATCTTTGTCACATTTTTGGTGTGTGGATTAAAGCACCAACCACTGCAACTTCCGTGGATTGAGCATGGCCGGGGATCTTTGTTGCATCTCTCTTTAAAAATTGAGTTACATTAAGTTAGAGTTTTACAAACCAATCAATATATCAAGTGATCAAGAAAATGATCGACAGATTGTTAGTTGCAGTCTTAATTATGAAAAGGCACTCTTTTTAGGTGACAGACTCTGGACTGACAGTTCACAGCACAGAGGGTGAACAATATTTCACTTGTCATCTGCAAGTCTCGGTCTCCATGACAATTCATTCATTTAGTTCACATTCATTTAGCTCCAGCTGCCACGTGGACAGCTACGCTAGCTAAGAATATTTAAGATAGTCGGCGGCAGTGGGGGGTTTGGGAAAGGAAAGGAGGGCTGGAGATGGCTAAAATGTTCCCACGAGCACTCCGGGGCAGCTGCACTGTAAGGGAAAACCATCACTGCACAGGCAGTTCACGTGTCCCAATGACCTTCTCTCTGGCTCAAGCTGACCTTTTTACCTGTCTCAAACACCACGCTGTGACATCACTCTGAGATCGACTGTTAATTTTAGATTTTGACGGATCAGTTTGAAAGTTGGGTTATTGTCAAAAGAGGCTATGTTGGTATAAAAAGGCCACCTTACTTAGGGCTATTTGATTGGAAAAGCAACCCTTGCATTGGCTTCTCTCAGATCAATAATTGCACAGGGACTGAAAAATAAAGAAATACGTAGGCTTCACAAAAGCTGTTTTTTTTTATCTGAAAAGCTCCTCCTTGACGGACTAACATTTTTTTATTTTTAACATTTTCTGCTCAGGCAGAGGAGCACAAAGATGGCGCATGGATCACAGACGTCACACACTGAGTGGACGAAGAGCAGGGCTCAAGCTATAGAGATGGAGAGGCCTACTGTAAACCTACTGTGCGCATGCAAACGGCAAACAGGAGGAATTTACTGTCAACTGATTTCTAGTAATCAATTGACTCAATAGTTGTTTTTTAAAACAAAACAAATAGGTCATCACTCTAATTACAATACTTGGGAAGCTTACTGCTGTGTCATTTGGATTAGAGTTATATAATTATATATTTAAAAAATTTGCTGAGAATCCATCCGACTGACACAAATGTCATATATGTACAATTTCAAAGGCTCCATAATCCGATCAATACCCAGATCCTCATTTAGAGCTAAAAAGCCCAAGAAGCTTTGTCGAGCTGAAACAATTAGTGGATCAATGAATTACTGACAGGAAATGAATCATATGCAACTGATTTGATCATTCACTTTGATTATTTCTTTAGGCAAAAAGAGGACTAAACAATCACCAGTGTCAGCTTCACAAATCTGAATATTTTATGTTTTCTTAGTCGTCGATGATAGTAGATTAAATATGTATTGGTTTTGAAAGGTTAGTCCGACAAATCAAGACATTTTAAAATGTCAGTTGTGATGGGCATTTCTTGCTATTTCCTGACATTTTTACGCCCAAACGATTAATCAATTGCATGAGAAAAAAATCGTTAGCCCTAGCATATCCATAAAAAATCAGTCTAAAAAGCTGCACAAAAGGCTGTTACGATGACAATAAACCTTCTGTATTTTCCATGTCGTTTTGTCATTTTTTGACTGTAATGCCAAGGGATTCCCTTTGATTAGAGAGTGAGAGCACACACCCCTGCAGAAAGGCCTAGTTTGGACCGCACTGACACGGCAGATTGTTTAAAGGGAAAGGAATCCCTCCCTGCACACACACTTCATCCCACCTCCTGCAACCAGAAACCCCCGATGACAAACAATCCACAGGGGCTCACTCCATCCCTCCTGAGGAATATCTGCCGAAATGTTCCTCCTTTAAAGCACGTATGACGATTTGAATCTGTATGTGAGCTCATGCAGGCTCCCGGCTAAGACTCCAAGGACGCGATTGGTTCCAGTATGAGCCGGTGTGACACAGCAGTTTTTTTTAACCCATGGGGATTTCAGTTACCAGCATTTCTTTAAGGGGGCAGAGTTTTGAAAAGCAGACAAAAGGCTGGGTCCTCAGCATCGGTCATTGAGAGCTGCGAAAGATCCTGTGAGGCATCAAATATTACACTTTATTAGGGTTATTAACCCAAAGTGACCTGAAATTGTTGCTTGGTATCAAGAGGAATCTGACACAGAAAGAGCACATGCACATGTATGAGGAGTAAAGTGAGGAGCCCACGATCCTGATCATATCGACTCGCTGCAATATGACAGAGAATCTTCCAGAGAGATTCTGCTGCCTCCTACGTTTGTTTAGAGCAAAGAGCAGATGAAGGGATCTTTTTGGAGCACTTTTATAATGCAATCATGCTCAAAAAATCTCTCTATTGGATACTAGCATGACAATTGATCGGATTTTGAACATGCATATAATTTTGATTAATATGACAAAGAGACAAGGAAGAGGAGGAGGAGGAATAGAAGGAGGAGGAGGAGGTGGAGGAGGAGGAGGAGGAGGCAGCAGCAGCAGCAGTTGATAGGCTTTTTCCGAGCAACCTCACATGGCTCCCGGCAGCAGAAGCTATTATAAATTAGGCATTATGGAGGGAGGGGAGGTGGGGTGGTAGAAAGGGGGGAAAGGCAGCTAATGCAATAGAGCAGAGCCATTATATGATTCAAGCCTTTTATTAACCGAGAGATCAAGCTCAGGCCTGTGTGCATTTCATTGTAATATCCCTTCAGTGAACGGCACGGCCACCAGAAAGGCACCGCCCAAGGAGCAGACGATTTGGACTCGACTCAGAAAAAAAGGCTGAGCTGCAAATGAATTCATGACAACACAATAAAGATATTAAATATGATTTTTCTCTGGATTGTAGCACTGAAACATCAAGCCAGTGGTGCAACCCCCAGATTTACAGCCATACAGTCAAGATTGCAGTACGAACCTTTACGCAAAGAGAGCAAAACATTTTCATACAAGTCATAATTATTATCTTTTTATTTATTTATGGACTTACCGATTTCATAGCAGCTGCCATATCATCATATCTCTCAGCCTGTTCAGCCAGCCTGGCTTTCTGCACCAGCTGCTCGCGATCAACCATTTTTCAAATGATATTTAGTTGCTTAGTCGAGCTGCTCTACTTGAGTTTTTAGGGATGAAATGATTGGTATTTTAAATCGCAATGCAGTGAAATCCTACGCGAACCTAATGCTGCAGCTGTTCCCTGCTGTCTGTCTGTGCTCCGTGCAGACGGGACACCCTCTCCTCTCTCCCTCCCTCACCCCTCCTCACACGCTCTCCCTCGGCTGCGTCATCACTCAGAAAGGTGGGTGTCTGTGTCAATGATGTAACACTCCGTACTTGGGAACCAGAGGCGTAAAGGGATGGATAGACGGGAGCAGCTGGGCCTAAGGCCTTGTGGGAAATGAAGTCCTCTGTGGCTGCATGCTGGAGCTAGAGGCCCGTAGGATTATGGTGGGGTTAGGGTGTGACTCAGGTATTTGTTAGCCGCTGGGCCCATGTCGAGGAGATGAGAAAGTCCTATGTAGAGGTGGCTCACATTCAATGGACAGACTGTAGTTTGAATCTGGACCGAATATACAATTTAATCTGGACAAGAGAACAAAACTGAACCAGCATCATATCAAGCTAACAAAATAATAATTGTAAAATCTGCATATTAAAATGTGAACAGCCTATAGTAAAAAAAAATAATGCACATTAACCTAGCACCTTTTGTACAAGTTTAAGGACTTGGTTAAACAACGGTAGCTCCAATGAATTTTCAGAATTTATTGTCTTTTCTTCTTTATTACTGGAGCTTGTATGACAGAACAGGTTAAACTTATCAACATCGGAGGAGGAAGGATTTTTTAATGTTACGGTGCCAGTCATGTTATCTGCCCAGTCATGTTATCTGCCCAGTCATGTTATCTGTTTTGTTGCAGCTGTTCACATTCTGCCTGATACAAAATGCGCTGCTGTTATTGTTTTGTTTGTGTTGCCTTACATGGACTAGACTACAGAGCATTTAATTGTGCAACCCTGTGTTGCACAATGACAATAAATGTTTCTTGAACTTTGAATCCTTGAACCTTGAAGTGTGTTTTGTAATGAATTGCATATCACTTGATATCAGACTGAACATTCTGAAGAGTGGATTTTCAACTTTCTGGTTCAAGTCCAAAACAAGTCATTAACATTGTCTTCTCTCATCTGAGCTGTGGCCGCTGGACAGTATAAGGACAATGTTCAAAGAGATTTAATGAAAATCAACCTGAAACAGTAAAAGTGATGTCCTCCCCAGTCACCAGTGGAAATTACACCCTTGGGCAAACACTACACCGGGAGTTACCCACTACATTTTTTTTTATTGTGGGTGCTTGTAACACGACCGCAGAAATGCACAGACGACTGAGTTCCTCACAGCCCAGTAGAGTGAGCCTCAGTGACCCTCAGACGCCTTGTGCTCCTGGACTAGCCATAAAAAGAGAATTGGTCTCAAGCAAACGGGCAGACAAATAAAGTTTTATTAGGAGGCCTGCTGCCCGTGGGCTCACCACCATGGTGACTGTTAGAGGTCCTACTGGGAGCTTGGGATACTTTTTAAGATTTTAGGAACTGTTGGATTATCAGAGGAGACATTAGGAGGATTCAACGGTTATTTGTGCATTCCCTTGTATTGTCTTAACTTCTTAAAATGTCTTGCTATATACGAGATTGGGAGCATTTCTATTGCCTCTCAACCGCTCAGACATGGCGATGGCTTAGCTTGTATCTAACGGCGCTAGCAGCGCTAATAGCGCAAACAACAGCAAAGGCCTGACGGAGCAAACAGTGTTTACCTGAGGGAGAACCAGAGCTATGGGAATGGGCCACATTCACACACACAAACATGCACGATCATGCACTTAATGCACGTGCGTTCGGCCCGGCTATGTCAACACAGCAAGCAGAAGCTCGGATAACAACACACACAGAGGGAGAATGACCTCATTCTCTGGTTGACATTACTCCACTGTATATCTTTATATAGCAAATAGTTGTTTGCTTACCTCTCTCTCGCTGCTTGTTTCCAGTTTGCCTCTCTGCTGTCATCCGTTTAATAATGGTGAAAAATGTGTCTTCATGGTTTGGCTACAAATTGGAACATTATTGTATTTTTGAAAGTTGGTAATGTTTTATTAAGCATGAGAGTCATTCATGTCATGTTTCATATCTAAATCTGTCATTTTAGTTTGTTCTCTAGAGTTTGTGTTCTTCTTAACGAATATTAATCTTTGATTCTAACATAAAAATCATACAGGTCAACAAATTCAGTGACGATCATCATTGTGTTTAGAAAAATGTCAAATTAGATCAATTAGGGTCAAGATTTTTGTTAAAAAATAACTTTTAAGGGGAGAAATGTCCTTCCCAGTTTAATACAAAAGTGATCTTTGATTTTTATTTCCTTCTTTTCCCAGATTTTTTAAGATAGAGCATGGTTTGGGTGTGAATTTAACAACTCTGATTATTAACTACAATAAAACAGAATGTAACACATCTTCTGACATGTTACAATGTCGCATCCTGGATAGACTTTGTCCCATGTTCTCAGACTTTAAATTTTAATGTATTTTTTTTAACCATGACATCATGGCTCACAAGGAGTCCCTGAACTGTAATCTGAGATCAGAGCACTTCCTGTCCTCAAGGCCAAACACCAGGGAGTGATGCAACGAGCAAACTGCCGGTGAGGTTGAATTTGTGCAGCTCTTTTAAAATAACCATCCTGAGAGATAACCGTGCAAATAGGAGGCCGCAATTTCATATCTCAGCATCAATTTCACTCCCTCCGATGTGTCCCAATACTTTATATATTTATTTCACACTGTGTGGCATCTTCACCAAAGCAGCACTATGAGCTACTTAAAGCAGATCGAGACACATTTGTTCTCAGCCCCCTCTTCTTGCCAAACATGGAAATTAAGGTGTCTGAGGCTGAGACATCATGTTCTGCAGTGTGAAGCATAAGAAAGTAAGATTTGTTGTTGCGAAAACGTTTATGAAACCTGTAAGAACAAAACTGTTCCCAGGCAGTTTATAAACACGTATTGATGCAGTACCCTCAGTTAGTGGCACAGGACAAATTAAGACTATTCAATTCAACTTTATTTATTCCTGTAAAGACAATTGTATGCAGCACCTCGCCACTCACTTCAACAGGTACAAACACGATAGATAGGAGAAAGAGGGAACAAAAACTAAGTACAATCAATGCGGGATTGCTACTGAATACATTGATGAATTAATATATAATTATAAAATATATTTTAAACAATATACAAAGCAACAAGGCTGCAAAAAAATAGACAAAAGCATTGATCAAATGAGACAGACGACTGCCTTTAATGGAAACTGACACAAGAAAATGTAATTCACATCCAAACTAAACACACACGATAGAAATGCGAAGGCTGAGGAGTATGTGTAATTTGATTCTAATATGAATGATGGAAACCACCTAGATATTATTTTTGTGTGTGTGTGGGGGGGGGGTCCAAACCAGAAACTTGGTCACAATAAACCCACAACTGAAGTCAGACGTGTCCACTTCCTGAACCTTCCGTTTCTCTGCAGGAGGAGATTATCACCTGCTGACCTGACCATAGGTCAGGAGAGGAAGTGCTGACTTTCAGTAAAGCGTAAACTGGATCAAGTTGTATGAGGAGGAAAATACTGCCTCTTCACATGCAACCAATGTTTTAATTAATATGAATATTGTCCTGATCTGAGGCTTCATATCGAATTATTTATTTTTAATTATTTTATTGTAATGTGTGGTTTCACACTTAAAGCTTCTTTTTTTACCACCAGAGTCTATGCAAAAAGTATTTCCAGGCATTTTTGAGAACCTTTATATTCTAATTCTGGGAATGAACTTGATTATATTTCAATACATGTTTGGAAAACCACTTTTTCCATCACATTTCCTTCTTAGAAATATATTAATTGTATGCCTTTTAGTAATATTTGATTGACACAAGAAGATCTCTCAGCAGCCACATGCATGTTAGAAGCAGCCTAATAGAACTGCATGCTATTATCTGATCCAGATAACATATTAGAGGTTTCTTTTGCAAACCATTTCTCCCATTACGGTGCACTGTGCAGTCTTCCGGTGCTGAACTAATGGATCTCTCCACTTGCTTCAAAGAGGATTACTGTTCCTTCTGCTTAGCTTAATTAACTCAAATTAGGATAAGGGCAAGGCGTGGTCTTCTGTGTACAGCAGCCATCTGTCTGCAAAGTGGACAGTCGAGCGCTCACGCTGCTGCAAATGGAGACACGGCTGGAGTTGGATGTTTTGATATTCCCAGATAAAGTGAAGATTGCTACTCCGGAGGAGCTCTTAGAATGGGAGCTTGAGACTGCGAGCCAGTTGTCCATACCCACTGTCCGACTCTTTGTTGCACTTTACCCGTACAACCCTGCTGCAATGTCCCCCAACTATGAGATGGCTGCAGAAGAGCTGCCTTTTGTACCAGGCCAGATAATCAAGGTAAAAAACAACATGTGACATCTTTTTGCTTTTTGCAACTTAATGTAAAAGTAGAGCAGGTAAAAAAGGTGTACAATTATGTTATGGTGCTGTTCAAGTGTTCTGCCATGTGTAACTCATATGTTTGAGTTGTGAGTATTTCCTCACTTCATCAGTTGAAAAGCTTCTTTGAAAGAACGTGATGGTGTTTCCTGTTTGGGCTAGATTCAGGCCAGCTGAGTGTGTAGAAAGATATCAGCTTTCTTCTTTATTTCCTGTCACCTTTTCCAACTGATTGATGTGACTTTCACTGAATATGCTCACTGCTGCAACATGCAAATAATTGTTTTTCTTCTTTTCTCTGCATTTTTTTAGGTGTTTGGAGACACAGACTCTGATGGCTTCTATCACGGTGAGTCTGGTGGTCTCTCCGGTTATGTGCCAAGTAACATGGTGGATGAAATCCCAGTGGATGATGAGTACCTGAAGCATCTACTCATGCAGCAGGGCTTCCTCCCTGTGGACCATACAGGTATCAGCCCCCTGTTTCTGCAGGACACTGTGCTGTAACACACTGCCAGAGCACTAAAATAGGGGTAGTATAACACAACATATTGTGTGGGAAGCTGTTTCCACTGAGCTGTGAATGTTACTACAACAAATAAGAGCAAGTAAAAGTAATACAGAAATCATACAAAAAACGTTAATGAAACACTGATTTCTTTCAGTGCACTTGCTCAAAGGTAGTTGTTTACTCTTCATCAGCTCTTTGAGCAGTCATTTTCTTTAGCGTCAATGCACTTATAGACACATTTTACCATTAAAGTTGTGATTTCAAAGGAGTGTTTGTGTATTTGGGCCCACAAATATGTCTTTAATGCCAGATCTGAGCGATATAACCAGTATCACCGATGATGTGGTCGTTCGACGAATGGTGGCCTTATTCGACTACGATCCATGGGAAAGTTCACCCAACATGGACAGTGAAGTAAGCACTATCATGATACATGAACCACATTGTGCTTTTAACCATTTTGTACAAATACAGTCTTATTTTTTATTTTAAATACAGCAATATGGTTTGTGGTGTCACTCAAAACTCTTCTTCTCTCAAAGGTTGAACTTGGCTTTCGCTCAGGAGATATTATATACGTGTTAGGTGACATGGATCAAGATGGATTTTACTACGTGAGTGTCACCTTTACAATTACAATACAATGATTGGTTTGATTGATTAGTTCTTGCACTGGCTTTTGCGCACTAACTTTACTTTCATCTCAATGTTAGGGGGATCTGCATGGACGAAGAGGTTTGGTTCCATCAAACTACCTGCAGCCGCTACCCTGGAATTAGAAGAAAAGGGCACGCTAAGATGCTTAATACAAATGCCAAGTCTCAGACACAATGGGAAATCAGCAGCTTTTATTCAAAGAAATATTTATTTGTACAGTAACAGTAATTAAAAAATCATTTGGTGAAAAAAGTACAGACAAATACAAATCATATATATTTTAATAATCAAAAACGATATGAAAAGATCTGGAGAGAGTATTTATATAGTGTATCCATATTTGCCTTACACCCTGTTTATATATTTTCTATAATTAGATCATAGTTTTTTCATGTGTAAAATTTAGGTGAAAATGTTTTTGAGTTTTGCAGCAATTTTATTTATCAACAGAGACTTTGTACAAAGGAAAATATTCATGTTATCAATGCAAGAATTGTAAAGCAGACACTGATATTAAACTGTCTTGAATCTGTACAATGCTCACCTGCTTTCTTTTAACTATAAATCTTAGCTACTTGTTTTTACTGGTGTATGATTTTACTATGTTAATTTAAATCAGTTTCTTTTCTGACAGGTTTTCACATTCACCATTATCATCTAAATGTGTAATAAATAAACATAAAACAAAAGAAAATTACAAAAGCAATAGAAACATTCTGCAGGTTTTCAGGATTGGGCCTTAGATTTCTAAGATCTTTCACACAGAGTCCGTTGGTTTCTTCTTGTGAATTTCTCTGCAGCCAACAGTATACTCATCCATAAAGTAGGAAACACTACACTGTGTATTGAAGTTTAGTAGTGCTTTCTACTTTATGGGTGACAACACTGTACATCGGTAACTTCTGGTTGCTCCGCCGCAAACACTGAAGACATGAAGGGTTGAATAAAGGCAAGTTCTCACACATTAAATGAAACACAAGCACATTTCCTAACATCGTTCTATAACTGAGAAACATGAAAACAGTTTGCACATACAGCATTTGACAGTAACGCTGCTCGAAATGATGCTGATATAGAACAATAATGAGACATAAAGCAGTTACTCCTGTGTATTTCAGTGCATTTGAATTGGATGGATACAACAAATAAAAGCAGCGATCATCAGATTCTAAATAAAGTCAAATGCTGTCAGGGTCTTACCTTACCAGCTTTTGGACTCACGAGAAGAAAGAAAACCCAGAAGTGAACAGGGTCTTTTTATTAACCCGTCTGAGCCACGTGGTTAACACAGGAAAAGCTCTAACAGTCACACACAAACACACACACACACACACACACACACACACACACACACACACACACATGTACGCCCACACACACACATGCAGGGAAGTGTATTTGAAATATTTTTCTTGCATTATGAACCTGTAGCTGCTGGTGGTTGTTGGTCCATATACTTTTGTTTAGTGATAATAATACAGCTTATTTCAGAGTATTGTTTTTTTTCACGTACAATCTTACTCAGTAAAGTAACTGTAGCCATCAGCTTAATGTAAAACACTGTAAGAAAGATTCACAATCTAGAAATACAAGAGTAAAGTAACAGTACCTCAGAATTTACTTTAAATCTTAGTGGACTCATCTGCACACAGACAGACACACACACACACACACACACACATAACCTATGCCCATGAAGCCCTGTCAGACTGCACCACTGCTGCTCATCCCTTTTAAGGACATGCAGTTATGAGGCGCGACACCTGCTTTTAAAGAAGAAGCCAGACACTGAAGTCGACCGATATTGATCCCAGTAATAACCAATGTGGATGTGTATCAATGACCTCAGGACAACAGTACTCTTTACTGATAGAGCATTGAGGCGTGTACTTTGACTGAAATAGCAACATAATGATAAAAGATCAAAGTAAATCAAAGATTATTAGCAGACCTATTGATTGAGTGAGCTTATTTCATGTTAAATGTTTGCAAAGGGAGTACGTTGCTCCTCAGCACTGTCCTCAAATAATAGTCCAGAATCATTTGTACAGACTACACAGGAAGAGATTCATATCGCGCCTATATTTCCGAGAACTTGTTCACGTCTGCAAGTTTCTCACAAGGTGTGGGTGGGGTGGTGGTGGTGGTGGTGGTGCAAGGCCCTTCGCTGTCCCAGCAGCAAATGTGCAATATATTTGCAACAACAGAAACTTCGCAAATAGAATAGACGAGGGCCCGTGTCCTCTGTTGTCACGACAACCAAAACCTCAGAGTCACACCAAGTGAAATAAGAGGAAGTGGGGGAAGGGCGGCACTCACAAACCGAGAAAAGATGTTCGTGGTAGTGAAGGAAAAGAAGAAAAGACATGCAGAGAGTTGTGTAGCAGATGAAGAAAATAACCAGTTGCAAATGGAGGAATTGACAAAAAAGTTGAATTTGCTGCATGGAATAAAATACTGAAGGCATTCACATTGTCAAAGATTACATGCACACACACGTAAAGGTTATGTTTTCATGTGATAATGAGTTCATATGTGTGTTTTTCAAGAAAACAACTTTGCAGAAGTCGAGCATGACTGTGCATCCTGCAGATTATCTCAGCACCGTTGCGCCAGAGACTGTGATTACATTAGACAGCTATTCCTGTGCAACAACATGGGATTATATCCAAAGTGATCTCCTCAAGTACGTTTAGAGGTATACTGTAGATAGTCAGGGTGCCAAAAACAAGTGCATCATCTAATGACCCCGGGGTATTATCCTTCCTGGTCACTGATTAGGACTGATTGAATTATGTTTTACCTTTGCTCAGTAATCTTAGAATAATCTTCTTATGCTGTCTACAACGGTAGCTGTAAATGTATATTTCCTTTAAAAGGGTTGCTGAAGTTTAAGTTATTGCAATTAAAGAAATATAATTTAAGCGTTAATATGTTGGAACAGTTACAATGAATCTATCAAATGTATGTGCTTACACACACACCACAAACACACACCTGTTTCTGTCCAGTCAAACTTCTAACTGTCTCATGACATCACGGCTGTGGGTTCATTAGCAAGTCACGCTATGAGAGATTAAATTTCCCCAGGATGGCTAAACATAGAAATAAAACATTTGAGGATAGTCATGCACTTCTTTAAGTGTGCTACCCAGAGTTGAATACATTCACAGTCCAGAGTCATTCAGACTTGTTTGGTGCTGCCACGTGGTGGATGTTACAGGAGGTGACGCTCTGACTGATAACAGTGTAAAGGGCATTACAGTAATCAGGATTGGATTACTATTGTCAGCAAACCGCAGTGCAGTTTTTTGCAGAAATAGAAAATAGATACATTTTGAGGTAACAAGATGCAAAATCGACAACTTAAATATACAATTAATATTTTAAAATGCTAATGACATATGCTTTGACACATGAGGTTGTCTTTACAACAACAAAATCGCACACATTACATACAGTTAATTCACACATTAGTTTGATTTTTTTATATATATACACACACTACATTATATATATTTTATTTGACAATCATCAGTGGAGATATACTGCAGTATTTATTTATAAAGGTGTAGTAAATTAAACAGAAATGCTTTCCATTAGAAAACTGAAGCTGGGCGAATACAGCGAGCTGTAATAAAAAATCACAACAGACAGGTGAAAAAGTAAAATGACAAATTCTATAAATACAGTGGATGCAGTGGTACAGGTGGGAAGCCACTCAAATTATTTACGCAATGCTTCTCTTTCTCAGTATTCTAAAACAATGTTACTATGGAGTGTTTTAGCACACACACATACACACACACACACACACACACACACGCACACACACACACACACACACACACACACACCCATCTATTGTATGTTTCATGGTATACCCCTGATCCCTTTCCCTAATTGAATACCACAGCATGTGATGTTTCGGGTATTGGGTTAAACTGGCAGAGCATAAGACAGCTTTTTCTGATCTTCCCACTTTTCTGGCAGAACGACTAAACTAAGCAAGATAGCATATCTTAATCATTGCCTAATGCATTGGTTTAAAATTCCTGCAATAAAAGCAGAAATGCAGGAAATTGTGTTCAAATATAGATCTTTTTTTTAGATTATTGTGAAAATAATTACCTGCTTCCTGTTTAGAGGAACTGTGTTTTCAAACAGGCTCCAGATGACAGCTTCAGCGCAGTTGGGTGTGGTGAGGGAGCCATCATAGCGAAAGTACTTGGTCCTATTCTTCTCAGGAGGTATGAACATTTCCAGGGACACGCCTTTCAGTGTCGTACTGTTGGCTGGTTTTATAAAATATTAACAAGATAAGTTAGCCAGAAACGTTTTATTAGACAACAAAGAGGTTCAAGGTGACAGCTTGATTGTTAATCTATTTATTGTTGAGGTGTTAAAAAGGTGTTTTGTGATGTTATCTCTTAACAATTGCACTTTAGCCTAACACTGGAACAATCAGCAGCACATTTAGGACCCGATACACAATGTGGATTGAAGATAATGATGCAAAATGATCTTATTTGTCCACGTCAGCAGATATGACTTACTAGGTCGTGTGATGTATTTCAGAGCATTAAGAAGTGGATACAATTTCTTATTTGCAGACTTGGACTTCTGAAAAGAATAAAATGTTCAAGTTACTTGGCATTTTTATAAAAGTTGGGAAAACATACTGTGGAAGGATTGGTTCAAACTGATCCTGGTGATTTGTTACAGTTGAATTGCTTCCTGTTACTTTTGATCTTCAAAGGTTTTGAAAAGGTTTTTCTTAATTATCACAAAATTAAAAGAGTCCTTGCTAATCCTTTTTTCTCAAAGTTCCTTGTGCTTAACTTTGGTGTACCTCAAGGCACGATTTTTGGACCATTTATACTTTTTTTTCTATATCGGGGGTTAAATTTATTTTACTATCTTTGCAACCATTATATCCATAGAATCCTTTATCTTTCCTTCACAATGAATAAGTCCTGTTCTTCTGTCCCAGTTATGGTTAAACTTTGAAACGTGCCAAAAATGTTGATGCCAGTTGATCAAGTATAACAGAAAAATCACGAACTCACATACTTTGGGATCTAACCTGGAAATTATATATTTGCAATTATTGAACCTATGGCCCACTTTGACAACATTTTCATAAGAAAGACGCTTGTCCAGAACAACAAATATTGCTCCGGCCTTAGGCATCAGCGGCATATGCAAATGCTAGGGACACCATCCATCCAAAGGGGCACCCCAAATGAGGGGAGAAGAAAAGATTCGAAAATTATAAATTTTACTATTTCTAACTAATACTATTTTAATACTATTATTTATAAAAGCCCACAACAATACAACTATTACACAGGGCCTTTTTTTGTGTTGGCTGCAGCATCGTGCCGAGGCATCGCCCTAATAGCTGATAGAGTTTTTCTTTTATATGTGATCTGCATAGCTTAGACTCAAAGACATAAAGCTTCGCAGTTTCGGTGGAGTGTGTGAACACAATGATTGGTGGTGGAATTGGCTGCAATGCCAGAGACACCAGCTAAAATCTTTCCTTGGGCACCAAATTGGTCATCTTTGTTTTATCAAACTCTTTTTAAGCAGATACATTTTAACCACTTTTTTGTATATGATAATCAAATTAAATCACCTCAAAGAAAAAGCCAAGAACAGCCACGGCTATGTGGTTGCTTAGAGCCTGGGATATAGAGTCGTATTCTTCTTTTACGTGGACTATATGCATCTGTAGATGGCATAAAATGATTCAATATTTCATTTATTTGAATGCAGTACACAAAGTGGCTTTATCATATAATTATAACACACTTCCATACCCATGTTTCTTACCCCCATTGGAAATTGTTCTCCATCAACCGTGTGTTCAGACCCAGGTCCTCTGTCTTTGCCCCAATGCAAGTGAAGTTGAACTGCTTTATATGGTGCAGCCAGATTTCCTCCTTTGATCCTCATACCAGAGGGTAAATCCAGTTGAACTGGAAAATTCAGGCAAAAAAGACCCCAAATCCAAAAAGGCTCTATGTAATCGGCTACAGTGCAAACTTTAAAAGATTATCAATGTTTTGCAGCATCTTCAAATTTAAAGATAGGCTTTGCCATATACGACCATCTCAGTGGTTTACCTTGAGACTATTTCACAGTCGGTTTACTTTAGTCAAGCTGATTTAAGATAATTCATTGTCATCTTTTTACCAAATCTTCTTCCTCAAATAAAACTGCAATTATCACAAGGACGTACCACTGTGACCGGAGTTTATGAGGCGACCATGAAAAGCCTCTTGATAGCCAATGAAGTGAAAAGGAGTGAGTCGTTCATCTGGTAGAATTCTCCTTGTAACAATAACTGGAGACTGAGATTTGCCACTGCAGTGCGGTGAAACCACTCCCCATACCTCTGGACCTGTGAAGGCAGGTGAATGAGAAAAAAGTAACTCCACTATTTATATTTTAAAATTGTATTTAAACTGTAAATGGTTTGTCCTGAGGTTTACCTGTGCAGGTGTGATTGCATGTAACTTGGGATTGGTAGCACCAATCTACAAAAAAATGTTTGAATTTAGTCATTGCATAGAAATTATAAAACAGCAAGAATTAATACAAGCCTCCAGCCGAAAACAAATGTAAATACATATTTTGAATTTCTTCTTTGTAATGAATAAGCCCAGTTAATTGAAGAATGTTTTATGTCATCAATTTCCTCAAAAGAAAACACAAAAAATAAAGAATGTTTGAGGCTAAATACATTTGCAAAGTCTAATCAATTAAATTTCTTTGAGAACCTACCTGCAACTGAGACAATCCTCATGGAAGATGCAAAATAAAATAAAACTGATGCTAACAGCATTGTGAATGTACTGTATCTGTCCGAGTCTGCCTGCTTTGAAATAATTGTTTTGGAAGATGATGCCAGAAGCAGAGTTCAACCAACCTGTTATAAGACAGGTAACCGCACCTATCAATCACGCCCCCACACCACATGCTTTAGATTTATGACTTCTGAGCCCTGATATCTTTAGACTGATATTCACCAGATAATGTATGGACCCTTATTCACAAGATTTGGCCTGAAAACTCACAGCTTAAAGATGCAGTTGAGAGTTGGTTAATGGAAAAATCTCCAACTGATCAAAATTAACTTACCGTATTTTCCGCACTATAAGGCGCACTGGATTATAAGGCGCACCTTCAATGAATGGCCTATTTTAGAACTGTTTTTATATATAGGGCGCACCGGATTATAAGGCGCATAGAATAGAAGCTAAGAAGTCAAATGTTTGACAGGGGTTGCGTTATGCATCCACTAGATGGAGCTGTGCTAAAGGAAATGTCAACAAAACAGGTCATCTTCTTGCTTCCTCCACTTCCGTACCATTAATTCATTAATGTTGAATTCTCTCGCTGCTGCTCTATTCCCATGTTCGGCTGCGTAGCTGACAGCCTTGAGTTTGAACTCAGCGTCGTAAGCGTGTCTCTTGAAAGGTGCCATTTTGGGGTCTTTATACACACAAGTGGTGTTGGACTAGGAGTAAGCACAGTACTGGTGTTTACCGCTATTACTTCGGCGACGCCCCTGACTACGGTAGCCGTAATGCTGCAAGCGGTGCGGCTTTGTAGTTTACCAGTCGTACTGAAACATTTTGACAGAGCGCCGTGTACAACCAGTATAGATCAACCAATTAACCAATTGATCCATATATAAGGCGCTCCGGATTACAAGGCGCACTGTCGTTTTTTGAGAAAATTAAAGGCTTTTAAGTGCGCCTTATAGTGCGGAAAATACGGTATTCAGGTGCAACAAGGATTTTTTTATGTTCTTTGAGGAGTTATCACTAAATGACAGACAATCAATCTACAACTACTACAGTATTGTGTTACTGCTGTCACACATAAAATATGTGGTCACATGTTTTATTCCCTTCAAGGAATGATGATTACATGTACTCTATTGCTGATGATTTACTTCATGTCTGAGCGACATAAACTCAGTCTTTGTGGATTTGTTATGTTGGTGCAATACCCATTAACGCCATTAGGTGGAAGCAGGACGTTCGGCAGCTGACCGGACCTCTGCTTTAGGCTCCTGTTGGCTCCCTCCTCATTCATGCAGCAACAGCCTAACATTGTCCTGTCTGTTCATTTAATCTTTTTAACAGGTTAGTGTCATGTATAAGCATAACAAACAAGAATTGTATGTAAGAATATATTCAGACATTTCAGAGGGCTTGTAAGTTACTTTAAAGTTGCGATGTACGCAGGTCCCCATCATGGCGGGTTAGCGAGTTTGCTTCGCCGACTTTGTATACAGGCTCCTTACTTATTATGGCTGAAGACCCGAGGGCTCCAGGAACTAGAAATATATTGCTAATTAACTTAAACACTTCTAGACTGAATTTACTTGTATATGTATGTTTGTTTTACAATTTGAACTGCATGACAAAAGCACTCGCCACCACCTGGGTGATGCGAAATCCCACAGTTAGCATGTTTAATGAATGCAGCACAGTGACGTAGACGGACTACTTTCTGTGCTGCGTTCAAGAGCAGACAGTTGGAGCTGTGGGTTGCCTCTACCTCTCTGCTACCAAAGTTTGTGTCACTCTCCTTATTATTGAGAGCGATCTGTATTTTAAGGAGGTTATCGATGGACCGCTGGAGGGGCAGAGTGGCTCTGGTGACCGGAGCTTCGGTCGGGATTGGTGCGGCCGTAGCGGAGGAGTTGGTCCGCTGCGGTATGAAGGTGGTGGGCTGTGCCAGGGACGTCGAAAAGATACAGGTTTGCTCTGCACTTTAAAGTTAATTTCTGCACGTTTGGGAGGGATTTGTTTTTATGTGAGTAACAGTCCACCTGAGGCCAGAAGAGCAAACCCACGTGACACTATTAGAGGACTTAGTTGATGAAACCCACAGCTGTTAACGTGAAAAAGCAGAGATCACGTTAACTGAAAGTGAATGCATGTCGTAAATAAGTTACAATGTACTCAATGCACTTAATGTTTTTCTCGCAGTGACTTAACACCAGCTATTGGCTAATAAAAGCATTTTTGTAGACTGCAGAAAATCTAAAAACAATCTATCTGTCGGGTCGCCCTCATAGACTGTCTGTTTGTTTAGTAAAGTTAATGTTTATCGTGACACCACAAGACAGGGCATTTTGTTTTTTTCAGTACAAATAAACTCCCATAAACACTCGTTAAACTCTCTTGTTACTCATTATGACTGTAAGATATTTTTTATCTAGAGAAAAACCTTTCTGTGATATAATAAGGCAATACATCATCCATGAATCAATGTAGACCAATGTAATACAGGCTCTCCTCCAGTGTTTTGTATCTAGTTTTATTTAATAAAATAAAAGAGACAGAGGAGCCATTCCACACAGAAAATATAATAACTTGAATGAGTGCCTCTTGTTTAGGTAACTCTTCACCTCAGATGAACCATTTCCTGGGAGATAAGCAGTTATACACGTTCCAGAGTTAACAGAAATCAGAACATGTTTCATAAAATATTCATAATTCCTTTTGAATAATAATTTTAAAAAAGTAGTTTATCTCCGAAGTTAAGAACTCTAAAGAATAAAAAAGCAGAAGATCGCATAAGAGGCAGATACAAATAACCCCCCCCCCCCCTCACCTTATCCACTAATTTAAATAATAAATACTTTCCCTTCTGTTGCATTATGTGTTGTGCAAGGTTTTTCTCTCATCTACCAATTTACAATATATTTGAACATGACAGAATGAAACCAACGATTGACAGATGGGTGGCCTGTGTGAACAACTGAAAAAAGTAGATTAAAAAGTTGATTGTCTGACACCTTTTTCATCTTGATTTCAGAAACTGGCAGCTGAGTGTCAAAGTGCAGCCCACAGTGGTGTCCTGGTGCCTTTCAAGTGTGACTTGACCAACGAGGAGGAGATTGTGTCCATGTTTGCTGCCATCAAAGAGCAGCACAAAGGGGTGGATGTGTGCATCAACAACGCTGGCTTAGGTCATCCAGAGTCTCTGTTAAATGGAAAAACCAGCGGCTGGAAGAACATGTTGGATGTAAGAATGCAAATGTTTTTAATTTTAGGAATTGAATCTAATGCTTATAATTAAATAGATGTGTTTACAGTACTACACAGTTTTAGCTGCATTTGTTTCTGGGTCCTGTTATTGTGCATGCTGTCTCGCTGTCACACCGTTTTGGCTTAGTGAGACACTTGAATAGCATGGACCCATCATTTATTTTGCTACTATGACGAGTCAAAAATAGTGAAACATGACATTATTTCAGATCAGTGAATCTCCAGTTTATTATATGCATAAAACTCGAGACAAAACAAATCCCACACAATGAGAACACACAGCAAATGTTGATGGACACATCAAGTCAAGTATCAACTAAAAGTAAGAAAATGTCTCCTACATGTGATTCATAGCTAAAATGCAGTTTTCTTTGTACATAAGAATCAATGATTAAGTTACCTCTCCATGTATGAAGGAAAATTCTGTTTCCTCTGAGGTGCTGATGTCAATTCTCTTTAGATTGGACGCCATAATCTGGAAGGTAATATCTTTACTTTTTATTTTTTCTTGCAGGTGAACGTTCTTGCGTTGTGTATTTGCACCCGTGAAGCGTATCAGTCAATGAAGGAAAGAAATGTTGACGATGGGCACATCATAAACATAAACAGGTACAGCTTGTGAAGTACATTTCTGTTGATTTATCACTTATTTTCACCTAAATATCTGTGTCTTTGTTATTTTAAATAATATCATCACCATTGATATTTCAACTATGACGATTTGCAACACTGCCCGACTCAATAGATCTGAGGATTTTATTATCGCATTACAAAATGTAGGAGGTAAAATAATCAATCACCCGTTTATTGACCTTACTAGGGCTGCAGACAGAATTATTTTCATTATTGATAAATCTGCAGAAGATTTTCTCCATTAATCGTTCGGTTAGGTCTAAATATCCTGATGGTCACTGGGCTGCATACTTTTATGTGTGACCGTGCCGACGTCTTCCAATTGTTTGTTTTGGTCAACCAACAGTCAGAAACCTAAAGATAATTCAGTTAACTCTCAAGTAGGACAAAGAAAAGTTGCATATGCTGGAAATCTTCTTGCATCACGTAGTCAAATGTGTCTTTTAAAAAAAAAAAAAATGGCAATAACATTCTGTTTTTTTACATTCACTAGTGACTGAGGCCATATCAATACATGAAGGTAAATGCTTGTGCTGACCTGGTTAATTTTTCCAACAACTTATACTATCTTCTTCTGCGGCAGCATGAGTGGACATCGTGCAGTTTGCAGTGCTGATGGACATTTCTACAGCTCCACCAAGTACGCTGTGACGGCCCTGACGGAGGGCCTGAGACAGGAGCTGCGTGAGGCGAACACCCACATCAGAGCCACAGTAAGAGATCATACTTTATACTCTACAAGAAAGTCTTTTGAGATTGTCTCAATGATGGAAAGAGTCTGTTTGCAGCCTTGTAAGTGGTTTGTAACTTAACAAATTACTTTTGATAGCAAGTAATAAGTAAATTGATATTAATACTTTTTAAAGGAGTAATATGTAAAAGGTAACTTATTCCTCTTTCTGAGTAACTTGCCCAACACTGCTCTTTTTGCAGTGCATTTCTCCCGGTGTAGTGAAGACAGACTTCTTTTCGCGGTTCTACAAAGATAATCCTGATAAAGCTGCTGGTGTATGCTCTAGATTTAAGGTAAAGGTATCATTCCTCCATGCCCTGAGTATTCTTGATATAAGTATCAGCATATTATTTCACTGTTCACTTCTCTTACAGCCCCTGGAAGCAATAGATATTGCAAATTCTGTCACATATGTCCTCAGTGCACCTCCCCATGTGCAGGTATGTGATTTAATTTACATATTTTAGTGCTTTCTATAGTGTATCACAAATGTTTTCAACTTCTGCTCTTTTACTGTTGATACATCATCAGTTTACCCATAGTGAGATAACGTTCATGTCGTTTCTCTTAGATCGGAGACGTTCAGATGCGACCTGTGGAGCAGGTGTTGTAGTACTGCACCATGTGAAGGCTGATTCAGTGTACCGACACATTCTTCATCTGACTGGTTTAAGACAATTAGTATATCTGATCATGGAATAACTTTAAAAATGTCTACTATGATTTTTCACTTATAGAATAAAATGTCTGATTTGAATATGAAATTTGTTGCACAACTTTATTATCATACAAAAGGAAATCAATAGCAACAAACAAGGGCAATAAATTGTTGTCAAAATGTTTTAATCAAAATGTCAAATGCAGTGATGAAATATAAACCTAAAAAATACACAAATATTAGGAATATAAAAAATATTTTTTAAAGGATCTTTAAATTGTTTTAATTTAAAAAAATTCAGTAAAATACAAAAACAGCAAAATATCTGACAAATGTTCGTAAAGTATCAGAAAGAATTCTAATGTAAAATATATAATATATAACAAACAAAAAGTTGTGAAATGTCTAAAAGATTATCGTTAAAATCAAATTGTTATTTAAAAAAAAATGTTTGGAAAATATCCTGAAATTATTATTATTTTTTTAAGTTGTAAGACACACATATAACACAAGTGTACTTTTACTTTTGAATGCATGACTTTTACTAATAAAATAACAATGATATGGTCTATTTCTTGCACTGCTGGAAATGACGGATCAACTTGGATGTTTATGTCGTTCTTGATGTGTATTCAACAGTGTGGTGCTTCATGCAGCATAAGGATGTTGATAAGTTGGTACATAAGAGTGATTTCATAAAATTACATAGATATCAGTCTGATATTTTAATGATACGTACATTGATGTTGTCTTCTGGAATACACAGATACTTTTGGTTTGTTGGTTCACTGGTTTGGTTTGATTTTAACTGTGATTGTTGTCACAGTCTGAAATCACAGCACTGACTCCTACCTGGAGGCTCTGGATAGTTCACCCACCGACCTGTGAGTGGGTGCATGAGATGGTTGTTCATATTTTGAAGTGTCAACATGTTAACGTTGGAGCGACACAAAGACCTGGAACTGGATTCCATTGCTGATGAGAAAATAACATCATTTAGGTACACATTTACCACGAGCATGTTTGGAGAGTTATTTTAAGAGCTATTGATATCTATTTTATTAGATTCACTATCTGGGTTGATAAGCAACAATTGCAGTGAGATACCTGAAGATACTTTTCTTTTTCACGAAGATAGTTGTTAGGAGCGAGAACATTATAATATCCCTCCGGTGCAACATCTTTCACTGTACTGGAGGACAAAAAGATGAGGACTGCTTGTAAGTTTAACCTAAATGAGAAAAATATATTGAATTATTTTAACACTGCCTTGCAGTGCAGCATGTCATTTCTCCTACAGCATTTAAAAAAAAAAAAAGAGTAAGTTAAACCAAATAATACAATCTTTATAGACAGACAGTAAGAGTGTGGATTTACTTTGAGAAACACAACGTGACAAACATCCCTTCAGGTTATGTCCACTAGAGGCCACAAGACACAATAACATGATACTGTATACCTCCTAAATGCTGCCCTCATGGTAAGCAATCTTTTTTTTTGGTGGCAAGCAAGACTTACATAGAGAAGCTTGTTAGCGGGGAAAAAAACGTACAATTTCACAAAAGAGACACATTTGAATGTAGAAAAAAAGACGCACTTTGATGCTGAGATTGAACATGAAAAGTGAGTGAAAGTGGATGTAAAACAGTCTCTTGTCTTCTGCTTTATTATAATGTATGTATTTAAGGAGAACACACACTGGTTATATGTGTCGTCTGAAGTAAGACGGTAGGAGCAGTCCAACATATTGTGAAGGAAGAAACAATACAGCATCATTTGTTATTATTGTTGTCAGATAATACATGCCATATTCTTCTGTTCATCTTGTGTGACTTTTACAGTCACTTATTTTCTTTGCTTTTACTTGTATTGTGCTCAATCATGTTTTACAAATCAGTTTGTCTTCTTTAAGTTCGAGGGGTTTCCTTTAAAATCCTATTGTGTCTTGACCTCTCCTTTCTGTTGTTTAGTCTATGTGCTAATAACACTAAAACCTCTCATCTGATCTGTAGGACAACAAAGTTAAAAGTGCATACCTTCGTCCACATATACAATAACATATTGAGGAGGAGGCAGAAAAACATCAAGCTGGAACAATGTTTTTCTTGTTGCTTAAATGTCTCTTTCTTTATTTCTTCAGTCTGAAACAGGAGAGTGTTCAGCCTCTTCGTCCACAATATAAACAGATAAAAAGAGAAGATGATGGGATGAGTAGATGCAAGAATTTGTTCACAGTAAATGTGATTATATTCATGTTTAGCTCTGTTAGCAGCGTCGCTGGTCTGTCTTTGCTCCACACTGAAATATCTCCGTCTGTCCTGCTGAAAGAGAAACCTTTCATCACTTTCTGTATTTCTGCCTGTAAAGAGCTGCCAGGGAGGTTCCTGCTCATCTTCCAGTCCGGAGGAAAGCCAACGTTAGCCGGGGACTGCCAACCACCACCACCACCCACCGTCTTTTTGATGCTAATGAACATCCATTTACACAGAGCCTACAGTTGTACATGTACACAAATATTGGCCAAACACTTGGCTCGCTGTTTCGTGACCAGGCTGAAGCTTTGCGCACCCAAACAGAAAATGTGTGTCAGAGAGATGTGGGCTAGTCTTTGCCAACATCCCCAGCTAAAAATAAAATAAAGATTTGTTATAGAAGCAGAAAAAATAAACTACGTTGCTGTCTCGAATTGTCAAGTTTTGGAATTGTACTTTATGTTCTACTTTTGTGTGAGATCCCTCAATGATTTCATATATTATGATTTTTTTTTTGTGCTTTGGGGTGATTTCTTCTCATTCTTTAAATATGCAGCTCACCTTTGATTGAGACATTCATTCAAATGCTATCTGTTATCTGCTATCTGCAAAGCACTTGCACTGTTCTGTACAACCTATATCGTCCAATTTGCAAAGGCAGGATCGTCTGTATTTGATGAGCGGTCAAATTGGATCACTTGGAGCAGAAGCAAAACATGCCTCTTCTTCATCCATCAGTGCCGCACCAGCCGATCTAACCGCGACAGGTTAGTTTCTCTCAATCAATAAATCCTCCTCTGTGCTGGTGAATATAATGGATTATTGGATTCTTCACCTAATGGGATGCCGCGGAGCCTGCTGGACTCTCATTATCGCCCATACTATGGATTGTATATCCCTTTGTGTGTGTTTTTCCTGCCTGACCAGAACACATCTCATATGTTTCAAAAGCCACTGACGAGATGGGGTCAAAGCCCTAATGAGACCTCTGGACGCTGGGCATCCAACCAATGCACTGTGAAGGAGGCATCAGCTCAGCTGCTACCACATAGGTTCAGGAAATGTTTTGCTGTAGAGCTCAATGATTTCACTTTTTAACAGTGTTTTTTTTCTGTTCTGTGCACAGATGTCCACCAACGCTGGTTGCTACTCTCAGTATGACACTAAGATACTCGTACTGTACATCAAAACCACACTGCTGCACACCTTCCTGTTTCAAGTAAGTTACTTCATAGAAAGACTGCTCTAAAATAACTGCTTTTAATATATATTTTAAGATTTTAGCTCATCTCTATCTTCTTTTGCTCCATGATGTAGAAAGGTATCCAGCCAGTCTTATGTTTCCCTCTGCAACTCGTCCAAAAGGCTGCTGCAAGCTTTCTTTAGTGGCACAAAGTCCACATTACACTGTGCTGGCATGTTTTCACTGCCGTTCAGGGCCTCAGATCTCATATTGTTAAGTCACTAAACAAGCTGTCCATCTCAGACCCAGCAGCTATAATCAATAGTTGTATAATACATTTGTTCAGGGTTTTATCGTTCATGTAAATTAAAGTTGCGTACAATTAAGCATATACAAACATGAGCCCACAATAGGTTAATCTTGCTGATGAAATGGAAAATTCCTTCCACTTTTTCTCCCCTCCCTGTGAACAAGGTCTTATCAGATCCATCTGTGTTGGTCGATCTGCCATTTCAGCTTATGATTGTGTCTGAATGCCAAAGCTCCTTTCTAAATGCTTGGATGTCTTCCAAAAAATCTCAGCTGTAGAATGAAAGTCTGCATTGTTACTTCGTTTCCCACTGTTTGCAAGATTCACACAGGAAATTCTGATGTTGTAAAATACATCTGAAAATGTTTCCCCAGCAGTGCATTTTACTTTGTGTCAGATGTGACGGAGATCTAATCTGCACATCTCAGCCTTTTCTCAAAGCACTTTGTCTTATGCAAGCATGTGAGAATCAGCTGACCTGGAAGGATTTCATCCTCTGCACTGGGTGTTACAAACCCTCTGTGCTGAGAGGTGAAAGTAAAGTGCAAAGTGAGCACCTAATCTGTGTGGAGAATGTGAGCATGCCTTAAACCAAACCAGGGGAGGGGGCAACTCTAGGAACAAAATCCCCTTTAAACAAAAGAGCACAGCGCATGAACTCGCAGGTCTTTCTAGGCATGGTTTCTGTGTGGGCAGTATGGAAAGAAACGTTCACAAAAATGTATATCAGTTTAAGCTGGTTAGAGTAAAGCCTCTGAGTTTTAGATTTTCAATATTCCAGCTTTGATTAAATATTTCCAGCTGAGATAACAAGAGACTGTGCACCCAAAAGTCAATTTGGAGTTTTCTATTTATCTAGCTAGATTTTTCTGCTCTTAATATTGTCATATTTTATCGGTAATTACAAATGTCTACAAAGTTTAAAGCATTTGATTGACCTTGTGGGAGTTATTCCCTCTCTTGTAGAGTTACATGTAAAGATTGATCCCACTGCCATGTCTATATGGTAGATATGAAGCTACAGCGAGCTGCCATTAGCTTAGCTCAAAGACTGTAAATGGAGAAAAGCTAGCCTTGCTTTGTCCTAAGGTAAAGAAATCCACCCATCAACACCTCTAAAGCTCACTTATTAACATGTCAGATCTAGTTTGTTTTCCTGCAAAAACTAAACTGTAAAAAACATGTTGCCGTTTTCTGGTGTTTGCTTCATATTTAGCGTACAAAAGTTGTAACAATCTACTCATCTAGCTCTCAGATAGAAAATGATTAAGCAGATACCAAAATGAAAAACATGCTACTTTTGTTTATTTTGTTTATTCCATCACTAGATATAAACATCGGCACTGGCAGATACATTCACATAGGCTAATCATTCATCAATTTTATTATAGACATGCAGAAAAAAGTATGACAAAACATGATTCTCACATTACAATCAAACGTGATTTATTTCCATTTCTGAAGCAGAAAAGATTATTCTGTAAATATTTTGATGTAGAAGTTTATCTGATTGACAGGAGCTAGTCTAGCCAGCTAAGTTTTCTTTCAGCCTATCCTGTTGCACCACATGGCTCACTGCTGTCTAACAGGCAGTGCTGCTTTCCTCCTCTTCTTCCTGGTGAACTGTGCTTTTGCTCTCTCAATTGATAACAGAATTGGACTCATGATGGGAGTTGCTGAGGTGGTCCCGCGGGGCTTTTCATTGATCTGCAGATTGAGCTCTTCAGTGGTGGTGACTTTGGGTGGTGTGGATGTAAAAGTCATTGGTGTTTGCTCAGTTTGTTTAGGGATAGAAGCTTCATCTTTGAGAGAAGCAGCCATGGCTTTCTTTCCTTGCTTTCTCTGCTGTCTGATTGTCTGCCTGTGTCGTTTTGTAATGATAGAAGGGGCTGCTGTGATAGCTGTAAAAAGCCTCCATTCACTGTGACTGTCTGTTTCTCCTGCAGAAGTGGTTGCAGGGCTGTTCAGTGCATCACTCTTCTCTTGAGTTGTAAGAATAGGAATCACATTTTCAGAGCCGTTGAGAAGAGTTTTCCTCCTTCTGCTTCTCGATCCTTTCGGCTTTTGCCTTTTCAAAACACTAAAGTTCAGAGCCGTACCTTTGTCGGTCTTGTTACTTCTGTAAACATCCATCCTGTGTGAAACCTTCTGCTCTGTGATGGGCACCGATGGTACGGTGGGAGCCGCAGTGAGAGGGATCACTTTCATACTGTCCACGGAGGAATTTTCATGGGCAGCGGCCACAATGGAAGAAGCCGAGCTGAGTTTCGTCCTTTTTTTCCTCCCCTCTCTGTCTCCTCTCTCCTTTGACCTGTTCCTTTTGACTTTGGGGATTATAATGGGGGTACTGGCAGTGCTGACAACAGAGCTTTGTTGCTCAGGCTGTGCCGTTGGGGTTTTGGTGATAATGGTGGGGGAAGAAACGGCTCTTAAGTGGTCTGTTGTGTTCGTTTCAAGCTCTGCAGAAGGAGGAAGAGAGATTTTCTTGCTCTTCTTTCTCACTCCCTTTCTGAGCCTTCTGGTGTGTCCTTCATGTGGACTAACAGTTGTCGTGGTTGTTAACGTAGACGGAGTGATTTCTTCTGTGGACTCCGCTGGTTTCTTCTGGACTGTTGTAGGTGACGTAATGGAAACGGTGTCCTTATCTAGCGCTGGTTCATCTTTCATGACTTCATTAAAAGGCTCGTCTTTTCCTTCCAGCTTATATTCTCTGTCATCGACTCTGTTTGTGTTTCTAATTGGCATTTTGTGTTTGTGTGACTCCCCGATGAAGTTACTTAGAGCGATGACTTCTTCTGCTTTGCTGCCAGAGGGTGAAACTGCAGCCCCTTCCTCTGCTTTCTGCTTTCTTTTCCTCCCCTTTCCCTTTCTCTTTCCTTTTTGCTTTTTGGTGGTTTTCTTCTTCTTCCCTGGGTTCTTCCTCTTCTTCTTCTCAGAGCTTTGCGTCTCGCCTTTATTGGAGTCGGTGGTGGAGCTTTGAGAGGTGGAGACGGTAGCGAGGACCTTGATGAAGTCCTCGGCAGCGGTGACAACATTTCTAAGAGAAGGCTCCTCAGGGCCTGACATTGTAGACTGTGTTGTACTGTCTGGTTTCTCTTCTTCTTTGTTCTTCTTGGACTCTTCCTTCTTGGAAGGAGCCACCGTCAGCTCATCAATGACGTCGATACCACCAAAATCATATGGGACCGCCTCTTTCAGCACAGCAATGGGAAACTTCTCATAACGCTTACACCTACGAGAGAACAAACGGAGGGGAGGTTTGTGTGTGTAGTGAGTTCAGAAAGTAATACAGCTCAGTATGTTGCAAATCTACTTTTTAGTTGTTTTTTTAACACCAGGGTACACTGATACTTACATGCCGTACCAGTGCCGCTCTGCACACTGATCTTCATAGGCAAGCTCAAAGCAAGGCACACCAATGACGTTGAAGAACGCTTGACCAACTACCCTGGAAGATGTGTCGTTGACGTTCCTCAGGCAACCTTTCAACCTAAAGAGAGAACAAAAAGTCAGGCTCATCTCTAGTTGTCTCTTCCTGATGGCAACGCAGTTTGACTATAGGAGCAGTATCTACCAAGCTGTTCCACTTACTTTAAAGTTATCAAAAAATGTTGCATTTACAAATACAATTTTTAGGTGTCAAATCAAGCATCATAATTATGATCATTGCAGTATTGTTATGAAATTATTGTCCTCATGCCCAATGGCAACACATTTGTCACTTGGTCTTCCTGATACAGTCTCACATTTTAACTTTATATTTTTATTTTAACACACACCTTTATTTTGGGCGTACGGTGAGACCTCGAATGGAGACATCATGACTGCCTTGTTATTTAAAAAAATTGTGAACTGAAAATAAATTACTTAAAAGCTGTACAGCTTGAGCTTTATTTAAAAAAAAGTTATAGTCTTTAATGAATTGAATTATGCTTTTTAAACTCATGAGGTGATAGTGCAAAATGTTACCTCGTATTCATTGAACTTAATGTCTCACCATATGTATTAAGTTCTGATGTGTATTTCATTCTTAAGCAGTTCTTTGTGTTGATTGTAGTTTTAAAACCCCAGAGGCTGATTCTTTCAAAGGATGATACACAATGTTTTTTTATTTTTTCATTTTTATGTTTACGTTGTTACACATGCTGTCGTTCATAATTTGTCATCGTGGTGGTTGTACATTCGCTTAAAAGCTTATGTTTTACTCACGCATTATCACAGTCACAAAGACAGATGGAGTGCCACTTGAAATTGGTGTGGCCATAGTTAGAGGAGAAGGGGTGGATGACGTGAGGGCAGTGGTCGTGGATACGGCAGCAGCTGTCGGTCTCTGCAAAATCTCCTGCAACAAGGAGGTCACAATTATTATTATTACACCTCGTATAATGAACTTACTTTGCTTGAATATGTTATAGTCATACTACCCACCCAGCTGGCCATAATGATCAGCCATGTTTCCAGCTCCACACCATAGGGTCCCAGGATAAGTGAAGCCTCTCTTGGATCTTTTTAAAACCTTGTCCCGCCGCGCAGAGTCATCACTGCCACCCCCCTTCACCTTGCCTCTGCTCTCCGACCTCTCTTTAAACTCCCGGCACATCAGCTTGGCTTCATCCATGTGCACAAAGCGCGTCTCCAGCTGCCGCCCGCCTCTGTTTTCTTTCAGCCACAACCTGCACTCGTGCATGAACGACTTCACCTGCATCTGGTTCGCTATGACAGAACAGTTCCCAAGCCTTCCGGCGGGGCTGACCACGGATCGCACCACTTCGGCTCCGTCTGACACCTGGTAGAGGAAGCTCTCCCGCACGGTTGACATTTTGGCGCAAAAGGTGCCGTTGAGCATAGAGAACATCTCTTTGCTCTCCTTCTCTGCGTCCAAAGCGCGACTCAGGAGGTCGCCCTTGACGAAGTTCCTGTCAAGATAAGACAGAAAGACAAAAAAGACCGACCACATGATGCGGCGAGTGGCACTTTCAGCACCATGCGTAACGGAGACAGCTCCTCGCGGTTTTCCGGTGCTCGCGAGCTGCCCTCTCACTTTTAAGGCGAAGCAAAAGTGGTGTGATTATCAATACGAGAAATGGCAACGCTGGGAGGAGTCAGCCGAATTAACCTCTTTAGATTTCCAGCCTGGGTAGAGTATATTACTCAGTCGCAGGGCGCTGAAACAACCTGAGAGTAGATACAGTATGTTACCCCACTGTATTTCAACGTGCAGTAGCAGATGGTTAATTTGTGGGTGTGTACAGAGCATGAACCCCCAGCACCTTTCACTGCACAGAGACATGACCGAGAGTTACCTCCCAACCCCCACAGCTCAACCCCCCAGAAAGTGGAGATTTACTTTGGGAACACGCATGGAGGAGGTTCTAGCTTACCCCCGCTTTCCATGGTAACTGGCATGGGGTGATTGTGCCAACCCAGGAGATTGGACATCTTTCAAATGCCACAAAACAGGCACTGAATTGGCGATGACCTAAATCACAATGTAGGACAAAACTCTTTCATTGTGGAATGTGGAGAAATGTTGGCGCGGTCGCACGCAAACCACACTGACTGAGGGGCCTCAGCAGCCCATAAGAGTCTCGGCTGATGGTTGGATTCAAACTGATCTCGGTAAAATAACGGAAGCATCAACTGGCCGTGTGGTATCACGGTATCCTGAGTATTTGTCTACATGTCAGCCGAAATATACCAGAATTAGTACTTCAAATGCCTCTTGGTGATATTGCTTTTGTTTTTACCCCCTATCTTCTTTGTTGTTATGTATCACTAAACACTATTATTTGTTTACTGATTTAATCATGATAACATTTGATAACATGCAGCATTCTGGATCTGGCCCATTGCATCGTGTTGGGTGGGTATAGCATGTGTATAACTCAATAATGCTAATATTTATTAATTCATTTAATTAATTTTGTATCAGCAGCTGCAGTGTTGCTTCACTTTATATTATCAGGAAATATGTTTCATGCATGGTTTGTTTTGTAGATCTGTGTCTGACCTATGGTGGCTTACATTTGAAATATCTGTGACATTTCTCTTTAAAATCACGTGTGAGTTCAGAAAACGATACACAGCAAATTCCTCTGCATCGCTGAACAAGTGACTGTTCCCAAAGAAAAGAAAAACCTCTTGTCAGGTTGGGTTTAATCAGCCGAGTGTGTTGTCACATGGCTGGTCTTACACAGAGCTCTAGAGGCGGAGATCCAGCCTACTCAAGGCACTGAAATCGGATTGTTGGAAGGCGGAGAGAAATGATGTAAAATCACCAGAGGCAACATTCGACCAGATCTTGAGGGTGGAGGGAGGAGGGGGGGCGGGGTTCTTGTGAATTAAAGTGGTCACTGCAGGGGTGGAATGGAAAAAAATGAGGCTGATAACTTGGAGTTCATGTGGAGAGCAGCGCACAGTGAAACAAAAAGGTGACACTTGAAAGCAGCAGGACAACACAGTGAAACTGTGCAAACATGGCTCACCAAACAGACAGCACATACAAACCAGGGATTGAGCAGAATAGCAGTTGAGGAGAAAAGGCATGGGCCCAGTAGTAATATCACCTGTTAAATGTTGTGGAAATTAATCTTTTTAACCTCCCTGTGAGAAATAACCGTTGACGAGAAAACTCGTAACATATCAAAAATATATTTATTGAACAGACAGTTAGAATAATTCAGCTGAATGGATAGAGCTCTTTCCCCAGAGATGGTTCAGAGGTCTAACAACAAAGAATAGTTTAACAGAGTCCCAGTCCCCCCCCCTTCGCAGATGTCCTTCTCCTCCTCTGTCCACCGAGGCCAGAGTCCCAGCCTTGGTATTATTTTCGTGGGAAGGGGGTTAGGTGGTGAGATCAGGATGACACTACAGCAAGTCTGACATGAAAATATCTTCGATATGATAACATTTATTATTTGGGTTTAAATAAGTCCGGATGGCCTCGGCTGTATATGTTCAGGTTTAAGTGATGCAAGTTATAAAGAACAATATGATAAATGGCCACAACATTAAACTGTGTGGGGAAATGTGAAATAGAGCATTGTGTCAAATTGTAAATATGTGTAATTTTCTGATCTTGCATCTGTCCAAAGTAGTTGTTGCCCCAACATTTTTTTTCACAGCTAAAAACAGGAAGGTTTGGCTTAAAACTCTGTTGAAGCTAGCCTAAATGAATTTAAGTTAAATGTACAGAAAGTTCAATGAGTGTGTTAAAGGGTCAGTCCACCCAAATGCTCCACAGGTGACATTGTCACCACGTTGCTGGAGGCCCAGGCCATATTGCTGGGCCCGCTGGAGGGAAGGAAGGCACGGACCAGAACCAGGACTGTGTGGGGCAGACTACCAGACCCTTACTGCAATAACATGAGAAATTTACATGTCTGGTGCTCGGAAACACTTTTGTCAACAGGGACCGCCAAAATCCACACAAAGTGAAAGTTCCTCATAAAAGTCATAATATTCTCTGCCAGTGTTGTATTGCAGCTTGTTTATGCTGCCCCCGGGTGGCCATACAAGATAAACTCACCGGTATGAGCTCATACAGCACTCACACAGACAGTCTTGTTAATGTGTGAATATCTACTCAGTTTTATTACCTTGTAAATCTTGTTAGTGTGCAAACAATGTGCAAAAGAAAGTTTAATTTAAGTTAATTTATTTCCTGATACACATGAGACAAAAACTGTGGGAAAGTCATTGATGGCAGAAAGGTGAACTCTCCGTCCTTAGCTCAGCTTGAACTCTGTTGCAAAAGACTGGGATGAAATTCCAGATCAGTTTATTTAATAACTGCAGTAACCTTTCTAGTCTGAGATCTGGGAAATGTATACTGTAAGGTAATGGGTTTTGTTGCTTCAGCTGTGAACATGATCGCAAGCTGAGTTTATTTTGACATCAATCCTCTGGTGATTCAGAACACCTGAAGCATGCATGAGGGGAACAATTAATCATTGTCAGACCATTGTCATTGGTCTCTCTGGTTTCTCCATCCTTTGCTGTGACAGACCACTCTACCTTTGTTGAGTTAATAAAAACTAATTGTGGTCACTTACGATGGTACCTTGACTACTCTAAAATGGCGAGTTTGTGTTTGTGCTGCGGGTTTGCGCTGATGACGATTTTCTCTGAGCAGTCAGTGGTCTGCAGTATTTTAACTCCACTCCACCTTCTAGTATTGGCTCAGCTCGCTTGGAGCCTCAGCAGAGATTGTACCAAAAAAGCTACCAGGCGTTCCGTCGAAGTCTCTTCCCACGACTTTGTACGGCTCATTTTCTGGAACCAGTGTAGCATTTAAGCATGGTGGAATTAGCAAACTGGCTAGTTAGCCATCTTGCTAATTCCACCATGCTAATGCTACATGTTGGCCAGCGGCAGCGCTAGGTCTAATAAGGGAAGTCTAACAATCAATGTTGACCGGATGTCTCAACACAGAGATTACTGTCAAAGCAGGCACTTAATCAGGATACACAAACACAATATCAGATTAAAATAACACTAGTTTCTTCTACAATAGTTGAAAAGTCTGAGACTGGTCTTCCTAACCTAACCTTAACCCTAACCCTAACCTTAATGTTATTTAATGTTAATGTTATTTATTTATTTATCTTTTTAAAGTTTTAGAGGTGTGTGTGTGGTGTATATACATTCATTATATGTTAACTTATCTTTCTTTTAAGCACTTATTTATTTATCTTTTTAAAGTTTTAGAGGTGGTGTTTGTGTGTATATACATTTATTATATGTTAATTTATTTTTTGATATAAATTTATTTATACATTTTATATATATCTATATATTCATTGGGGAGGTGCTGTGTGTGATTGTGTTTTTTTATTTCCTTTGTCCCCATGTTTGCGCTTTTTAACCTCCCTTCCCCCTTTAACATTTCCTCTCTGCCTTTCCCGCTGGCAGTCGCTCTGCTGCCTAGACTGTTTTTAATAAAATTGTCTTAACTGTCTTATTTCAGGGTTTTGATTAAAGCCTTTTTAAAGGACAGCCCCCTTGTGCCAGTGCCCCTCGTGGCCCTCTTAGGAGGGCCACGCACCTTACTAAACCTAACCCTAACCCAGACTGCACAGCGAATAAGTAAGTAATTTCAACAGCCCCCTTCTCACCCACCATTCCTCCCACTGGAACCGGAGAAGGGTCGCTTTCTCATTCACAGTCCACTTCATTCACCCCAGTTTCTCCCTCTAACTGCACAGACGTGAAGTGTTGTTTGTCAAATGGACGTGTTGGCCACTCCTGCAGACAGACATAAAGGATGGTACCTTTCTCTGATGGCGCCCAACACAAAAGGACCATCGTTTGCCTGGCTGGACCCATCGAAACTCTACTGCAACTCCCAGGTATGGTGGGGTGTATTTCTAGTTACTCTGTACTGTCTATACTGTTTCCTTTCTCATTGAACACTGCATACAACTCATTTATAACAGAAAAAATACAAGCTGTGTGTGCAAATTCTGCATTTTGTGCATTTACTGTCTTCATTCAGGCTCTTGCAGACTGCGTCAAAGACCTTCTCAGTCCTTTCCACAGCGACACTATTGATCTGGTTGCCGGGATAGATGCAATGGGATTCATTCTTGGTATGAAAACACACCGATTCACTATGAAGGAGGAAAGTAAATGTAGATTGAGAGCTAGAGAGACACTTGGTGTCCCACACTTATTTTAAGATCTATAGTTGCTTGCTAGGAGGTCAGGAAACCTAACACCTGACTCAAGGTACTAAATTTAGATACTTTGAGGACTCATGGCATTATAATTGTCAATTTGCACTGCAGGTTAGCCACACACGTCATTGTGGATGAATGTTTCTGAAAAATGTTTTTCAGGTGCATCTGTTGCTGCCACCTTTGGAAAAGGTTATCTGGCCATTCGAAAAGCAGGACACTTGTGTGTCGCAACCCAAAATCAAAACTACACAGACTACACAGGCAGAGAAAAGACTATGGAAGTAAGACTGGATGTGCTAAAACCAGGTTAATCACACTTATTTTTTTACTCTTTAAACATGTCAGTTATTTCTCTTGATGATCTTTGGACACCTAAGGGTTGTAACAGCTACGTCTTAAAATATATATTTAAAAATAGACCACACTTGCTGACAAGGATATCAGTCAGTTTAGACCTGTTATGTGTGTCTTTTGTAAATATTCAGTCTTGTAATTGGATCATTTCTATGCAAAAAGTCATACATGGATTGAGTGATTACTTATAGATCATCATCTGCCACCAACACTGTACTGTAAGAGCTGTTTTAGGCGTGGTGAGAATGAGAGACAGCTTCAATGCCAAGCTGTATTTATATGTTAAATTTAGATTATAAGCATGATTTAAACACAAAGATTTGAAGATGACCTTGAAGAGTTTTCTTAATTAATTAATTAATTGGTTGATTATTATTAAAATCCATAATATTACACCCCAATGTTTTATCCAATCAACATATTTAATTCTTCAGTATATATGACAAAGAAAAGTATCAAAGCTGCAACCACCAACTATAAATTGAAAAATGTTTAATTGATTAGAAAAAAGGCACTTATTCAGCCAGGTCTACTCAACATGATGTCTATTTATTCCCCGTGACACAGCACCCTCTAGTGTTAAAGAAACGTCAACATGTTTAATATTCACATTGACGTCACATCAGTTATTATGAGGGTCAATCTCTTTTATTCATTTTTAATCCATCAAAGATTATTTCTATAAATGTAATTTTTTTTTTGTTGCTGCCAGGAACTTTTCGGAAAACTGTTATTAGAGATTTAGCTATTTATTTAGTAATTACTATTATTATTATTATTTGTTCCATTTAGTTTTACAGTTCAGGCTAGTCCTTTGGTGGATGAGTAGACCATAAGCAGAGAGATCAATGTTAATGTTTGAACTATTTACTTGATTCTTTTTTGTGCATATTTACATTTCAACATCTGGACATGTATACACGGGATCGTTTTACATAACAATGTATTATTTGCTTTGTATTTTGCATTGGATAGTGATATTGTATACACTATTCATTTTTACTTTTTAACTTTATCTAAGTTCTGTTTATAATCATGTTTCCCATGTCCTCTACAAAACGTAAGGTGATTTGATGTCTGTCCTTTCTGCAGGTATGAGGCTGCTGTTGGTGGACCAATGGATAGAGACTGGAGGCACTATGAAGGCTGCAATCCAGCTGGTGGAGAGGCTCGGAGCCACTGTTGTAGGTCAGTCAAGATGGGTACCGTATAATCACTGGTGGAATGTAACCAAGTACAATTACCAAAGTACTGTACTTAAATACAATTGTGTTGTTGCTGTACTGTAGTTTACTTGTGCATTTGTATTTTATGCTACTTTATTCTTCTACTCCACTACATCTCCAACATCAAAGAGAAACATCGTACCATATACTTCACTATATTTGTTTTATTATTTTAGTTACTTTTGCAGGCTTAATTATTAATACAACAATATTTCAAACAAATGAAATATATTGTAGTTAGATTAGCAACAATATTTATAGATAACAAATTAGCTGCAATATTAAAGCAACACATTAATGCATCAATAATTATGATCCAGTAATATATATGATTCTGACATGAGCCATTCTGCAAAATGAATGCTTTTACTGTTGATACTTCAAGTATATTTTTAATGCTAATACTTTTGTACTTTCACTTGAGTATGATTTTAAAAGCAGGACTTTTACTTAACTATTTCTACTAGTACCAAGTAAAATATCTGAATACTTTTTCCACCACTGGTTAAAATGTATAACATAAATCAAATATCATAGAATAATATAACATTTAAAATGTAAAAAGTATTACACTTTCTTGCAGGTGTAGCAGCCGTGGCCATCGAGAACACTGAAGGAGGGAAGTGGATTAAAGAAAATTACAAATTCTCTCACTGCATCCCTGAAGAGCTCCAGAGCCAAATTGACCAGAAGTATCTTGATTCCTTCAACAGCTTCAACTTCAGTGAAGAAGAAAAGGGGAATAGTGCCATTTGCTGACTGAGATGGTCAAGAAAGTTTATCAGCATATGTTTATTTTTTAAGAAATACAGTGGAATTCCTGTTTCCTTAAAATAAGACAAGATATACTGTGATTTCAACTAAATAACACATTGAAAGGTATTTGTTTTGTACATATATTTTATTACATGTAAAATATATCATGAAAAGAGGTTAAGTACCAAGTAAAAACTGCCATTTAAAACAACCGACTTTGTAAACCAGAATATTGTGAAGAAAAATCCTAATTGTTAAACAAAATACAGCAGCGAGACTGAATATTTAAGCATCCACACATACGCCATGTTAAAAGCATCCACAGTCACTCTTTGGCATCTCTGCAGTAACAGAACAGTCATTTTGAGTATAATTGCTGAGTCACTCTGTAACTCCAGACAAGTTAAGCTGAGCAACACCACAAGAATCCACATCCCACAGAGGAAAACTCTTTCTAGGCCAGGAAAAACTGAACTCAAACATGTCAGGAAGTAGAACTCCAGCGTCCCTCCTCCTGCCTTGACCACAGAAATACCTCCAGTCTTTTCCCTCATTCTCAGTCTGTACCTTTGACTTTAAACTTCTGCTGCCATTCTTACTGACAGCAGTTTGGCTGCTTCTTCTTTGATGAAGCGGACACATTGTTTGAAGTGCTGTTAATTCCTGGAACAATTGAATAGCAGGAGGTTAAAACTGAGACAAATGTGAAGGCTTTTTTTATGATGGCAGAGTTAGTTTAGATACTCACTGACGACGCCCCCAATCTGCCTCGGCCCAGTTTTCTCCAACTCGGCAAGAACGTTGTTCTCAAAGGCCAACGATGCAACTCGAAAGAAAAACTCTTTGACGTTTTCCCCTACAGCACGGAGGAAATATTGATCACTTAGGGACATGATTGGTGTCCTCTGCAAAAGGCAAACAGCTACGATCAATGCTGAATACCAAAGACATGCTTTTGACGTAACTATTCAATCTTTTGAGAGTAAATCTCACAAGATAATTAATTGAAACATAAATCTGGGGCATCGAAAAACTGAAGACTCTCCACTGCTTCCCCCCCAAAGAAATCAGAGTACACTCCCTTCTGCAAAAATGAAAGATATACCCCTTCCTCTTTTCTGACCACACCGTAGGGACTCTGAGTCATGTTACTGTATTCAATCCAAACACTCACCTGTCAGCGACGACACAGCCCAATACTCTGCTCTGATCTCTTGTGCTATATTGAGGGCATCTTGTTCGATCTGAGAATACTGTGCAGGAGACTGTTGAAAAAACCAGAGAAGGCCAAGTTATTTTCATTACCGATTAATCTGACAATTACTTTCTTCCTTAATCGATCAATTGTTTAGTCTATAAAATGGTAGAACAAATAAAAAACTATCTGTAGAAAATTGCTTGTTTTGGCCGACTAACGGTCTAAAATCCAAATATATTCAGTTCTCTGTCACATTTATTCTACTGGAAAGAAATCACTCATGGACAAGAGAAGTATTCTTGAAATAAGAAAGAGGTAAATTACATGATCCAGTAATCTAATTTGTTACAAAAGCCACAGCATTGTCCAAACAGACAAAAACGAAATAGCAAATCTCTTATAAAACACAGAGTAAAATAAGAGAACACATTTCAAAATGTAAACTTCTTGAAATAGAAGACCACAGCTTAAATAAAGTTTGTAATGTTTTAGAAATGTCTAAATGCATGTCCATCGTTTCAGCCTCTATCAGGGGCAAATACATTACTGAGCTTTGAGTCCGGGACACAAACGCTTTGAGTTGTAGTCCAAACAATTCACATTTGACTCCAGCAGAACACACAGAAACGTTCACAGGCATGTCCACTTCAAACAGTAAGTGGACGTACGCTCAGGTCTTTCTTCGTGCCAACAAGGAACAGCTGAACAGCAGTGGGGTCGTTCTCTTTCAGGGAGTCTTCGAGCCACTGTCTGCAGAAAGAACAAGACAAGATGAAGTCCCCCAGCTAGGGTGAAAAACTGCCCAACAATCTGCTCATCGTGAATAAGCTTACCTCACATGGCCCAAAGAGGCAACGTCAGTTACATCAAACGCGATGATCACAACTGGAAGAAGAGAAAATCATACATGAATTAACCGTTTTAACACACAAATTCCAGTAATGCTACATATACACAGCTTCCTTTTCTCCCCTGGCATTGTTTTCATGGAAAGAGGAGAGTCTTTAATACATTTCTTATGAGGTTGCTGCCCTAAAGCACAGAAATCTCTCACCCTGGGCTCCTCTGTAGTACGTAGAGGCAATGCACTTGAACCTCTCTTGGCCTGCAGTGTCCCAGCTGTAAAAATAGGGACGGACATTTAAGCAATGTCAAATCAGACAGACTGAGTTTCCAAAGTTTTTTCTATTTATGTGTGTGTAGTAGTGATGAAGAAATTTGGCTTACAGCTGAAGGCTGAAAGGAACACCCATCACTTCAAAGCGCTCCATCTCAAAGTCAACACCGATCGTCGCCTTGTAGTTTTTATCAAAAGCATCTTTGCAAAATCTGAAAACGTAAAAATGTTGTTAGCTTAGAATGAGCTGTTTATATCTACATAGAGAGTGAGTCCTCTTCATGGAGTCCACCATGTTACACTGCCATGTTTCTACAGTAGCCCAGAAAGGACAAACCAAACACTGGCTCTAGCGCAAGCCTTTGTCGTTTTTACGTTACCTGAAGGCCACCGTAGTTCTCCAACGCGTTGGGAAAGGGAGGGATGGGCGGAGGGGTATTCAGTTGGATGCAATCTACAACCTCACCACTAGATGCCTAAATTTAAAGTATTTCTTGGGCCTTCCAGAGTTATATTATATTACATATATCATATTCTTGATATATTATTACTGAAGCTTGTTAGCAGCAGTTAAATGTTGCAGCTGGTAGAGGTGGGACACATTTTAACTACTTTATATACTGTTGGATAGTTATGTCTATCGTACAGTATCATATTGTATCAATTGATCATGTGTTTTGTTAAACACAAACTAGTAACTCCAGCTCCCAGATAAATGTAGTGGAGTAAAAAGTTCAATAGTACTCTCTGAAAATGTAGTGGAGTAGAAATCTTGTATAAATAAATAGCAATTGAAATACTCAAAATTGTACTTAAGTACAGTACTTGAGTAAATATATTTGGTTACCTTCCACCACTGTCTATTACAGTATGAATTTGAATGCAGATTTTCTCCACACTTTTGACAATAGAATAACAAACTATGTAGACTGTGCTCCCTTGAAGGTGGTACGTGTCCTCTGAGTTCTTTCTTGTTTGAGTTATTTATTCCCAGAACTGCAACAGTGACGGTGTTTGAGCTTACCTATTAATCAGACAGGTTTTCCCCACAGCCAGGTCACCCACAACAATGACCTTAGAGATTTTAAATCTGCTGAGAAGAATGAAAGAAGAAGCAACATGTAAATAAGTGCCACAAAAACATCACTTCCAGCATCATCAGGCTGCTGCACTCACCCCACAGTGCCGGTACGCTGCTCCTGACAGGCCGTCTTCACTTTATTGTTGAAATCCTTCTGAGTGTGGAAGGCTGCCGCTTTGCTGAAATACTACAAGAGAGGTAGAGGAATGTATGAGGCTGTTTTGGAGGGATAGCGGACAGCTATAGGCGATCATATTAGTACATGACTTTACCTGAGGGAGCTGAGCAATGATACGGTCCTTTCGGACAGGAGGAAGAACACTCATGGCTGAAACTCGGAGGGACATGAAGCTTTGCGGTTTAGTATAATGTTTAGTAGAGCGACACGTGGTGAGCTGGACAGAGAGAGAAATAAATTTAACAAGTTAAATCTGTTTCTTCATTATGTTTAAACTGCAGGGTTTGAATTTTAGGCCCAAACATCAGACCTGGTGCTAACTTTTACTTTTGCTACTGGAAGTAAAACTTACAAGATGTTACATGAAGCTTGTAATGAAACAAAAACAAACAAATGTTCTTTCAAATAGGAGGATTTGCTGCCTCTCTGTCGGTTGACTAATCGATTAATTGACAAATGGTTTACGTAAAAAGACATTTGAATGCATCGCGCTGGGCTCTGGGAAACGTGATCAGCATCGTTTTTTGTACTATTGTTTGACACTTTATAGACACTGAGCATTCTGTGCAGCATCTGTTGGTCTGTCTGCCTGTGTGTCTATGTTGCACTAAGAAGAGTAACCATTAGACTACTCACTACATTATACTTAAAATGTTACTTCTAAATCTGATTATCATTAATCGATTGACAAAAAATTAAGCAACTCCACCAAAATTCACTGGTTCGGCATCTCAAATGTGAATACTAACTGGTTTTCTGAGTCTTCTTTGATAGAAAAATGAATATTTTCTATCTCAGAATTTGAAGACATCCCTTTCGATTCTGCAAAAATGTTACAGACTAAAAAAAATCAATCAGAAAAACAGTCGACAGATTAATCGATAAAAAAAATAATCATTAAATGCTGCTCTACTCTCAATATACCTCCAATAGTGCATTACTGTTTTAATTTGTTTTCTATATGGCCTTGCTGCAACAACAAAAAAAATCTTCCTGTGGGACAATATCTTCTATTTAAAATGTTATTTTCAAACAGCACAAAGAAAAAGCCTGACATCTTTGTATTAGTTCGTATTACATTTGGGATAGCTCATGTTCTCTTTCTGCCATCTTTCTATTTGTTTAACTTTGCCAGGCAACCACAACATAGACTATATCCCTCCAAAGACTTCAGCTCACTGGAAATAAAGAGAGCCAGGCAGTCAAACAATAAACTGTAGTGAGAGCAAATATCTGTTATCCATTGTATAGCAACACGACCACATGCAGAGCCAGACAACTGTAATCAGTGTTGATCCACTTACTGGTCAGATCTGTTTTAATCCTCTTGCTCATCAAAGCTTCTGGTAAAGAAGAAGAAGAAGAAGAAGAAGAAGAGTTTGGTTTGGTCCACCACAAAACTGAAACTTTAAAACTCTATTTTACATCCAAACACCAAGTTAAGTATTGTATTAACTCTGTAAAGTCACACGTTAAGAAAGATATAACGTTAGGTTAAAGTTACACACACATGACCAAATTAAAGTTTTAAAAGCAGCGTGTTTGAGCTGCAAAAGAACTTAACGTTACCTCATCGAGACAGACTCTTCTCTTCTGTGTTTCGGCTTGGTCTCTTACCTCCCACAGTTTACCTCCTATTGTTATGTAGACTCATGCATATTCAGTGATCAACGTTAAAGTGTTGATTGTGCGGTGATCGGAGCTGAAATCGATCCACGGAAGTTGAGGAGGAGAAGCAGACTGAAGCCGCTGTTGCTGCTGACTCAGATCCCTGGATTTATTTTTCTTTCCTCCCAGATTTTTCTCGGCTCGGTCCCCTGCTGGAGGAAATGAGGAATAATCGGAAATTAGGAAAGGAAAAAAAAATCTATCTATCTATCTATCTATCTATCTATCTATCTATCTATCTATCTATCTGTCTGTCTGTCTAACAAATTGGACATTTATCTCGTTGACCTTTTATTGTTTCCCTTTGCTTTTATTCCGCTTATTCATTATTTATGTATGACCATTCATACTTCTCTATTACCACCGTTTGTTACATCAGAATGTTACTATTTATAAACATGTAATATTGCCATACTTGTCTGCATGCGCTTGTCTTCGTAATGAAGGGGGGATGAGTGAAGAGAAAAAGTCCGTTTCCTGTCCGTCAGTTAAATATGTCGACAATAGAGGGCGCCCTAAGCTTCTTCTCACTGACATCCGCCTCCTTATGATCAAATAATTCAATTCGAATACTCAATACAAATAACATCATGTTGCCTAATCACATCATATTTTAGTAATAATAAAGCAGCCACTGACTGTGTATGTACCGTGGGATGCATCTTGGTTACTGTAATTGTTTCTCCTGTCCCCACTGGCTGTCAAGAGATCATTTTCTTTTTCTTATTTGCTTTGTTGTAAGAGATGGGCGACAAAATACAGTCCTACTCCTAAAAGTAGAAATAACATAAAGCTTCATTATCCTGGGTCGGTCCAATCAAGTGGTGGTCTTTCAATGTTGATCTTTTTAGTCCAACATGTCTTCTCCATCCTTCCTCAACTGTGTTTCATTGTTGTTGAAGTTGTTGAACTTTAAAACATGTTTACACAGAAAGAAGACTCTAACCCTTCCAACGTTTTTGGCTTGTGACTATACTCTTCTTTCTACTAAAAGTCAGTGTTTAGTGTTTGAGTTGTTTCCCCTCTTAACTTCTCAGATGGTTTTTATTTAAATAACTGATCAAGAGGTCAAATAATCCAGGTATCCTAATGCACAGATTTGCAAAAAAATGTAATGTACTTTTTCTCTCTCATTATCTATCTCACAACCCCTTAGATTTCTCATGTGATCCTTTAGAGGGACCCTGTTGAGAACCAGAACCAGAACCAGCGTTATTGGCCATGTATGCTAGGCATACAAGGAATGTGACTCTGGTTTTTCCGTTGCCCTCAACGTGCATACACAGAAATAAACAATACATAAAAAACAAGGACAACAAAGTATAACAGAGGTAAGCATAGACATTTAACTACTATCTACAATATAAATATATATACAAAAGTATATATATGAACATAAAACATAACAATGACAATGAAATGGAGGTAATAGTGCAGTATGTCTGATTAATTGTTCATGAGAGTGACAGCCAGCGGAAGCGGAAATTGTTTCTGTGTCTGGTGGTTTTGGCATACAGTGCTCTGTAGCGCCGAACTGGTTGTGTCCAGGGTGTAATGAGTCTGCAGTATTGTTTGCTGTCCGTTTCCTGACTCTGGAGACGTTCAAGTCCTGGATGAAGGGCAGATTGGCACCAATGATTCTCTCTGCAGACCTGACAGTCCGTTGTAGTCTGTTCCTGTCCTGTTCGGTGGTCGTTCCAAACCAGACAGCAAAAGAAGTGCAGAAAACAGACTGGATGATAGCGGAGTAAAACTGAATCAGCAGCTCCTGAGGCAGGTTGAGCTTCCTGAGCTGGCGCAGGAAGTACATCCTCTGCTGGGCCTTGTCTGGGATAGTGTTGAGGTTGGGGGTCCACTTTGGGTCCTGGGAGATTGTTGATCCCAGAAACCTGAAGGTCTCCACAGCAGACACAGTGCTGTTGAGTTTGGTGAGAGGGAGCAGTGTTGGGGGGCTCCTCCTGAAATCCACTGTCATCTCCACAGTTTTGAGCTTGTTTAGCTGCAGGTTGTTCTGACCACACCAGAGGACCAACTGTTCAACCTCCTGTCTATACGCAGACTCATCACCGTCCCTGAAGAAGCCAATGGCCATTGTGTCGTCTGCAAACTTCAGGAGTTTAACAGATGGGCCTCCTGAGGTGCAGTTGTTAGTTAATCCAGTTGCTGGATGTGATTGTTCCTATCCTCATCTGCTGCGTCCTGTCTGACAAGAAGTCTGTGATCCACTGACAGGTGGAGGATGGCACAGTGATCTGGGAGTGTTTGGGTTGAAGTATTTCCGGGATGACAGTGTTGAACGCGGCGCTGAAGTCCACAAACGGAACCCTTGCGTATGTCCCTGGGGAGTCAAGGTGTTGCAGCATGTAGTGCAGTCCCATACTGACTGCTTCATCCATCGACCTGTTTGCCTGGTAGGCAAACTGCAGATGGGGGTCCAGCAGGGGGCCTGTGACGTCCTTCAGGTGGGTCAACACCAGTGTCTCGAACAGTTTCATTACCACAGACGTCAGGGCGACGGACCTGCAGTCATTTAATCCTGTGATGGTCCCCTGTAGTTGGTGAGGTCCTGCAGGCCTCTTCACACTGACCCAGGGTCGTTGGACGTTGTCTCCATTTCTGTAGGCCTCCTCGTTGGTCTGATGAAGCTGCCTGAGTTTTGCAGGAATCCAGGATTTATTATTGTTGTATGTGCAAAAGGTTTTAGTCGGCACACACGTCCTCACAAAAACGGATATATGATGGCTCCACCCTAACCACCTACAACAATAAAATGCTGCAAGCACATTGATGCATTAGTATTCTAACTCTTATAATGTAATATATGATAATACATCAGTCACCGTCTGTACTTTTGATACATTTTGCTGATCATACTTTTGTACTCTCACTCAAGTAGGATTTTAAATGTAAGACTTTCACTTGTAATGGAGTAACTATACATTATTGTATTGGTAAGGGCTCTAATGATTCGGTATCTGACCAGTTATCTCTACATGTATGTTCACAGAGTGAAATAATAGAGAAAACCAATATATACATATATATATATCACAAAATACACATCAGTACTCCTGTGATTTAAAATGTTTTTTTTTTATCATGGTATCACTAAACCATCCAAAATACAGGGGCTCTTAAAAAAATGTTAATACAAGATACATTTGGTTACAGAATTTACTGTACGTTGGTGTCAAAAATCTCTCCACTTGGCTCACCTTTTACAAAGAGTAACAGATGTCAGTCTGCACTATGTATTTTCTTTCTTATTCATAAAGTATCGGTGCTTTGGTCTTTTGGAAAAGGCACCGAGGTAAAGGCACTGTTGCACAGGTATGAACTTATCTAAACTATTCGATTTTTTGGCAGTTGGCTGAAATTGAAAGTGAAATGCACTTCTTATTAGGTTTTTAAATGACACTGTCAGCACTGGTGATTTATGGCATGATTAGGAAATGAGCATTTAAAGGAGCACTTCACCCACAAACTGACCATTTCGTAGATCAACTACGCACCCCGTTACCTTGAATTCAGGCCACGTTTAACAACCGCAAGACAATATCAAAACATCCGTTTACTAACTCTCACATAACTTGTGCATTATAATCCAAGTCTCATTTATCCAGTCCTGTTTATGCTGGCGCGCCTAAAAGTCTGAGAGTGTGGAGATTGGGATAGTATGCACAAAATGCTTCATGTCCATTTTGAGGAAAGAGGAGGAAGAGAAGAATATCATAAAAGGATCTATTCTGTTAAAGGCAATATGTTACACACTGTGGGGATCATTTCTGTCACTCCACATCTAGTCTAACTGATGAAAATCAATATCAGTATTGATCGTTGTGCTACCTGCTCATAGTGAAGGGTTTCTAATGATGCCCACCTCCGGATGAGCTCAATTATCAAACTGTTAGAAAGATCTAGCTTCAGGCCCACTTCTCTCTAATTACAACAGGTTTCATATGAGGACCATACTTTGCCCTACATTCCTGTTTGTTACCCGTTAGTCCTGTACCAGTTCAGTCACCGCCCAGTATCTCTTCAGCCACAGATGACATCATAGAGAGAGTCTGTTGCTGTGACATAGCTCTGTGCAAAGGCAAATAAATTATGTCTCTCACCTCTGAATCTCACAAATTAACACTTTATATCTTGTTTGTCCTCATTTGCATGTTATGAGGCTATTGTTTCCCAATTTCCAGTCTTTATGCTAAGCTAACCATCTGCTGGCTGTAGCGTCATATTTAGTGTACCGATATTAGTGTGGTATCAGTCAAGGAAGTAAATATTCCTTCAGGTTGTACTGATGCTAAAATTGAATGTTTAAGTAATAGTTTGGCATTTATGGAAATATTGGCAATGCATTTACTTTGTTGCTGAGAGTTACATGAAAACATACAACTCTCATGTCTGTAGCCTAATTACAAATATACAGCTACAGCCAGCAGCCAGTTAGCTTAGCATAAAGACTGGAAATAGGGAAATAGCTAGCCTGGCTCTCTCTAAAGACAACAAAATCTACCAACACCTCTAAGCTCAATTAACAGTTTGTAGGCTATATACTTTTTATTGACTCGTACAATCATAGAAGTTAAAACAAGTTTTACAGGAGGATTTTTTTAAATCTTTGGACAGAACCAGGCTAGTTGTTTCCCCATGTTTTCGGCCTTTGTGCTAAGCTTAGCTCACTGGCTGACCCGTCATAATTTCTAAACAGACATGAAAGTGTTATGAATTTTCTCATCCGACTCTTGTGAAGAACACAACTAAGCATGTTTCGATAAAAATGTCAACCTATTCCTTTACACAATAGGCCTATAATACTGAAAATCTATTTTAATCTATTTCCGAACAAGACTGGACCTTGTCCCACCAAAACAAAAATAAAAAATAAAAAATCTCTTTGGCAGTGAGACACAACAAGTGAACCTGTCGTCACTAGGAATGGGGTCAGTTTGAAAAATGCATAATGTGTGAACTCTCACTCTAAATACAACATAGGTCCGTAAACCTTCCCCAGTCAATCACAGGGAAACTTTTTAGAATTGTTGTTCTGCGTCCCGTTCAGCCTCACAGGTCTCTTATTCCAGGGGAAGAAGTCGGCACGTAGTAGGCGGTAGCAATAAATCATGATCATGACATTCATCATCATCATGGAGATGAGGAAGAATAAACCTTGGTCCAGCCAGGTGTAGTTGTGGACGATGTACCAGGTGAGGTAGAACTGGGTGCCCAGGCGAAACGTCAAGTAGGTGACGATGTTGATGAGTTTGTTGATGTGGTAGAAGGAGGAGGCCTGAGCGCCCGCCAGCTTCAGCATCAGCCTCAGGTGCAGGGTGACACTGTTGACCTCCACAAAGAGAGCGACTACAGCGCCGGCTACATACAGCTCAGTGAAGACGGCGTACAGGAAACACGAGATCACCTGAAGAGGAGACACACAGAGAGGTGAGTTGTTGTTGTTTTTTTTACAGCTAACAACTCCTGTGTTTGACGCTCTCATTGTCTTCGCATTTCATTTTATTATTGTTGTTTTTTGTAAGCAATGCTGCTCATATAACCTCCAGAGGAGGAAGCTGGATGGTTTGAAAATAAAGACTGAACAGAAAGACACTCTACATGATGCAGATAAGATAACAATTGGATTTGTAATTAATGATTAAATTAATAATTTAACTAAATATATTAGATAACAAATTAATTCAATTAACAATCAAATAATATTCAGTAAAAATCAATAACAGCATATTAAACAAATACACAAGGTATTTCAGAGGATGAAAATATTTCACAACATGACCAAATTTGCAATATGATTTAATTTTCCTCCATATTTAGTGACAATTGGACACCAATTTTGGAGGTAAAATTAAATCAGCACCTCACTTTATTGTCTTCTTCTCTTAGTGTTTTACACACGTGGGAAACTTGCGAAGATCACCTTGATATCAGCATAAGCTTCACATGCTGATGTCTTATCCAAACCACAAAGGCAACCTTAAACATGGCAAATAGGCATGTGGTCTTACCAGCACATGATGGAGTAAGAATTCCCATGATTGTCTTGCATGTCCTGTCAGGATAATATCCCCCGCATCCTGCACAAAGTATCCTGAGAAGGATGAAATAATGACACAGAGGAGGTGGAGGTAGATGAGGTTGAGAATACAATCTATATTTTACTGTTGGTTTGATCTTGGAGCTTTTCTTGAAAATGTTCATCCTTGGTCTGTTTGACACAACAGAAGCATGAAGATGACAATACAATTGCTTACGGTTTAATTTACTAAAGCTCAGTTTTTGTCATCGTCTTACAGCATTGCATGTTTAATCTGATAAATTTACATCTGACATATGTTTTGACGTACAAGGATACAGTAGCATGTGTTTGCCTTTTTTTGTGCTTTTGAAAAGCTTACGAGTTTTCTCAGATTGTTCCCTGCCTGTTTGGCCTCCAAAAGCATTTTTTTGCATTAAACCTGCATTCATAGATCAGTCATAGCAATGCAAGATTTCCCTTGTGTCACTTGTTAACCAAGAAGTTAGTTGAGCTGATCCGAAAGCAGAGTTTAATGTTTTTGTTAGTCATTATTATTAGAAGATGACAACTAAACAATTCACAACATAACCATGGTTATCAAACGGTGTAGGCCTCATTTAGCTGGAGCTATTCAAGTGACTAATATACTACTAAGAGTCCCTTTGTGCCTCGACTGACACGCCAACAGACACACAACCAGCCTCCATATTAAACAACCTGACCTCCAGTATCTAGTGTGGCCTCAGTGGAGCTTATGGGCGTTTGCGGTAGTTAGCGCAGATCTCCACAGATTTGTGTCTTCATGGTAACACATAAGATATAACCACATACAGTAAAGCTCAAACAGAACACAGAGTCCTCTGTGGATTATATTTGGTGTCCACGGTGATTTAGAAACAGGTTAGAGGGGCGGATACTTTTGTTGTTTCTCTGAACAGCAGCAGCAGCAACTGCAAGGTGGCACTGTTATACCGCCAAGGTACATTCAAAGATCAATTCAAGGATGGAAGAGTCAATCAGCACCGAACATTAAACTAGACCTGCAACGATTTGTCAATTAGTCGCAGTAAAAATCGTTGTAGTCTTTTTTTAAAGCAAAAAATTCAGTTTCTCACTTCTTTTCTTTGTCCTACATAATATATCTTTGAGTTTTGGACTATTGTCAAACAACCGTCATGTGAAACACTACCTTGGGCTGCGGAAAGTTATAATTTCAGCACTTTTAACAAATTTCTGACTTTTTATAGTCAAAACGATTTATAGACTCAAGAAAATAATCAGCAGATTAATCAATACTAAAAGTAATGCTTTGTTGCAGCCCTACACTAAATACTACAGTATAACAAGTAAAGCAACTACAGTTAGGATTTGCAATTTAAATGAAAATGCAAGATTAAATTAAAGCTGCGAGCAGCATTGACCGGGCCCTCGCAACTTCACGCACGTCGAGGGTACTAGCAGGACTCTGGCCATGCATTTCTGTGACCGTCATACACTGAGTGCACGAGTTAAATGGTATTTCCCGGTACTGGCAGGACTCTGGGTGACGCGGCCATGAATTTCTGTCGCCATCACACTCTGCGTGCACGAGTGAGATATTTCCTGGTTAGACCAGCAGCGTAGCAAGATCATGTTGCCAGGTCTTAAGCCTCAAATGTTTTGAGTGTACATCCGATACAATCATAAATGTAAGCCTTTAGAGATCATTAAGAAAATGAATGTGCTTCAGTGTTTGTAACATAACAGACTGTCAGTTCACTGGGACGGGGTTCAACTCCCTGAAGTGTCCTGCTGATTGTATTTGGACTTACATGAAAGTTAACAAAACAGTAGTGCCATTTGCTGTTACTTGAACACTTTAATTTAACACTGTTTTCATTTTAAGTTCTTCTGTAACTTTAGATTGTAGTGTGAAGCATTCATTGTAACGTTTAACCTGATTGTCATGAAGAAGCTCTGGACAGATCATTTATACTAATGCCCACTGACATGGTTTGAGAATCCACTGTTATCTAACTTTTGCTCTCCAAGCATCTTAGTTTGCACATATTTAGATCAGGAGAAGTCTTTTTCTCATGGTGTGCCCACAAACCCTTTCAATAAGTTCAGTGTTTGGGCCGCTGTAATTATAGAATCCTGCTTACGTCCGTGCTTATCAGTAGGTGGCGCTATGACTATGAGTTAATATTGGCATGCAGAAGTCCTAAAGCCATGACAGTCAACAAGCATGTCAAGTTTCGGACAGTTTTGACAAAGTACAGTCGAGTTACAACAGCTTGCTGGATGATGGTGAACCATGTAAAATGGCCGTCACACCATATCCACGTCGTTCGATGAAACCTAAATCTTTTAGTAACTTGTAATCGCTAAGGTCTTTAGATTGTTCTGACCAAATTCTAAGATGATCGGATCAATTCCCTAGGAGGAGTTCGTAGTACAGCACCTGGAAATGGAAAAAAAACATGAGAAATTCATACAAAATTCAAAATGGCTGACTTCCGGTTGGGTTTAGAGCATGGTCCCCTAAGACTTTTTTTTAAGTCTATATGTGATACATGTGCCTACCAAATTTTGTAAATCTATGTGAAACGTACAGCGAGGGCTGCTTCGTTGAAATTTTGTAGGGGGCGCTATTGAGCCGATTTGCCACTCTGAACCAATAAAATCATATTATATAACTACATTTTGGGCTATAAATGTGTATGCCAAGTTTGCTTATGTTTCGAGCATGTCTAGCCTCTCAAAAACACCTTAATTTTTCATGGTGAAGAATGTGTCGCCATGGCAACAGCTTTTCACGAAACAACAAGCTTTGAGTAACTTTTCATCACAAAGGTCTTTAGATTGTACCGACCAAATCTGAAGTTGATCTGATTAATTCCCTAGGAGGAGTTCGTTAAAGTGCAGCGCCTGGAAATGACAAAAACGACACTAGAAATTCATAAAAAAATTCAAAATGGCTGACTTCCGGTTGGGTTTAGAGCATGGCCCCAAGAGACTTTTATTTAAGTCAATATGTGATACATGTTCCTACCAAATTTCATACATCTAGGTCAAACATACTGCGAGGGCTGCTTCGTCGAAATTTTGTAGGGGGCGCTATTGAGCCGATTTGCCACTCTGAACCAATAAAATCATATTCCATAACTAAATTTTGGGCTTGTAATCTGCTTGCCAAGTTTGCTTATGTTTCGAGCATTTTTAGCCTCTCAAAATGACCTTCGTTGTTAACGGCGAAGACTGCATCGCCACGGCAACGGCGTTCTACGAAACATCAAAAGCTTCATGAACTGGTATTATGAACTTCTTACATTTGTGTGGAAGTAATTTGATGTTGATTTGATTTACCTACTAAGAGAAACAAGCCAAAGTATAATGACTTTAACTTCCTGTTACCAGTAGGTGGCGCTATGACTATGATTCAAAAATTGGCCTGCAGATGTCTTCAGGCCGGGAGTCTAATCAAACATGTGCAATCTGGTAAAGATCTGATGATGTGGAGTTGAGTTACATCAGTTTATTCGTTCATGGCGAAGGATCGAAATTCGCCGAGCCGCCACGTCGCCGCCCTTCAACAACTTCTTACAATTTTCACAATGAAGCATTATCAAGGTCTTAAGGCTGTTCTGACAACATTTTAGAGGGATGTGATTAATCTGTGAGGAGCAGGATGTCAAAGTACACAACTTACAACTTCCAGTTGCCACTAGGTGGCGCTATTACTATGATTCTAAATTATTACATAGATGTGTTCCAGGTCAGGATGTTATGACATACGAGAGATTTGGAGCAGATTCGACAATGTACGGCCGAGTTACAACAACTTCCTGTTTCGCGGCGAATGGTGTTTTTTGATCCCACGGACACATAGTTCTATAACTTTTTGATCTTTGAGTAACTTTTCACTGCCAAGGTCTCAAGAGCATACTGACCGGATCTGAAGTCAATCGGGTCAAATCTCTGGGAGGAGTTCGTTAAAGTACGACGCCTTGAAATGGTCAAAAAACGTCATGAAAGTCAAAATGGCCGACTTCCTGTTTGGTTTAATGAAAAACTCCAAGAGGATTTTTTGTGCGTCTCATCACGTTCCACATACCTACCAAATTTCATACAGCTAGGTGAAACCCAATGTTTGGGCTACTCAATAGGGGGCGCTATCGAGCCAATATTTCATACCGCAGTTGGACACCCCAATCAGACTGCAATTTTCGCAAATTCTGGCTTGTGTGCCAAATTTCGACATTTTCCCAGTATCCCAAGCACCTCCTTTTTGCAACGAAACACTAAGAATAAGAATAATAACAAAAATAATAATAAACAATCGAAAAACAATAGGTCCTCCGCTCCGACTACGTCGGTGCTCGGGCCCTAAAAAAAGTCTGAAGAGAAGTTTCCTTGGTTGAAGTGTTATTCTTTTGTCACGATGCATTCACTGACCTGTTGAGACGCAGACGAGCAGGTAGGACAGAGGGGTGTGGTAAGAGTGAAGGTTGCTCAACGTCTCTGGCCAAACCAGCACACTGGAGAGGGATACATGTATAGAAAGATGGGTCTGTGTTCACCTCACTCAGGCATACATGGGCTGACTCATGGTAGAGAAAAGCAGGAATAAGCAGAGACGTTAATATCAGGTGTTCTGGCTTCTTTAAACCCCCGGACTAATAGATAGTCAGTAGTTGAAGCAGATGTGCTGTTAATGTTTTATCCTTTCATTTTACAACTCTTATAGTCTAGCCTCTATTGGTGTCTCTACATCTTTTAAAAAACACATTCTCTCTCTGATTTTGCAATGTTCTTTGTCACTTCTCACTGCAGTTGACAAATGGGGGCACACCTCAAAAAGCAATAGCTTATCTGCGTACCCTCCCTGTATAAACACAGAATTAGTGTGTTGATAAAATACCTATGACATGCAAAGCAGCAAATTGTTTCACATGTTTCCTTGACACTACTTTGAGTGAACAAAAATCTACTTTTAAATTATTGTCTCTCAATCACTGCTATTCACATATTCGACATGTGTGAGAGTGCAAACAGCCTAAGAAATCTGAGCTTGGTCCCAAACAGTCTCCACCCAAATAAATAGTTTCTCATGATGCTTTCACAAGAGTCGTTGAGCCAGCAGGTTTTTCCAGTTGATGTGTCAGGAGGCTTTTAAGGAAACCCTGTAGGCTGTGTGTGTGTGTGTGTGTGTGTGTGTGTGTGTGTGTGTGTGTGTCTGAAAAAAAATGGATCTCTTTACAGACCTCAAGGTCAGACACAAATTCACAAGTACAAGCAAATAGCAATAAGAGTTTTATGTGGCTCATACTGTACAGTGGTATTTCCCTCCCGACTGCCAGTCTCTCCCCCGTCCCCTCACCCTAACATGCCATTCTTCTCCTGGCTGCCACAGACTGTCACTGCCACCCACACCCCCACACACACACACACACACACACTCACACACACACACACACACACGCACACAACACATCGTTTGGACTGTGAATAGACAATGGTCTCCCACTGTGTGAATGGATGGATAGATGTGTGTATAGACAGATGTTTGGATGGAAACTTACCAGGTCAGGGCCCATGATCCAGTCAGCAGGGAGTGCACTATTGAGACGGAGAGGTTCTTCCACTTCCAGGATTTAAAGTCATCCTGCTTCACCACTTTGGGCACAGGCAGCCTTTGCAGCAACCGGTGGATCACCTTGAAAATCAGAGCGAACACCAGCACTGACTTGCCTGGGTGACGCTTCAGCACAGGAACCAGGGCGTCCATCCTGTCCTCTGCTCTCCCTCCCTTCTCTGTACGCTTGCTCTTACTCTCTACAGCTTCCTCTCTTTGTCTTTTCCCCTCTTTTCGATTTTCCACGCTCCTGTAAACGTCTCGTGGTGTCAGTGATGGACAGATTTGCACGGTATCAGATGGGGCAGGGCAGGGGAGTCGCTACTGCAGCTGCGAGAGATGATCTTCTGTTTTTAATAAAGTTTTAACTAAGTTTCTAAGAGCTGAGTGTCCGATTTACGCTGCAGCCTTTTTTTCTTCTCACGTTGTAAGCGCCCAGAGTCCGTGGTGGAGATTATCGTAACAGGTCAATCCAACGTAACAATGTTTGTCTTCAAGCAGCGCCTTCTGATTGTATGTGTTGCCGCCCTTAGCCCGCTCGTCTGTGCAGAATGAAGAGTGGGAGTGGCGGTGAGGGGTGGGCGGTGCTGCTGCGCCGTTTAAAAATAAAAACAAGGAGGGACAAAGATGTGATCACGTTACACAAGTAATCACAGAGCAGGGCTACCGAAACGAGATTTTAGGTAAGAATGTCTAAAAAGACCAATATACAGTAAATGTATTAAATAGCTGCATAGTTATAACCTTTATGTTGACCAGCGCCACCCTTCCACATGCGCATGTATTTGGGTAGGCACTGTGCGCCATCTCTCTGCCTCCTCATGCATTCTAATGTAACCTATAAACAACAACAGCAGTTCGGATACGTTTCTCCAACGCAGGGTGTGTTTCTTTTGTTACTGGCCTAAAAGGCTTCAAATGAACTAATATATTATAAGCGTATGTTTTTTGGTATTTGGATGAGGAGAATCTGTTTACACTGTGTCAGTGGTGGATGAAGTATTCAGATCCTTTAATTAAATAACAGTCGCAATGCCGCAAAGTTAAAATACTCCAGCACATGTAAAGGTCTTGCATTCCAACTTTAGACAAAATAAAAGCGCAGATATATAATAAGCAAAATGTCCTGAAGTATAAAAATAAAAGTCCTCATTTTGGAGAATTTCCCCTTTCAGCGTGTTATGTAATTATATTCACTTAATATTATTGTATTGTTCTGAACCTCAAAGTAACTAGTGTCTACAGTTGTAAAATGAATGTAGTAAAGTAAAGAGCACAATGGTTACCCTCTGAAATGTAGTGTTGCAGAAGTACAAAGTAGCATAAATGGAAATACTTAAATAACGTTTATATTTACCTGAGTAAACCCACTCAGTCCCTATCCACTCAGAATACGAATAAGGAAAGAAAGAATAAGGCTCTTGATTGATTTTGCTCCTTCCTTCTTGGTAATATTCCCTGTTGAAGTTGGGAGGTGAGGGCCCATGGTGTACCCCAAGGGCCAGTCTTAGGTCCTCTTCAATTTCCAGTTGCATGCAGCAACTGGCTACATATTTCACAAACCTGGCATACATCCCCATCTTTATGCTGATGTTAACTGCATTTTCCCCTTAAACCAGTTAATGTAGCAGACATTCAAGCTTAGACATTTAAGATTATAACTTTTTTTTAATTGTATTGGGATATCTTGAGACAGTCCGATCTAATATCTCCTCTGAACTACTGTAAATCTCTTTATTCTGACATAGGCCAGAAGGCAATTGCTTGCCCTCAGCCAATCCACGGGTGCTGCTATGACTTTAACTAAAAATAGTATAAAAGTGGTCTAAATGGTCTAGTTCACCATTTCTTTCTTTTTTTGTTTTTATCTGTTTTGCCTTATTATAATCATGTCTTACTCACTTGACCATATGCACTCCATAAAGGTGGTAATACAGGTCACTTGGACCTTTATATTATTTTAGGGATGTTAGTGAGTGTGAGCATGAAGATAGGGGCTTCAATAAATTACACATTACATTATCAAATTCAGGATTACATTCTCTTTAAGTAAATTTGTGGCAATGTCAAGTACTGTAAACATATACGATTGAGAATATAAACACATCTTTGTTATGTTTGTAGCATAACAATGTAAATCTGGTGTGTTAGACAGGCAGCCTATCTTACGCCCTCCTTCCTTGGCCATAACTCCTTCCATAAACCCAGCGTGTCTCTCATCCCCCTTAGCTGGCCCCTTTGCAGCCCAGTGGAGGAAAAGGAAGTGAGTAAAACTTGTCAGGAACAGCTAAGACCCTCCACACATTACCATCCGCACCACAGATGCCTCTGTGAAATATACATCCACGGTGAGTTCACTTTTCTTATTAACTCAACTCTTGTTAATGTATTTCTTTAATCCTATCTGTATTTGTTTTTTGCATATTTGTATTCGTGCTTTACTGTCTTCCTCTTCTTATTATCTATGAATGCATGTTTGGCTTCTTTCCTTTGTTATTAATTATCTACTTTCCCTAAATCAAAAAGTTAATGTTTCTTTTCAGTTATAGAACTGAAACATTCGGTCAAATTAATACAGTAATGCTGATAACGTCTTTTTTTTAATTATGCTCGCTACGTTTCAACTGTGTATTTGTTACAAATGTCACACCACGCCATCTCCAAGCCTGAAGCACAATCCCACAATCCCACTCATGTTAATCCAAGCCTCTCAGTCACTTGAGGGTGATGATATTTTTAGGAGACGGCCCAAAACCCACAAGCACCGTCACTCTCATCATCGAACGCCAAGCCCTAGGGGAACAGGAGCCGTTGTACAGGGCCCCAACACCCACAATCCCTAAAATGAGCCACCTCCACCCCAAAGAATTCAACCGTTTGAGAATTGCTCGAGACAATCTCCTTCCTCGGGATGCCTCAGAGAGATTCATGTATCAAATCCTTGTTGACCTTTACTGACACCATGACCTTTACTGACACCTCCACTTGCAATATGGACAGCCCATCCAGCCAGCTGGCCTTACAACGCATAGCAGAACTCATGGACGGGCCAAACGTGGTCACACCAGAGCCTTCAGGATGACTGCCCTCCGTGTGCGTTCCTTAGTGTTAGAGCAACTGGGAAGGAAAGACAGAGTCGAATTAGAGTGTGACTCACATGTTTCCCGCCAGTTAGGAAATTTCACCCATGACCTGCGCTTTAGTTTCTGATGCTTAATTTATCCCCTCAGGGTGCCCAAACCAACTCTCCTTAAACCAACTCAAACCAAACTCTCCTTGCTTGCTGCTGCTACATTGCTTGCTGCTGCTACAAACAAATTTCCCCCTGGGGATGAATAAAGTATACATCTATCTATCTATCTATCTTAACCTGTCTGACTGGCTAGAGTATGAGCTCCAAGTGCAAGAAGACAACACCAAGTTCAGCAGCAGCTCAAGGAGGGAGAAGGAAATAAATATCAAAGGGGAAAAGAAGACCTCCAAGCCTACAATGGGGCCCTCAGCAGTTCTGATGATCACAGCCACCACATCTTAGAAGGAGACAGTATCACCACCACCACCCTCAACAGATAATACTTTTAAAAAGAAGCTACTGTGTTAATTGGACATGAGTTTGCCCCCTATATCAAGAAACACATACAGAGTATGGGCTGCAAAATAAAAACAACACCACTAGATGGAAGCAAAGGCTCATGTGAAGAACGAGCATTTCCTTCAGACTGATGCTGTTTTTCAGCTCAGTGACTCCGAGTTCTTCATCAAACCACTTGGGGGCATTTCTCCCCAATAAACTCCAGGAAGACCCATCTCGTTGATGATGATGTGATGATGTTGAGATGTACTAGAAAATTCCCTGTCATTAGTAAGGCCGCAATTCCTTTCATAAAATGATTCCAAAATGTTCAAGTTACACTGCTACACATGTGTATTTATGTGTGACTCAGAAAGATAAATAAAAGAGAAAGACTGGTCAATAGGTCTAGTGCTCCAAGTGTGAAACTTGAAACATGAACCATATAATTAATCTGCGTACATCAGTTGAGTACAGGCTTCTCTGTAACAAGACACTTTGCAGTTAGAGAGAGAAATGTAACTTAATACCATCTCTTGTTTTTCCTGGTTACCTCAACGTGCATTTTGTTGTAGTGTGAGACAATGAGAGTCTTTTGCTTTCATAGTTTTATCACCTGAAACCTCACAGAATCAAGTTTCCAAAGAAACAGCTCAGGATTTCTGACAGAAGGTGTTATTGCATCCAAGCCACAGCAAACACCAAACTGTTTAGAAGGTCTCCCGATATCATTTGATGTGTTTGAGACAGGAATCTTTGTGCCTGGCTCAGCACAATATTGATCTCGGGGTGATTTTTCTTTCTCCTGAAGGCTGTTGAGAAACGGCTATACTGTGGAGACTCTGCAAGTCTGCAAGAGGGGAAATCTACGGGTTAATTGAGCTGCAGCAACTGCTTCGTAAATAGCCAAACAAAAGTAGGTTTGTCTTGTTCAGAGACAGATTCTGTTTCGTTCTCAAGCAGTAATGTAACTAATTGACATTGATTAAATACATTTATTATATCCATACACTGTGTTCCTAACCCCCAATCTATAAGGTTTAAACTAGGAGTAACATCTAGTGAACAGTGAAAAACTTACAGAGTAAAAAAAGTGCCACACACACATATAGAAATATAGACTGTATGCTCACACACACATGTTGGCTAGAGAGAGAGAGAGAGAGAGAGAGAGAAAGCACAGTAGTTAATAATATTACCAACAATTCATTCATTTTATTAATTGCACCTGTGCTTTTCCTTGTCTGTGAAAAAGGCCTATGAGTTAATGATGAGAGAGAGCGAGGTGAAAGCATCGATGTGAGGAAACAACTTTCTGTCAAGTCTTAAGAAATCTCTAAAGATGAATAGTTCATACTTGAGGTTCAGCATCAGTCTTCACTATCCAAGACAGTGCATTCCAGGTTACTGACTATTGTGTCTTGAGACAGAACACAGCAGCACAAGGACAAATATGTCACTGAACTGGTCTGAGGAGTGCCACACATTCTGCAAGTCTCCTGTAGGCGCTGCTTTGCTGAGATATTATATCCCTGAGAAAGAGAAAACTACTGTTTGTTAAACCCTCTCCTCGCTTATCTTACCTCCACCTAACTTCATTTTGAAAACTGCAAATTGTAGAGAAAAGGTTAAATTACATGAATAATGACTGTTTGTGGTGATATATCATAATTTCAGATTGATGATAATAGTGGAGGTACTTCAGCACAAAACAGAGCAGGCTTTGTCACAGCACAAAGCATTTATTATCCCCATGGCAGAGGGGAAACAGTGCTCATGCAGCCCTCTTCCTGCTTATCTCAGACAAGAGGAAGGCACTTTATAATCACCAGGCGTCTGGATGTCAGACTACAGTATCTGAAGTCCATGCTCTAGTCGTTTCCTGTCACAAATGTTAGACAACACTGTGCTGAATACATTTTTGGCATGCCAGTACTAAGATGACATACAATGTACTAGAAAAGCACTTTGTAACCTAAAATACTCAGTCACTTTTCAAAAAGGAAATTATATTGGTTGGATGTGATCTTTTCTTTGTCATGACGACAGACTTCAAACTGGATTGCTGTTAGTTGAAAAAGTGGAAATTGTAAAATCAAGCATAACAAAATAAAACCAATTATTTGCCGATATATTCTTTGTTGATATCTTTGGTTTGTTCAGTGTTCACTGTGGCTGCACAACTTTACATTTCATGATGTCCTGACTACATATCTGACCTATAGTGTATTTGTGTTTAAACTACTGTCTATACTGTATTTATCTGATCTAGTAAATACCCCATATTCATATCATACCTCCAGCTGTTTTTCTCTGTATATAATGTCTTACTATTTCCATCACTTTACAGTGCCAAGAAAAAATATGTAAGCCCCTGGATTGCTTTGCACACTTGCATCATAAAATGTGGTCTGACACTGACAAATTCACAGTAATGGACAAGCTTCATCTGCCTGAAAAAGTTAAAACATTTGCATGTTGGTGTATATATTTAACTATTTGCTTGAACATTGAAAGTCATGTTGGAAAAAGAAAGTGAAACCTTGTTTTTTGGTAACTATCTTTCTTGCACATGTTGATCATAGCTCCACATTGGCCAGGCGAATTTTCGACAATTTTACTACTTATTTTGTGATTTCAGGAATGTCTTTCGTGAATGTCTCTCTTCAGTTCATGTCACATAATCTCAATTGATTTGAAGGCAAGATTAATTTGAAACTTTAAATTAATCTAAGCCCACAGTTCATTTTTCAATGTGTTTAGGGGCACTTTCACGTTAAATCTCCCAACTTCCCAAATATAGATCACTTTATTTTTGTTGGCACTGCTTAGCTGTACCAAATATTGTGCCTATTGCAACATGCTGCACATTTTTCACTTTGTATATTCCTTTATAGACATGTCTTCCCCTTACTGTTAATCCTATATACTATATTTATTCTACAAACAAAACATTGTGTTAATGTCTCTAAAATCCTTTACTCTGTGACTGAAAACATTCATTAAAATATAGTAGGCTCCTGTTGTATTTTGCAGGAGAGTTTTTACTTCGCCTAATTTTGTCCCTCGTCGCTTCCTGCAGTAGTTGGGACGGGTTGCCTGGAGACGGCGGAAACGTTTGGGAGCAGCGATGGAGAAGTATGAGAAAATCAAAGTTGTCGGAAGAGGAGCTTTCGGGTAAACTCTTGAGTTTAGTTACACTTTGTAGCTGGTTTGTGCTACACGGATATGTTGTGCTGACTGCATGTGTGGAAACAGGGTGTTGTCGGGTGTAAATTAACAAAGCTAGGAATCCCTAAAATGGGGGACTTCAGAGGAAGAAGACGTGTCTGGAAAACGTTACACGTTAAATATAAAAACACGTGATTTAGTTTATTGAAGCGAGCTGCGTGATTAATCGTAATACTAAAGCATTTCTGGGTTTATTATCTGCTAAGCAAACATGGTGGGTTTTGTCTTTTAACGCTAAATAACAGTTTGAGTGACTTTTCGTTTTTCTTTTTTTTACGTTTTAGCTCGACGAGCCATAAGCTGTTATATATTATTAATCATCTGAATAATTACATTCACATCACTTTGAATTACTAGTGGCTCTACTTCACATTTGAAAAATAAAGTTGTTATTTAAAGATAGTAAGTACATGAATAATGTCCTGTTACTCGATTACTACTTTACTGCTCATTATGCAACGTATTTAAAACTATTAAATGTTGTTTAATAAAAAACAATTCACACTGCTCTCCCACTGAGCTACAGTCGCCCGTGTATTTAATAGTAGCCCATAACAAGCCCTTTTCCCTTCTTCACACATAATAAGCGAATGGAAGCACCATGTTTGTTGGTTCATTTACATTATTTCCCTTTTTTCTTCTTATTTCTTATAAGTCTTTTCATTGGGTTTCCAACAGACATCACAGTGCAATTTAACACAAAAAAGATCTCCCTACCCACACCTACAAAACTCACACGAGATACAAACCACCAAAGACCACCCTACCGTATTGTTTATGGAACTAAATATACATCTAAGCTTACTTTATTTCCTCCCCTGTCAGGATCGTTCACCTGTGCCGCAGGCGCAGCGACGGGGCCTTTGTCATCCTGAAGGAGATCCCAGTGGAGCAGATGTCACGAGACGAACGTCTGTCGGCTCAGAACGAGTGTCAGGTCCTGAAACTGCTCAACCACCCGAATATCATAGAGTACTATGAGAACTTCCTGGAAGACAAGGCCCTGATGATAGCTATGGAGTATGCACCAGGTAAGCTTACTGTAATATCTTATTACACAACCCCCTTTTGTTGATTGTCTAACGCTTTACTGTTCCCATGGTTTAGTGCTGTAGGGCTCCATACCTTTTCTTGTTCCCATGTCACCATCTAGTATCAGTCTCCCCGGTGCTGTTTTGAGGTGATCAGGTAACTTTTCTGTTACATTAAAAGGCGGAATGTAAAAAAGGTAGATCGCGATCAAGTAGTCCAAAATGTAGCAGCAGCACCCAGAGCCAGTATTCAGCCTGATGAGGCGCCTTCAGCTGTTCTTGTGTTTAGGTTAAAGATCAAACCTTTGCTGTCGAAGACCCTAAAGGACTGGATAATCTTTCATAATTAAATTCTCATCCTTGCAAACTGTTGAGGTTCTTGATTTGCTGGTGGAACCACCACAGCTAACTAAGACGGATATATTGATGTGAACAACAAAGGTCTCTCTAATGTTTTTTAAAAATAATCTTTTAAGAATGTTCATATCATCATCTCACGGCTGTTCACTCAACTCAGTAACTTGATCGATTTCTAAGTTATTGTGGTTTTAAGTCCTCGTTATTGTTCATTCTATTATTTTTAATGTTTTCCTCATGCAGGTGGAACTTTGGCTGATTACATACAGAAGCGCTGTAACTCTCTGCTGGACGAGGACACTATCCTTCACTTCTTTGTACAGATCTTACTTGCTCTGTATCACGTACACAACAAACTTATCTTGCACAGAGACCTTAAGACACAGAATATTCTTCTTGACAAGCACCAGATGATCGTCAAAATCGGTGACTTTGGCATCTCCAAAATCCTCGTCAGCAAGAGCAAAGCTTACACGGTGTGTTTATTTGCCTTTGGTTTGGAACTGTGATTACTTCAGCAACATGCATGTGTTGAATCCTAACATGTGCTAGCGCAAATCCTTTCCTCTTTCTTTTCACTCTGCAGGTGGTCGGTACCCCATGTTACATCTCCCCAGAGCTGTGTGAGGGAAAGCCGTATAACCAGAAGAGTGACATCTGGGCTTTGGGCTGTGTGCTCTATGAGCTAGCTAGTCTTAAGAGAGCCTTCGAGGCTGCTGTGAGAAAATCAATTTTTTTTTTTGCAAAAATCCTGTGTTTACTTGGATGTAGTGATGTAAATAGCACCACACTTGTGTTAGCTTTTGAAAAATGATCATTGCCAATTGCACAGAGGGGTACTAATGTGAAAATCGTACTCCTTTGCCAGGGAGTTTGCGTCGATGATTGGGGATTTTTCACATATTTCGAATACGTTTTGTAATTTCACTGTATAACACTTTATAATGTTTGCTTTCAGAATCTACCTGCGCTTGTTCTGAAGATCATGAGCGGAACATTTGCTCCGATTTCAGACCGGTACAGCCCAGAACTTCGACAGCTGATCCTCAACATGCTCAATCTGGATCCATCCAAACGACCTCAACTCAATGAAATAATGGCTCTTCCTGTATGCATCAGGCCCCTGCTCAATCTCTACACGGATATAGGCAATGTCAAAATGCGCAGGTACTGCCTTAATGCATGACTAATGACGAGATATTTTGATGCAAATGATTTGAGATTAAGATTTCCTATATTTTGAGTTTTTCTTCTCCTCTGTTCCAGGATTGAGAAACCACTGTCTGCTGTGCATACTGGTCCTCATGGTAGACCAGGAGGGAGAGTTCCCTCAAACAGGTCCAGAGGTCAGGCTCATAACATGATTATTTGACAACAGAACTAGCTGGTAGATACTTTAACTACTGATTTGATTGTTATTTCTTGGGCTTAAACAGATGGATCTGTCGGTTTAGGACCAGGGAAGGTGCATTCCCTCCCGCTGTCAGCGGTGTACACGTGGGGAAGTGGAATCTCAGCGCCTCTCCGCCTGCCGATGCTCAACACCGAGGTGCTTCAAGTGTCTCTGGGCCGCACTCAGAAGATGGGGGTGACCAGGTCTGGCCGTCTGATTACATGGGAGGTCTGTGTAAACTATACATATTATTATATTTTCTGACTCGTTTACTATGCTGCTTTAATAATTTCTCAAAGTCATGCAATATAAAGGAAACAATTCATTCCTGATCCACCATCAAGGAACAGCTGTGATCTACTCTGCTCTCTCGGGTCAAACCGTCTCCCCCAATTACAGTTTGGTGTTTTTATAACTAGCTAGTTCAGTTGTATTTAGTTGGTATTCAGCTATCAGAAATATCAGTGGTCAAAATCTGGTTTTCGTTTCAGCCCCTCAGAGAGCTTCTTCGTAGACTAAACTGCCACATTAGAGGGGAGAATAGAGTGTTAAAGAAACAGAGATAGCTAATTCTACACCAGCAGTTGCCTCAGCGCAAAACAGCCACAACCAATTTGCTGAAAACAACATGTTTTTGGATTTGATTTGATTTTCTATAGAGTTAAATGAGGCTGGCTGTAGAATATGGGTACTCAATAATAGAATAACTGCTGGAAGACATCACACATTGATGGATCCTGATGGTGAATCAGAGGATGGATTCTTCCTTTCACATTTTTAGTTGCTTGTGTTACATTCTCACGGTTTGGCCCCATTAAGACTCATCATCATTTATTGTCACAGGCTCCATCAGTGGGCTCCGGTGAGGCCAGTCTGCCCGGTGCGGTGGAGCAGATGCAGCCTCAATTTATTTCACGTTTCCTTGAGGGTCAGTCTGGAGTCACCATCAAGTCTGTGTCCTGTGGTGATCTTTTTACCATCTGCATGACAGGTTGGTGGGCTGTTCTGCTTTTTATAACTATCAGAGACATCACGCCCATGTCAGTTTAGCAGGCAGCTTTTTTTAAAGGAAGTAAATGTCAGCACCACACGTGGCTGTAAAACACAGAGGCAGTGTTTGAACGTACATATGAAAGTGTGGATACAGTCAGGCTGTTTTTCCAGACTTGATCAGATGGCGTGGATCCACTTGTAAAATAAACTTCTCCATGTTTGCATCGCAGTTTGCAGTTTTTCCTGAGCTCAAACTGTGGTGCTCTGTTAGTTAGTGTGCATCAGGACGCTGCTGTCAGTCCGTCCAGTATTGCAAAGCAGATAACACAGGATTAAAGACCCGTCCTCTCGGCTCAGTTGCCTCTCTTTCATCTCTTTTCACTGTAGTGACACAGATTAGCGTTTCCTAGATGAGGATTAGAAGCATTGTGTTGGTCTACGTAAGAATACACCTACAGCCATCAACTAATAGTGTCTTTAATCCCTGCTTTTTATTTTCAATTTGCAGACAGAGGCATTATCATGACGTTTGGAAGTGGCAGCAACGGCTGTCTAGGACACGGTAACTTCAATGATGTTACACAGGTACGTGTCCACCATCCAAAGGAAACAATACTCATATTAAATGTACACTCAGTTGCCAGTTTGTTACAGTAGATACACCTGACTAAAACCAATGCAGTATGCTGCAACAGTCTTGCAATAAGTTCTACTTGTGTTAATATTTAGTTCACCTTATCTATATTAAATTTGCCTAAATATTAGAAACACATCTCAGTACAATGTAATACAGTTAAACAGCACCACGTATTCTGTCCTCCAAAATGATCATAAAGTTTAATCAAAGCACCTCTCTAACTTTCCATTATAACCATCATGAAGGTAGGATTTATTGCAGGACTGTAAAAAAATATATTTTGGCATTTTAACCTTTAAAAAGATTGGGCAACTAGAGTGCTACATCCCTACACATCTGTAACTTTTGTCTCTCTCTGTTTTTGTACTCAGCCCAAGATAGTCGAGGCGCTCCTCGGCTACGAGCTGGTTCAGGTGTCATGTGGTGCTTCCCACGTACTCGCTGTGACCAATGAAAGAGAAGTATTTGCCTGGGGAAGAGGAGACAATGGTAGTAAATAAACCGGTTGTTTTCTAATTTATCTTAGTAAATAATCGTTCAGTGCTTGATTGTTGGGTCTCTGTCCTCTGTTTCTGTTCCTCTGTCTGGAAGGTCGCCTCGGGCTAGGCACCCAAGACACGCACAACTCTCCGCAGCAGGTGTGTTTACCTGGGGAATTTGAGGCCCAGAGGGTGGTGTGTGGAGTCGACTGCTCCATGATTGTCAGCACCCAGTACAGCATTGTGGCATGTGGAAGCAACAGGTAATTATATTTTCCCACTCAAAATTACGGCCATATGTTTCGATGTCTGTCACTGACTGACATGAGCTAATGATCAGCTGTGAACCATCTCATTTTACATTTAATGAGAAGACAAAGCCACTATATATATATATAAAATACTGTATATACAGTATATATATGTGTGGATGGAGTGGTGATAGATTAGATGAGATTATTCTCTGAGATACTTTCCTGGTGCAGAACCTGTGAGACAGCATTCTCTTGAAATGACAAACACTTTTCTATCATTGTTAATCCGTCTCTCTCAGAGAGGTTTTGGAGGTTTTAGAGATGTGTATGAGTAGGACAGTAAAGACAACAGCATTCATTTCATGTCTCAGTAGAAGTAGCATTGTTCAGATACCGAGGACTCAGCAGCAGATAAGGGAAATAGGAATAAAAAACATTATTTTAACTAACATACATTGTATATTAAAAGAGTGGTAAAAGGATATAATGAATGCAGTTTTCTCTATTCCCCTCTCTGTTGTAAGTAGCTGGATTTCTTTTGTTTTGCTGTGGTCAGGTTCAACAAGCTCGGGCTGGATAAGATAACAACTGGAGAGGAACCAAATCCCTCGAATCAGTTGGAAGAAGTCAATTCTTACTCTCCAGTCCAATCAGCCCCACTCAACAGTGAGAAGATTGTTCACATTGACATTGGGACAGCCCATTCTATTGCTGTTACAGGTAAAATATTCCCATTATTAATCTATCAAATCACATTTTTAGAATCAGATTTGAAATGATGCATCTCTGAGTGATTGCCTCCATAATGATATGAAATAGAAGTAGGTCATTGTTTCATTTAGCATTCGCCAAATTAGTTCTCTAGGTTCCTGCAGCACCAGATTGAGTAAAACGCTGCCTAAAGAGATCACTTCCAACGTGTTCTACAGTAAAGCCAAAGTCCTAAAGCTTACATTTGAAAAATCTATTGTGTCAAAGTCTTAAAATAAAACACTTTCACCGACATTTTCCAGAGAGGGGTCAGTGTTTTACCTTTGGCAGCAACCAGCACGGTCAGATGGGCTGTAGCTCCCGTCGTAGCAGCCGTGTTCCCTACCCGGTGCCCGGGCTGCAGGGCATCACCATGGCTGCCTGTGGAGACGCTTTCTCCTTAGCTATCGGATCTGGTGAGTAGAACTTACTACATATCTGGCTCGGTTTTTAAAGGGTATATGTGCTTCAGGTCTCCCTTGCACTCCTGTGTAGCACCTGGTATGTAGGAAGAAATGACACCTGTATCAGTTAGTTCTGGGGACCTCACAAATGTCCAAATGTACTCGCATGGTGTGGCCAAAATCAGGGGAGACAGGAAATAGTTTTCTTGTCCCTGCATGATGATGCTAATGCATGCTGGGACAGATAGAAACTATTCTTGTTGGTTGAGAACAGAAAACCCTGACGTCTGAAACAGTCTTAACTGAAAAGCGTCATGAAAAGACTGAAAAGAGCCATGTGGTAAACCTGAAGACGAACGATAAGCACACACGTCAGTTTAAAGAAACGATAATGAACTTTCCAACAGTCCCTGTGAGCAACCATGTGACCACACAACAAAAGTGTAACTTCAATTCAGAAACAGAGCCGATTGAATTTTTACTGTGACGGATTTTGTTACTCTTCCAAGTCTCTGGAAGTTTATTTTCATGTCAAACTGAAATGAACTGAAAGTTGAATGGTTACATGGAACATATAGTATGGTTTGGTAAAATGGTAAGTAGTACAATACACCCTGGGCTTAATATACAAAAGCATCGGTCTGCTTCTTTGAACACGTGGGTGAACAGGTAACAGATGTGTGTGTCTGTAAGTCTCTGTTTTGGTGGTTAAATGGTAAAATGTCCTATTGTGCCTGCGACTGGCTCCCCGGGGAGAAAGCCAGCAGTGGCAGCGCTGCCTGTAGGTTTCCTTTGTTGAGGGAAGTCTTTGTTCATCTTTGGCTTCCTTCAGATAGAGTCATTATGCTGCTGCAGGAGAGGCAGAGCTGTCGGTAAACAGTGACCAGCTTCTTCTCCTCCTGCTCTCCACAGATGGGGAGGTGTACACCTGGGGAAAGGGGGCCCGCGGCCGCCTCGGAAGGAAAGAAGAGGATTCTGGGATACCCAAGGTGGTGCAGCTCGACGAGAGTCACCCGTTCACGGTGACATCGGTGGCTTGTTGTCATGGCAACACTCTGCTGGCAGTGAAACGTAATATTTCGCTTATTAGCCTTTGTTAACAAACACTGTTGGGATGGTAGTGAAATGTAACTGAGAGAGTGCTAATCCCCAGAGGAAAGACGGGCTCAACTTGAGACGATCTTCTGTTGTTGGCGTCGACAGAGTTTCATGTTTATGAAGAATTGATAAAAGACTCATTTGTACGTTTGAAAGCTGATGACATGACCACAGCGTTGTTGTACGCAGTCGTGCATCTTAAAGCATTTCCATTCACAGGCGCTCTGTTAACATTAACAAGCTAGTTCCTTCCAGCTACACCTGAGCAGAACTTTTCTATCTGCATGCCTACAGTAATAACTCAGTCTAATTTTGCATTGTGGACTAAAATGATTGACATCTTACTGAGAGGAACAAAAAACAGCAATCTGTCCCTCTTTGTCCTGCCGGTGCAAAGCCACAGATTCTAATGAAAACTGAAAAAGCAGTGAAGGTGGGATTAAATCGTCCCGCTACACTCCAAATTGAAAATAGCTGCAGATTTAGAGAAGATTAAACTGCATCACAATTTAAAAAAGTAACAGAGATGTTGGTAATCCTCGCTACAGGCTGCTGTTTAAATGTTTCGTTGAACTGCATCATGTGACAAGGACATGGAGACCAACATGGACTAACACTCAGAGAGGTCTTTAGCAGGGTTTGATGCAGATCGGACTAGTCCAGAAACTACTGCACTACTACACCTTATTAGAACTGTGTTGATAAATGTTTTCAGGTAAACTATATACTAAGTAAGTAGTACAGGATCAAAACACCTTGATTTAATATAGAACTAAACACGTACTGTATCATGAATGGAGTGAAAATCATGTCTTCGGTAAAAGAAAACGACTAAATAGAAACCCTAAACTGTTTGATTCCCCGACTACAACGTTACTTACTGTGCCCCCCTCTGTAGTCAGAGCTTATTTAAAGCTTATTAACAAACCAACAAAATCAAAGGTTGGTGGTGGAGCTGATTTTAGTCAAAAACTTGACTAACTGGGAGGGGGGGTCCTGCTACATATTGGTCGTAGAGCATGACAAGGTTGTATCGATATTTAATTAACTGTCAGCCGCTATCAGCCTCATTAATGGAAAAGTGATTTATCGGTCAACAGTAATCTGTTCAACAAGATACGTCATGTGTTAATTCATTACTGAGTATTCTGTTGAATATTTGCTCAATCAATCGAATAATTGTTTCGCCTAAAAGATGTCAGGGAGTCGTGAAATATTCATGCCAGCATCTTCAAACTCTTTGTTTTATCCCACCATCAGTCCAGTGAACTCTCTTATATGATGATGAGAAGAAGCAAATCCTCCTTTTTAACATTATTGCTGAAAAACGACCGTGTTTCAGCTCTTATTGACGGTTCACCCATGTCCCTTTCTCTTCTTTCAGCTTTGCTTGAGGAACCTGTCCCGAGATGACGAACCCACACCCACTCAGCGGTCGCCCTGAAGCCCATCTGTGGCATAAGGTGAAGCTTCCTCTGGATATAACTCTTCCCAGAGGCCCCCGTCTGTGCTGCCGTTGAAAGATTTCCTTTCACGCCGCAGCTGCACCCTCAAATTCTCACTTGGTCTTCCTCTCTCTGTTTTTTTTCTCTCTCTCTCTCTCTCTCTCTCTCTCTCTCTCTCTCTCCAGGAATGAATGTCTGTTTCATTCTGCGTTTTGATATCATGCAGCAAAGCACAGAAAAGGTGAAACCCTGTGTGTTTCAGCAGGTGTATCTCTCACCAGGTTAGTTAAAAAGAATGTTGCAACACTGTTACCGGAGATGGGTTACAGGAAGTCATTAGGCAGCTTTCATGTTGCGAGCTATTGTCCTCTCTCTCATGCAGAGTTAGCATGATAAAGGCCAGTAACAGTCAAACTGGTTTGAGCTCTCTTAAGCCACTGGTGAATGAGACGACACAATGCAGAGAAACGAAAGGAACGAAAGCCACTTGAGTGTCATCAGTCGAATGAACCTAACACAATAATCTCCATCGCATTGTCAGCGCTCACATTGTGCTTTATTGGATTAGTCCTCCAATGCATTTGTAACACAGCAGATAACGATGTGTTTTTCAGGGGTCAACAACGTCTTTAAGACTTAATGACTGTGTCCGAAATAACTCCCTTGTTCGCTCGTTCACTCGTTCACTACTCCCTATATAATAGCCACTTAGTTTACTCTGCAGGGAGCCGTAAATATCGACATGTATGAATCATCTAATTTCTTTCTTCTTCACTGACATTCATGTAGTTTGGCTAATTGTATTTGTAAGCAGAAAGTATTGTAAAATAAGAAAAGGTATAACTTTATTTGTCATGAGGGAAATCGTTGTGCAGCAGTTGCAATACAAAGTCAGAAAGAGTGCAACAGCAACAACAACAACAACAAAACTAGAAATATCAAAAAACATACAAAATCTAAAGTATAGGCAATACCAAAATATGAACAAGGTTGACAGTAGGGATCATAAGTTGCTCATATACTTGGACACTATTGTTTTTGTTGCATTGTATGTTAATTTGGGGCACTATTTATAGAGCATAGATGTCACACTCTCACACTTTGGACACTCGAAGAAAATGGTAGACAGCGAATAAAGTGCACTATACAATAAATGTGTTGTAACTCACAGAAATGCGTATTATATTTAAAATGAGATGGTACTGTGTAAACTGTATTCATAAGATGACCTAGACTGTTAACTGTAAATGTGGTGGAAGAGGAACTCAGACCTTCAATAAGTAAAAGCACATAAGTATTTGCATCAAAATATAGAAGTAAAATGACTCATTATGCAGAATGGCACTTTTCAGAATAATATATATTATATTTCTCTATTATAATTACTGATGCATTAATATGTTCATCACTAATGTTGCAGCTGGTGATGTGGGGCTATTTTTTATGTTTCTTATATACTTAATCAATAATAATGAATCTTAATGTATTAGTTGATTGTATTTTGTTTTAGTAATCTGAATCTGCAAAGTAACTTAAGCTGCCAAATACATGTAGTGAAGTAAAAAGTACAATGTTTTCCTCTATAATGTAGTGGAGTAAAAGAATAAAGTACCTTAAAATGGAAATACTCAAGTAAACTACCTCAATTGCACTTACATGTCAGTAAATGTACTTAGTTACTTACCACCACTGGTGTGAGTAAAATATTTGTAGTTTTTGTTTGTTATATTTACATTTTCTAGTGTTAAAGCTTTTATTGTCACACTAAAAAAAATCAAATAAATCAATAAAAACACGAAAAGAAAGAATGAGCCTCACAGGTGTCTGTTGGTTTCTGGATATCTGAAATGACATTTTGAACACTTTAAAACATGCAACCTGTTTCAGAGAATGTAATGTTTCCTGTCGCTTCTATAAGACATCTGGAAACAAAGAACCAGACATACTTATCATGACTGGGAAGGTAGACTTTATAATAATACAAGATATACATCATCATCTTAAAATGAATAACTAACCTGAAGTATAATGCCGGATCTCTAAGTGAGAGTCTGATTACCTTTGCTTTTATTCAGCCTCCACAGTCGCCATTATTCCCACATTAATCACCTGATTCATTATGTAGTTTTCATACAGCTATTATCACTTGGTATGATTATAACTAATATTATATATTACAGTTACACTGTAGATTAATATGTATTTTCTCCAAGTGTATTCATCAAGATTCTATTCGAAATCATATATTTGTACAAATATAATTTGGGGGTTTTAAGGATGTTATTCTTTATTTATTTTATTTTTTCTGTTGTCTTGTGAGATGATGTAATGATGATGTAATCCAGTGGCAATACAGCAGGTGAAAAACTTAGCTAAATATTTGGATGGGCTCTATATTTCTACGTAAAATCATGTCCAGTTTTGTTGTGTAACAAAGTATGTCTGGTTTTATTTGTTATAATGTATAAAGGCAACATTGTAACAATAAACACACTGAGATGCATTACATTATTCGTTGTGTGCGTCTGCTCTACCGCTAGAGGGCACCTGTCTCCTCTGACTGTACTGTTGGCTTCTGTATCAGATCAATTGGTTATTTCTTTAATATTTATTTGACTGAGATATAAACGACAAAACCTTCCTCACCTCTGACTTTTCTTCTGATTAAATAATGTATTTACACATTTCTTAAGCCAGGGCCAGTGTGTGTGCACTAAATATACATATTTGCTTGTATCTGACAAATAAATAAACTAATACATATCAAAACAAAGGCATGGAAAACAAACAATGTATTTCATTTGCAGCCACACAAAAGCTCCATAAGGAGAGATGAGGGGGATAAAATGGTGTGAACGGCGTTTCAGCTTCTTGACTCCTCCTGCGTGGAGGAGGAGGCGGGACTCGGTGCACCTAAACAGACGGAGCGGCTATGCATTGTGCTCAGTCTGTCAGTGCTGCATCCACTGAGGAGGAGGAGACGAGGGCCACACGTTAACCCCGAGCAGTAAACGTGCAGGGAGAGGGTTTTTCAGGACCAAGCTGTGATCATCTCTGCAGCGTTTCCTGGACGGTATCGTGTCGCTCTTTTGTGTGCCACCAGTCGCCGGGCTGCAGGGGGGAAAACTGGGGAGGACTCGCCTCTGTTAAAGCCCGATCGGTCGGTGGCGGAAGGGACGTGATATGAACCCCTCATCGGCTTAAACAGCAGTGCAGCTAAATAGCCCCGCTTTCAGGAGGGGGGGGGTGGGGGGGGGAGTTCACAGAGGATCAGCGAGGACATTCGTACCTTTTAACCTGCAGCTGAAGGCCGAAAAATACCCAAGGAACCTGTAGCGATGCCCGGGTTTGATTACAAGTTCCTGGAAAAGCCAAAGAGACGATTCCAGTGTCCGCTCTGCAGCAAGGCGATGCGGGAGCCGGTCCAAGTGTCTACCTGTGGACATCGGTTCTGTGACACCTGTCTGCAAGAATTTCTGAGGTAGGCTACGGCGTGTTTGTTTGTGTTAGATCCACCTCTGTGCAGACGATACTAGAGACTACACCGCAGCCTCGTCTGGTTTCGGTCGAGCGACAGTAAATAAAGGATGTGTAGGTGTGTCCTCCTCAGTCCTCACCTTTCCTCAGCGGGGTTTAACATTAATTTGACTATTTCATGCTGCTGCACAATTGTTATGACAGTACATACATGAGGCCTGGTAAACAGCGCCTGCGTTGAACTCCCCTCCTTTTTAGGCTCAGGTGTGTTTGTCCTTTACCCGGAAAGGTAATGATTTAATGTTATGAGCCACTGTCAGCATGAAAACATGACCGAGGGGCTCCTTGTTTTGGATCAGTCATGCAGATGCTTTTGTTGGACAGGTAGAGGACGTTGTCATTGTTCTGCTCAAAGGAGATGGCTTTTGTTGTTGCTACATCATCCACGAGCAAAGTATTATTTTGTGCTTTTGCAGAATTGACTAATTCAATCTTTATGGTGAAGTGACTTGGTGTTAATATATTTCCTGTTGTGGTGTCCTACAAAGGGTCCCTGTCTCCCCATCCTGGCTGTGTTTTTGCCCTCAGGGTGGCTGAGTCTGCACATGGGGTTGCTGGGTTGAGGATGATGTGTGTGTGTGTGTGTGTGTGTGTGTGTGTGTGTGTGTGTGTGTGT